CCTACGGCTAATAATACTATTCCTAAATTAACTGTGCCGTCATACTCGAGGCGCAAGTCCCACACCCGTACGTCGATCGTGCAAGGACATCAACGACTGATCGGACTAGTTTAGAAGGGTTTGGTCGGTGAGTTTGGAGGGGCCGCGGCCGCGTACAGCAGGCCAGGCCGGCCGCCACGATGGTCAGACCCGCGACCGCGCGCGGTCTCGTCGGGTCGCGATGCATAATTGGACCGGACGTCTGGTAGATTCAATATAACTCGCAATATGTCCATATGTAAACAAGCCGTTTGAAAACCACATGATACACATATGCATGCTTTGAGAAGCCTTAGTGGCCTACGTCGCCATCGCAAAAACGAATTGTTAATTGCAGGTCCATCATCATTTACCAACAATCAGCTAATTGCAGGTCAACCTCATTTATCAACAATGGAATGTATCCTTGATACTTACTCCCACAGATTGAAACTTATATGAGGCTCCTTGCAGACTCAAGTTCTCTGCTTTGTTCCTCACTCGATTTCATAATGAGTATTGCTATCTTCGTTAAGCCAGTTCTGAGTTGTCACTACCCAAACAAACGGATCTCAAGGAAATCTTATTGCAGAAGGTCAGAACAGCGGATGCAATTTTGTGACTGATCTCAAAATGTTGGAAATACACGAATATTACGCCCAGCAAGGTTGTTGAGCGAGGGGCAATATGCTGAAAGCGCGTCGATCTTAGTAGTGCAATTGCTTTTGGAGCGCACATCCAATGAGCAAATAGAATCCTCTAGCTGACGTTGCGTGCCTCGTAATGTAGCAGAAGTGTCCATTGCTAGAGCCGTGAATGCACCGGCCACACCTGTTGCTTAATCAGTGGCCGAAGGTGCTCCGTATAACCGTCCACAACGTCTGTACTGTTGAGCGGCTCTTTCCAGGCTCGCGCATACAGGTCGGTGTACACGTCACCATCGTACCGGCCCAGTGCGGAGCCCAGGTAATGATTCGAGAAGGAGAAGGCATCCACCAGGTTCACCGCCTGCGGCCGGACCTGCATACGGATAATTGTGATTGCGCACGACTTCGCGGGCACCGGTCTTTTCTGTCTGGGTCTTACAAAAGCCATGAGCAAATGCTAGCCCTGTATGCCTTCAAGAGATCTGACGAACTGGTGCTTGATCGTTAACGTCTCTTCCACACAGATCGGTGAGCCACTACCGAACAGTGCTAAAAAAGACCGTTGGTATTGGTCCATTCCTCCTTAATAAAACCGTCGGGATGTCTAGCTAAGCAGACCCTGAGTCGGATTGTTGCGAACGGCTGAGAGTCCTTCAACCGGTGAAAATAACTCGCCGGAAGCAACCGTTAAACGACCTGAAAGGTTTGCGGAGTGTTCCACCTGAAGCAGCAAGCATAACTCGCTGGAGCAAAACGAAAAAGTATCTAAAAACTATTCAACGTAAAAGGATACGGAATGCATCTCGGCAAAACTAACGCATCGAGACAAAACCAAACTCTCAACAAGCTAGAAGCCTACAGAAAACAGCTAGCTCGAAGGCCAAGCGGTAAGACAGCTCACCTGAATCAGCAGCTCTGCCAGTGCCTCATGCACCCAGCTCGCCTGCTTGGGCTTGAGATAGCCCACTTCGAGAAGGTCGCCCAAGTTCGCCTCGATCTGGGACACCGCGTACAGGTTGCACAGCAGCACCAGCTGGTCACGCACGCCCCGTCCCTCAATGTCGCCCTGCACAACAGGCAGATGTGTTGATTTGTGAGTGGCTGCCGGCGACCTGAGAAATTTTCGGCAAGCGTCAGGAGCTCAAAAACGGGTCACATGTTTCTTCGTTGCTGCCAGGCGCAGCCAGTACGCCCTGCTATTTCCCTGTGAGTAGATCCAGAGGGCCAATGTGTCTTCTTTGGAATTCATGAAACGAGGAGTAGCAGATGCATAAGATCCTCTTGGCTATTTCGAGAAGACGTTGGACCTTACACACAATTCCTGACGACTCTAAGCGACGAGACTGCGAAAGTGCCCAAGTATTTTTAGGGCATTCGAAACCGGACTGACGCTTGAGCACTTCAAACATTTCATAAACCGTAGCGTCAATGAACCGAGAGCAGTTTTTGGGCTTTTGTTCGAGTGGCCGGCAATGGGGAGCAGCTCTCACCTGCACCTGCTCGATGAATTTGCTCACGACGATTTGTTGACAGTGCGCTCGCGACATGCGGACCATCTCAACGGCGGAGTCGGCGATGGCTGCAGAAAAAAAGTTGGGGATACCGCTTTGTTCGAAGATTTTGCTCAAAATGCCTCGGCCGATGACGGATGTCAAAGATTCCGAAGTCTTTCATTTGATAAATCAAACGCACGAAATGAAGACTAGTAGCGCTTGGGGGCTATCTGCTTTATCCGACTGTCTTAACACTTCCTTTCGAGAGTAGCCCAAATGGGTAAGTTGGAGCATCATTCTCTCAACCAGCTGCAGAGACCTTGATATCTTCCTGATAAACTAAAGGCTCCAAATTCAACGCCTGCCTCAACTCAATCTCAACTCAACTTACGGTGCTCGGCCAGCATTCCTGCTGACTTGGTGACTTCTCTCTAACTTACAAGTCCCAAACCGCTCACATTGAAACGAATAGGACTTTCCCTTAGCAAAAGAATGGCATCCGTGCAGCTTTCCCGACGTTTTTGCGCCCGACCACCAGCCCTACTGGATTGACAGGCGCATCGGGCTCCATAAACCTTCAACTCTTGGGACTCCTCCGGAGCATATTAGAGAGCTTCCGGCCAGACAACAACACTCCTCACCTTTCTCGAAGTTCTTGGCCCCTTGTATTCTCATCCCGTTCCCAATCACCAGCCGCGCCGCCCGAGCCGAGAGCGCCTCTAATTGCACTTCTGGCCGCAGGAAGTCCGCTGCGGATTTTGCCGGACACTGGACGGAACAGAGGCGCTGGGCATCCCCCAAGTACTGAGCAGCCCCCGACGGCTTCTCTCCGTTGGCCAGTTGTGATGCCACCTTCATGAGATACCGTGCCACCTGAAAGGAGGCACGAGACCACGAGGCTTGAGAACTGATAGTGAGGACTAGTGAAGCACAAGAATAATATTGGAAAAAAACCAGCTTGTCAGAATAAGCTTCCTAACAATCAACGAGGATAGGTAGGTAGAAACCTATCAGCTAGAAAGACCAGGAAAGGTAATACCAACAGCTGCACGAGGGTTCGTAGTATAACCAATGGGTCAGATCTGCCAAGAACTTGGTGGTCGTTTGATACGTGACTGCGAGCACAAAAATCTGAAAATGGAAGACCTTTCTGCGTAACAGTCTCGAAAGTGTCCGCCAGCAAGCTTTGAAAGGTCGGTGGGAGGAGCTTGTAATGCGAGTCGGCAGTGGCAACAGTTTCAAATAGTCAGCAAACTTAAATCAGAAGCCAAAAGGGGAAGAGAGGGGAAGAGAGTAGGACGTGATAGAAAAAGCTGACGTGATAGAGTAGTGGAATGAGCGAGTGTTAGAGATAAGGTCAACGGACCTGCAGAAAGAGGATGTAGTTGTCCCCCTCGTATGTGCACGCAGGCACGTAGGCGCAGTAGAGGTCGGGCAGGCCGGACGCCATAAGGTATCCGTTTCCGCCGCATAGCTTACGGCACTCCTCGATGCCGTCTGCCGTGAAGCTGGTGGTCAGCGCCTTGAGGCCCGCGGTGCTGGCGTGCACCTCGGGGAGGCCGGACACGTCACCTGTAACATTGGAGAAGCCGGCGGAAATGTCAGCAAGACTACACGAAGATCGACGGACCTCTCGTTCTAGAGTGAGTTTGAAATCAAGAACTGGCTCCAGACTAGCCAAAAGCTGCTTCGAAGTTGGCAACGGTTCATCGTTGTCGAGTTTAGCCACCCGTGCCGTGAAGATACGAAATACTGTACGCCCAGTCTACAAGTTGCCACGTCAGAGGGTCGGCTTTCGCCAACCGAGGACAGAATTCAAGAAGCATAAAAAGCGGCATGATTCTAGCGGCTTGATCCTGTGTGTACGATGACATCAGACTTCAAGTCCTGGTGTAGGCTTCCAAGTACAACGCTTCACTTGCCTCGGTTCAGCTGATCGATGACCTCTGTGTACAACTTGCGCATCCACTTGCCAGTGAAGGTAAAAGCGTAGGCAGAGGCGAGAAGGGGAAAGAGCCGGTGTTGTTGCGTCTTGTACTCGATGATCTGCAAAACAAGGAAACAAAAATCATGTCTTGGAAGATCTGGCAGTCGCTATACAGTCTGAAGAGAAGACAACCGCCTTGAATCGAAAGAGAACGACAAGCTGCAGAAATGTTTGTAAGAAGCGGAACCCGTGGAGATTCGAAATGCAGAACGTCGTTTCACCCTTGCTTTTTTGAGCAATTTCCTTTACTTGCGTGTGCGAAAATTGCAGCCTCGACAACCTGCAGGCTCGTCCAAACCTTTCTCTGCAGTGGGCTTTCTCGAGCACGGGTAGACAGTTCGGTTGGTCGGACCTAACAGCGCTCTCACCACCACCAGCAAAAGCAGATTTGTAAACACACCTCGGCAACTGCCAGGTCGCTGAACGGCGCTGTAAGAAGCTCACCTGCGTCTCGAGTCCAACCTTGCCGCCAAATTGACGCCGCACTGCGTTGTACCTGGTCGCAATCGTCACTGCCTTTGCCAGGTAATGCCCCGCCCCTTCCACGATCCCCGCCCGGACGTAGACCATGGCTCCATACGCCAGCTTCGCGTGAGGGGGCTTCGAGTAGGTTCCGTCAGGGCTGACTTTTGCGTACCTGTGCAAAGTTGACACGTTCAGCTTTTAATCCATCAACGGACTACTATCAACTAATTGGGTCGTTTGGTGCAGGGTCCTCTTAGGAAGAAACTACTACCAAACAGGGCAAAACTATGAATAGCGGCATAAGCTGGACATCACATCGCGGGACGTTATCGAAAGTGGCGAGAGGTCCTCTTGACGCCTCCAAGACGAGGGCACAAATCAAACAGGATTAAGAGGCTGAATCAGTCAGTAACCTCCTTTCTTCTCAGGAGTGCCCAAACTCGCTTCGAAACGGCCGAACACAGAAAGACAAGCTCTGTTCGTTCATTTTAAAACTGGTTCAAAGGAAAAGCTACTGGCGCGTTAGGAACAGAAGCATTAACTCAGAAGAGCGCAATTACTTGCCCAACAGTCAGCAATTCGTGTTGATAGCCGCGTGTATTGACTGGCTTATTGTCGACACAGATGGGCGCCTCACCTCATGAGCAGCTGGTCCCGCGGCACTCTGACGTGGTCCAATCGGAGCAGTCCGTTATCGACGGTGAAGTAGGCACCCAGCCCAAACTTGGTCCCAATGTCTCCCACAGTGATCCCAGGAAGAGAGCGGTGATCGTCCAAACTTCGCAGCTGGACAATGAAGGCTGCAAGCGAATGGAAATGGAAGGGACGTCAGCTCAACATCAGGATAAAAAGGTTTATTGGATTGATCCTCGAACAATGCGGCTTCCTCAAACGAGTATCATCGAAAGTCATGTTGTTGCTCTGCCGCAAAGAAGCGTTAGAATTTGTGGCGACGTTGTGCCAGGGAAGCGGGTACCGCAGGAAAAACGCTATGATCTTGTTGCGGTGTTTGTGAACAGAGCCAACACGTATCAAGTCGGCGACAACGAGTACGATCCCGCTTCTATCCCGCTTTGTCCGCAGGACAGAGCCTCTGGCTACCAAGCCAAGGATGAGCGGCAATCCCATATTTTCTACTGGGGTTCGTGAAGCGAAATCCCTACGAGCTTCTAAGTTTGTCCACCCAGATCGCAGGCAGGTTGAAACGAGGGGCTTGGGAGATTTGAGATGGCCGTCCAGACTTTTTGACTCTCGAGTATGCTTCTTAAACTGCTTATCAACCTCTTCAAAATCTCTACCTCTTGGAAACTGGAAGTACAACAGGGTGCACACTGAGCACAGTCGACCATGATAGAGACTCACGGTGTACTCCATGATCTGCTCCCTTTGTTCTCAGCCGGGCAAACACCACTGCGTGTGTCGAGAACTTGCCAAGGCCTCCAGGCCACCACTGCGAGATTGAGAAGTCACGAAGCTGGGTTACTCAAGACTCTGGCCTAAGCTACGGGAGTAAACTCTACACAAGAGTCTCTGAAGAAGACTAGATGGTTTGTAGGCCGAGCTTCTAGATGCTTCGACGTTACGTGTCAAAAGGCACGAGCTCCTCCGGATAGCGCCTGAGGGGTTGACCTGCTGAGAGCTACAGCATGCAAACAAAAGTCGCTACACGTGCAAAATTGAAGCGAGTAACAGCGAAGAGGCCACAATGTTCATTAGAGTGGATCTCTAAGTCTGATACGGTTTCCCTCACCTTTGTCGATGTCAGGGTGGGGCTGTTGATGACGAACTCTTGCGTGGTAATGTCGTAGTCAGCGGTCGTCTCCAGGCCTTGAACGTTTGAGCCGTGGCCCATCTCGGTCTGGGCGTAGCAGCCAAGGATCGCATAGCTGCAAACCAGACCAGGAAACATCTGACCAGGAGCTTTCGATCAAAGGCTTGTTTAATCTTCCTTCTACTTCATCAGCGATTAACACTTTGCCAGCATCTGAAAATACCACCAGACTGCCGCCACAGCAAGCAGGATCATCTACAAAGGCGTCCATGCGGCAAGGTGAGGACCATATAAGTTGAAAAGGAACTCTATGAACAGCCAGCGATCCAAGTATTGGATCATTGATTTTTGATGAGCATTACAGTGCAATTCGACTCCAGTGACTTCGGCATGCCACAGAAGTCAGTGGCAGAGGCATCCAGAAGCGAATTTTGCCAGTCCATTAGATGCAAAGCAATCAATCGGATCAATTGGCTCCATTGCCATCTGATTATCTCGAGACAAGAATAGTCTCAGGCTAAGTTGTGAAGTATCTGAAAACGAAGTCTTCTGTCACCTGTTGGCCAGCGGCAGCCATTTCGCCTTCTGCTCCTCTGTTCCCTGCCCTTCGATTGTGGGGATGAACATGCCATGGTGCAAATCGGAGCCCTGAAGCTCGTCCACAAGCACACGGAACAGGCGGGAGTCGGCAGCTGCAGACCAGTGAAGATGCGGAATCTAACAAAACATGACCGATCAATTGAGAAAGATGTTTTCGCGCAAAGGGCATCATTCAAGGTTGTTTCATCAATTGAAAAACCGCGTAATCCTCAAAGTTTGAGAAACGTTTGCTTGGGGAAAGCAGAAGTAAGCCTTCCCCTTCCTGGAAAAGCAGGAACCTCCTTGTGAAGAAAACACAAATAGTCCTTGTTTGCGGGGATTCGAACCAAACAAGTCCCAGAAACAGGTCTCTGAAACATGAGTGAGTGATCAACCCAATCTTCTATTACTCCTAGAATCAGTAGTGGTCTTTGAACAAAAGATAGGTGTGGCCAAACCCTCCATTGATTCAAGGAATGCTCTTCTGATCAGAAAGTCAGCAACTGACAACCCGTGATCTGCTGCAGTTGCATGGACAACAAGCCACCAATCGACACCAGCTGTAAGATGTGGTCCTAGCAAAGAAAGTTCTGCTCAACATTGAAAATTTGGCTCTCCTTTGAACAAACCGTTATAAACAGGCTATCAAGATGTGCGCAAGGTGGGTCAACAAAGCAAGCGCTCACCGTCTAGACCAAGTTCGTGGACCCGCTTGTAAGCCTGCTTGACCTTTTCCAGGGCCCTCTTGAACGCCTCTGGCCTGGAGAGGTGGTACTTATCGTCCTTGCGGAACACAGGGTCTGCTGCCACCAGGCGACTGAGCTCCTTCCATTTCTCTGCTTTCTCCTGCACAGGTCAGCATTCCGGTAAGGTAAGGTAAGGGAGGGAAATGAGAAGCTCAAGCAGCTCAAACTAAGAGACTTTTTGATCCTTCTGAACTTTTTGGATACTCGAATTTGATGCAGGAACAGAAGGGGCTTTGTCAAAGGTGACTGGTCAGCCTTCATGTATGTCAATTACTGCACCACTCAGAAATCAAGCACTTCTTGACAAGCTTTCCAAATCATTCACAAGTGCGATCATTACGCACCAAACTGTCCCTCGCATCATGTCTGATACAGAGGCTTAGAAAAGATTCATCAGTTTAAAATGCTCACCGGCCCTCCATAGATCAGATTCGTCATTGCATGCAGATCAAAAGCTGGATTCCTGCGCTCCTCCGCAAGGTAGTCCTTTGCAGCCATCTTCGTTGCCTGATTGTCAACAATACCCCCGTCTAGGTATATGTCAGGTAATAATCTCCGCCCCTTTCCTCGCCTTTTTGCAACTTGCAATCTCCCTCCTGAGGCTGTAGGCCTCCCTGCCCTCACTTTTACCAACTCTGAGTCTTGGTGGGGTACCTATAATTCTGCGCAGCGAAGGCAATTTCTAGTCGGAGTTCGCGTCGCTGTTTCTAACGTTGATGCTCAAGGACCGGCACTTCGGCCGTCAGTAAGCTCTAGGAAATCTCTGAAATGATATGGAAAGCAAAAGCAGCAAAGAACGCGAGGGACGGCATGGGTTTTGGGCGACTACCCGGATTCTTCAGAAATAAGATAAGTCTCGTGTAGGTCAGCGCGGCCCAGGACAAGGGCCTAGCTTGAGCCTTGAGCCAGAAAGAGCTCAGCATTGAACCTGCTGATCAATCCTTGCAGCTCAGGCGTATTCCTAGGACTGCCTTTGAGCGCTTTCCAATCGTGGAGCAATAACAGATTGCCTGTTAGAAGTCTCCGCACTGCATTGCTGGTTGCAGGCATGTCAAGCGGTCCAGGAAACGACGAACCGCGGCCTGCCTACAGCCACCCTCTGAAACCCCATGAAAATGCTGCCACCACGAGCGGGCGGGGCCACCACTCCCCATCAAGCTCACCCTCACTTTCTGGCCTGCGAAACACCATCCCTGAAACTCCCCCCACTCTAGATCTCCGCTCATCAGAGCCCCCAGCCGGCCGATACATCTCTCCAGTGACAGGGCACAGCAGTCTGCCCCAGTTTTACGTGGCGGTGGAGCGGCCCCAATTCAAGCTGGGAACTTTGAAGGATCTATTGGAGGTGTTGGCGCGGAGGGGTGAGGTGGCGGTTGGCATCTGCTGCGGCACGCGGGATGTGCTCGATGCCTTGGTTGGCGCCATCGCATATGAGACTCGCTTCTCTGTCCAGTGTCTGGTGAGGCAAAGCCGGGCAAATGTACTTTGTCAAAAGGTTGCGCTGGTACTCGACACGTTTCTTGTGTCCATTCTAAATCTGGCCTGCTTACGCATTCATTTGGGTCCTTGAGTGATGTTGAGTACTTGCAAACTTGGGCCAGCTTTTGTCACGTCCACTTATGTAATCAAGAACGGTACTTGCATCCATCTAAACAGTCCAGTTAATGGAGTCATGTGCAGACTGCATATTGATTAGCAGCAGCGATAGCCAGCCTGTTGATGCTAAAGTACAGGATATACTTTCTCGGTGATCGTGGAGACCAACTTCTTCTTGATTCTTTGTTACCAAAGCAAAGGAGTAAACCTGCTTTGCTATGCCATCTGCAGCACAGCGACATGGTGGAAAGCGATCGCGCAAAAATCTTATCAGCCTTTCATGCCAGACGACAGCACTCCCTAAATCCTTCCGAAAGCCCTCCTGCCAAGCCCACCCCCTCTGAAAGCAGTCCTGCCGGAGAAGAGGAAAAGGGCGCAGAATCTGTAGAAGATCAGGAGGAAGGAAAGCAAGCTAAGCTGTCGAGGGCTGCACTAAACATTCTGGCGATGACGGATGCGTGCCTTCCAATGGCTGCTCTTGGCGAGAGCCCGCTGCTGGCAAAGCTGATGATCAACTATGAGCTGCCGCTGAAGAAGGTGAGGCCTCCGTGGAACGTGCAAATGTAATAGACACAGCTGTTTAGCATCGTAGAATATTCAGGCGCCATTCTTATTGACAGCAGCTCGTACCAGCTTGTGTCAGCCGGTGTTCAATCTCATCTCAACAAGCTCCGCGAATCTGCATGATTGCTTTGCAATTGTTGCAGGCGTCACCTGGCGTTCATTCGTCTGTGCCTCAGCTCTCAAAACGTTCGTCGGAATAGAGGTTAGGGAACTGGGTGTTGCAATTTGTTGTTAAACCATAATGTCGAATGATCAAAGCAGATTGATCTGCGGGTCAGTGATAGTACCGCACCAATACACCTTCCACCCAGGTACCTTGTGATGTGATTTTGAACGAAGCTGTTAAAAGCACGATCTTATTGGCTCTCTAATGGAATCATCGCCTGGTCTCCCGTGCAGGAGCAGTACGCGCGCCGAGTGGCTGCGGTGCTCGGCCCAACTGCAGCGAGCGCTCTGCCCAAGATCACCCCCTCCGGATCCTCCCCACCGCGGTCCTTCCTGTCGGGAGCGCCACACTCTTCAAGTGAGTGAGACGAAGTTGGACAGCTGTCTGTTCTCATTGCTGAGGATCTCTGAGCACCACGAGCTGTTACGCCCTGTTTTGCCTGGGTTGAAAAAAATTGGCGGTCTCACCTCTTGAGTTGATCAGTCGGACGCATTCCAGGCAGGGCGTCATGTTGACCGGGACCAACACGTACGTGGTCGCCCTCATCAGTACCGCACCTGCCATGCCTTTGCTGCAGGCGGCATCGTACTAAGCTTCGTAGCTGCGGCGGAAGTTGGCATGCTGCGGTCCTTGGAAGAGTCTCTGGGCTTCATCATTGAAGAGATGCCCATCAACGTGAGCGGCCAGACACACTCGCTCTTTCGAGTGCTCGTCACTAAGATGCTCTTCTTTGTACAAGAATTGGTCCTCCCATGTATTTGAAGAAAGCTCAAAAGTTCAAGAGCTCAACGCCCGTGCTCAAACTTTGCCGCTGGTGTCAGTCGGCGTTTGAAGGGCTCCCAAATTTGGTGAAAAAAGTGAAGCAGGTGACGTCCCCGCTAGCTTTTATCCAGTGCAAGTATCCTTGAAAGATACGCCCATGGTTGCTCCTTGCATAGTCCCGTCGGGTCTCATATCTCCGCCTTCGTCCAATTGTGCTTTCTGAGTTTTGGCAAAAGTGCGCAGACCATGAGAGTCTCGGGCAGGAAGCTCGGAAGCGTCCTTGATGTCGGTGGGAACAGCTTCGGCCTGAGGCCTCAGAGCTTATCATACGATTTCATTAACGAAGATAGAAGGATAGCATGGATTCTTGCGAGCGAACCTAACGAAGTTTGTCGGCCACCCAATCGTGAAAAGCTAACGCTTTGTGACTGGGATTGCGGATGTTTTCGGGCCTTTCCTACATCGTCCGGAGTCCTTTTAGCGAGGACCTTTCTTCTGTCTTTACGTCAGGAAACAGCATGCTCATCTGAATTTTCGTTCCTTTTCTTCCGCAGATTTTGGAGTTGCTCTGACATATCTGGACATCGTGTGGGCGACAAGGATAACTTATCCTTGAAGCGTAGTCAAATGTGGCAGATTCATGACAGGATCGGGACGGAAACAATGCTCACTTGGAAGGTTGGAATGACTTCAGAAGCTAGCCTAAAGAAGCTCCTGACACATGTTAGCAAAGCGTATGCATCTGGTTAATTCTGCCAAGCTGATTGATAAGCAATTCATCTTGGACAGTCACTATAGAAGCTGCGCACTGGGCAATTATTCAACTAAGGCCCGAACTTGATGCACGGATGCAAGTTATCATGCATGCCATTTAAAATTGGGCATAAACGCAGAAAAGTATGACATGGATGTGAAGCTTCTCATGGTTAGTAGCGTGCATGGTCGGCATGTCGTTATATACCGGTAACCTAGCACTAGCTCTATATATGGCAGGAAGCAGCCAACCTGGCACTAGCTGTCCATATTGCAGCCGAATATCAACATCAACCGGTGTCATGACGGCACTGGCACAATTCGTTCATGCAATTCGCATAGGACCGTGTTCGAACGAGTGTTAGCGCCTGTCGGTGTTCGTGTTGGTAAGAATTGAGGTTTTAAAGAGACGACACCAGTATATCGAGGTAGTTGCCAGCTTGTGAGAAACAAATAATTCGACATGTACGTACAATGATCGGTCGGAGGGTATATGGTATAGGCGATTGAGATTTCTTCGCGCCAGTGAAATTCAGGGCGGCATAGATTAAGATTGTTAGATCCACTCAAAGGACTCGTTCAAGAACAGACACTCACATACTAAGTAGAATTGACAGGATTGAAAACCTAAAACCAGCTCAGCATATCTTCCATCAAAGATTTATATACAGGCCGCAATCTAGAGTTTCGCTATCTGTGCGTGCAAGAACTAGGTAGGCGCCCGCAACTTGCAAAATGTTTGGCTCAATATCTACCTTACCACTTAGGCAATAACCATCCCTCTCACCACCACCGTTAACAGTATTCCATCCCTACTCACAACCACCGCCATACGCAAATTAACCGTAAAGCACCAACAAACTCCTCAATCCCGCTACGCCCCGAGTTGACGCGCGTTTTTTTCAGCCTCCTTCGTCTTCTGTTGCATCTTCTCCCCAGCCGACTCCGCCCCCTGCTTCAGCTTTTCCTTGTAATTCTCGGCACCTTCCTTCAGATTCTCCGTTCCCTCCTTCGCCTTCTCCGCGCCCTTATCAGCCCCCTTCTTGGCACTCTCAGCTGCGCTGTCCGTCGTCTCTTTGGTCTTATCCGCCGCACTGTCCGCAGTTTCCTTGGCCTTATCCGCCGCACTGTCCGTCGTCTCCTTTGCTTTCTCCGCCCCTTTGTCGGCCGTCTCCTTTGCCTTCTTCGCGACGTCATCCGTTGTGCTCTTCACCGTCTCCGCCGCAGATCCGGTCTTCCGCTTCGCCTCCTCCGCAACGGAGTCCGTCTTCTCCTTCACCTTGTCCGCAGCGGAATCCGCGCCCTCGTCCAGGTTCTTGCCGGCGGTTTTGGCCGTGCTCTCCAGGGTGTCGCCCGCGGACTTGGCAGCCGGCTTGATGGCTTTCTCTGCAATTACGAAAGATCAAAGATCAGATGCGGCTCCATTCGAGTAGCGACTTATGCCGCTACGTAGATGGAAGGTGTTATTGGAAGAAAGAGGATTCGGTAACTTTGGAAGGGGGCAATAATTCCCAAAGAAACGCTTTCGTCCAACAATGAAGAGGTCTACCGGTGCAAGGGCCGCCAGGCTTTTTGTCTTTTAAGCAGTCTGACTATGAAGTCAATACCCCTTTTCGACAACCCTCGTTTTACCTCCTCATTTGGCAAATTGGACCGTCATCCTTTAAGACATACAAAATGGCATTGAGATCAACAAGCGCGGCTCAAAGGAGAGCTCGCTTCCCTCTTTCTCTACTGATTAGATGTTTAGGGGAAGATAGTGTTGCACGGGAATGCCTGGAGACAAACCAAAGGTGAAATGCACAAACGCAGAACGCTTTCTTGTCATGAACCTTAAAGCAGACCCTACACAAGTGGCGGAGCAGGAAATACAGGGATCATCTAACGCCTCAAGCCCAGCAGAGTGCATTCCGGCAAATGCCGCTCACCTGCCGCGACTTCAGCCGTTTCTTCCAGGTTCTTGGACAACTTGTCGGCCGTCGGGCGCGCATCCTTCGCCACCTGGGCTGCGGACGCGTTCAGATTGTCCGCAGTCTTGTCCGCGGCCGCCTTGCTGTCCGAAGCGACGGCCTCAGCGCCGGCCTTCAGATCCTTGGACACCTGTCAAGTGAACAATTGTTCAGAGCTGAGATCCGAGATGTAAGACGGCCAGCACTCAGCTTTTCTATAAGAAATTCAGATCTGGAGAAAGCCAAGTCGCAGCCAGCGAGGTTTCCCCTGCTTTGCTAGGTGAAAGGTTTCAAAAGCAGCGGGAGCAACCGTATTTCAAGACAGATCAACAAAGTGTGCACGATGGCCTGGGACAACGGAATCTGGCAACGAGTAGTACCAAGTACACACTGGTAAGCTTCAAAGGTTTCCAAGGGTTTGTAACGATTCACGGATAATCTTTTTCTAATCGAAAAGTTTTGAAGCAGTTTCCTTCGACCCTCACCTGCTCTGCCGCGGGCTCCGCACTCTCCGTCACGTCGTGAGCCGCCGTCTCCAGCCCCACGGCCGCGCTGTCCGCATACGTCACCACGCTATCCCCGACCGCCGCGGCACTCCCTTTGATTTGCTTTGCCATGTCATTAGCCGCCGGCTCCGCATTTTCCGCCACAGTCCGCGCCGCCTTCTCCACGTCAGCAGAGACGCGCTCCGCCGCCTTCGGCAAGTCTGCGGATGCTTGTTGGGCGGTGTCTGAGATCGCGGCCGCAACGCGGTCGGCCGTCGGCTCCGCGTTGACGGCGACGTCGTGGGCCGCGCTCTCGAGCTGCTCCGAGACGCGCGCCGCGGCCGGCTCGATGTCGTCCGCGGCCTCCTTGGCGAAGTCCTGCACAGTCATCTTTGCCGTTAACCATAGGTGCTAATGGGCTGGTCAGGAAGTGGTTAAATGTCCATAACAACCAGCTTGGGCGACAACCAGCCTTGGAGCAACGTCGAACACCGGCTATTCAACTGATAACCTGAAATTAAAGACTGTTTAACAGCCTGATTAGCGGCCACAGATTTCTGTGCTGCGGGCAAGCGGAAAAACATGAGACCTAAAACACCTTTGTCAACTTGCGGTCCAAAGATGGATAAAAACCTTTCAGGCGTCAATAAAAATAGTCCGAGCCCAACGACCAAACCCTGCAACGGAAGCGTTGTTTGTGCAAAAATTATATTTTGGTACAGGACCCTGAAAATTAGCAACAATTTTCTTGAGCCCTTTCAAGACACAAGGGAGCCATTGTTAGTATTCAGCTCCCACTCGCAACCTTCGCAGCCCTAAAACATGACTAACCTCCTTAGAACCCGCCACAGTCCTCCCCCTAAGCTACCTCGCACACAATACTTCTCAAAACGATTTGCCACCAACTAAACAACGTAGCACATCCACGATAGCAGGCCGATGAAAGTGACTGCGGATCATGGAAATATCTACGCACGGGCCAAGACGCTCTCGAAACAGACGCGCATACCTTCATTTGCTCCCCCAGTTCGTCCGCGGCGGGCCGCACGTTCTCCGCAATGTCCTTGGCCGCGCTCTTCAAGATCTTTTCCGCTTGGTCGCCGCGCTCCTGCGCGATTTGTGCCGCCGATTTCGCCACGTCAGCCGCGTCACCCGCCGCCGATTCCGCGCTCTTCCCGGCCCGGTCCACGACATCCTTCGCGCTCTCCGCCGTCTCGTCCGCTTTCGCCTTGGCCTTCTCAGACGCGTCCTGCGCCGTCGATGTCGCGTCATCGACGGCCGAGCGCGCCTTCTCGCCGGCCTGCTTCACCTTCTCTTCGTCTGCCACCTCGCCTGCCTTGCCCTTGGCGCTCTCAGCAGTTGATTTGACCTTGTCTCCGGTCTCTTCTGCCTTAGCACCCGCTGACGTGTCTGCTGGCTCGTTGACGACTTCCTCGATTTTGAGAGTGATGTCATCTGGCAGCTTCTCCACGGCGATCTTTGCCAGGTCAGTCGTCTTTTCTGCTGCCACGTGCACGTTCGCCTCGACGATGTCGCCAACCTTGTCCGCTGCGGGCTGGGCCTGATCCGCCACCTGCGTTAAGAGAGAATCATTTGTGCAACTTGAATTATTTTGACCTGATAGGAAAAGACGCTGTTCAACAGAGTACAGAATCACATTCAGAGGAGTGTAGCAACATGGTGTAGTTCTCTCGTCACCAGGCTTGAAGACGGAATCGGCGTTTGCTTACGAAGAGAACAAGCAGGAAGCTTTCCAATGTCGATGATCTTTGTTATCGTAGAGTCAAAATCGACATGCTTTCAGATAATTGAGGGTCAGGAACTCAAAGGTGATGAAGATTAGGTCAGCCGTCACACAGCGAGCCAGTGACCCCGCTTTGTAATGTCATAAATTGAACGTCATCGTAACATCATCACAGCAGAAAGCCCTGAGAACATGAACACATAGACAAAACAGGAAGTGCAGGGCCAAGTTCGAAGCCCCTGTAACTTAATCAAGCGGTTCTTAGCTCAGCAAGCACCTTCTATCTGCCAACTAGGATGGGGGACACTGCGCGGCTTACCTTCTGGGCGCCCTCCTCAATAACCTGTCCCAGCTTCTCTGCGGTCTCGGGGATCTTCTGCGCGACCGCCGGCGCCTGCTTGCGCACCTCGATGGCGATGTCCACAATGCGGTCGATGAGGGGCTCCATGCGCACAGCGATCACTGAGAGGTCCGGCTGCGGACGCGGAGAGAAAGACGAGACTTGTCAAACTTCAAGTTTTTGATTGCGACTACGTTAACAATGTGATGAACTGGGAAGCATGCACTCAAAAAACGCACTCCGAGGAGGAGGTGGGATCTGAAAAGCGAAGCCTTCAGTTTCTTCGAGGAGGTTACGACTTCAGTTCTTGAAGACATCAAGATGCGTGCTCCCCATCCTTGAAATCTAAGTGTGATCCAACAACACCCTGCAACATCATGCTCACGGCATCAAATCGTCGTCCGACTTGGCTACAAGGTAATAGCTTAGGAAACAGAGAGGGGGTTTGGAGACGATCCCTTCTGACGACAGGATCTTTAGACCATGCTAAGGGAACTGATGACGTCAACTCACCGCCAGCTCTTCTGGCACGCGCCGCCTGTGGATGGCGTTTTTGAGCGAGTTGGGCAGTCTTTCGGCGACCGGCCCAACAGTGTCGCACAAGTCCTTGGCCGCCGCCTCGAACTGGTCGGCGTACTCGGCGGCCGCGGGCTGGAGCATGCCGCGGTTGAGGTGGCGCGCCAGGGGGACGGCTTGAGACTCCACCTCCTTGGCCAAGGGGTCCAGCGCTTGGGTGCGGAGACTGAAGAAGACGAGTTTCACGTATAAGCGACGGCGTTCATACGAACGTAGAACGTTCAAGAGACGGTTTCGCAGAAGTGATGTAAGACTGTGCGAACGAAAAGCTGGTTTCTGGGCGAAACAGGTACACAGCTTTAGAACAAGACTTGAAGCACGAAACCCAAGTTTTGTCACCGAAACAACCTCATCGTCAAGATAAGCTGATCAACGAAATGGGAACGTATGAGCAGCCTTTTATAGAGTCGCATTGAGAATTTTATCGGTTGCGTGTACGTACCTGTCGACCAAGGACTGCTCCACAGCTGCCACGGTGTCCTCCGCAATGTTCTTCACATCCTTCTTGTCTCCACCCGACTTCGCCTCCGTCTCGTCTCTCTTGTCCCCGGTAGAGTGAGCCCCTCTCTGGTTGTCCTTCTCCCCGGTCACCTTCGCCTCCTTTTCGTTCCTCTTCCCAGCCCCTTCCTCCGTCGCTCTCTTCCGCCCAGCTTCCCCCAAACTCACGTCCTCGGAACCCCTCCCGCTAACTCCCTCCTTAACCTGCCCGGCTGCTTGCTTGCCCTTCTCGCCACCCTGCTTAACCTTGTCGCTAACCTTGTCCGTGGCATCCTCGGTCGCCTTCTTCCCTTGCTCCACCCCTCCCTTCACCCGGTCCGCTGTCTCGTTGACCCCCTCCTTAACCTGCCCCGCTGCCTTCTCAGCGCCCTTCTGCCCCTCGCTAACCCGATCCTTGACCTGGTCCGCCGTCTTCTGTGCGGTCCCCTGCGCCTTGCTAAGCCCTTCCTTAAGCCCTTGCTTTGACTCGTCGGTAGCTTGCTTAAGCGCCTCGGCACCCTCACGGATTCGGGGCTTGGCTTCCTTTGCCGACTTCTGCGCTTGTTGGGCTAACCCTACGACTGCCTCGGTGAGAGGTCGCAGGTCTTCCTTGGCAATCTTGTCGGCGAGGGGCTGCAAAGAAAGGGGCACGTGCTTAGCTGCTAGAGATACGAAGCTAACAAAGTCGTCCAGACCTGCCGTTTTCATATGAACCAGCATATGACACCTCGTTGAAACCACGCTCAAAACCCCGAAAACACCAACGCGAAGGACGCATGTTTCCCTTCAGGCCAAATGACACATTCAATCGCGACCCCAGCACTTCGCATACTGTCAACGCCAACAGATAAAGGCGTGAATAAGCAGACTCCTGGGGAAGGCACTGCTCCGACCGACGAGCAGCGTTGTTAGCGCAGAGCTAAAGCAGAACCGGCCAGACTTATTCTCTTTGACCACCCACCTCGGCGTTGTCCGCAATATAGTCCGCTGCTGGCTTGAGCCCTTCTTCCACAAACCGGTCCATGGCCTCGGGGATCGTTTCCGCCAGCTGGGCCGCCGCAGGTTGCAGCTGCTCCTGAGTGAAGCGTTTAGTGTCGGGCTCAATGTTTTCGGCGACCTCCTTGGCAAGGGGCTTCAGCGTCTTGGAGTTGAACTCGTCGGCGGTCGGCTGGAGGCGCGACGCCACTTCTTCGGCGGACCCCACGATGACGTCTCTGCAAAGAGGGTTTAGGACAACGTCAGCAAGTTTGTGGACAAGAGGCAGGTGGGGACGTTACCAAACAGCGAAGTTCTGAGTTGGTGAAACGGAAGAGTGATAGCAGGATGTTGGCCTCATCACGAAAGGCACTTGTAATACCACTCGAACGACGGGACTTGTAGCCCAATTATAAGCAATCTTCAAGACTGTAGGTCGGGCCGCAGCCTGCACACAAGGCCCCGAAAATCGACTTTCCTCGTGTGTTCCAGCCAGAGAACAAGCTATCAAGCAAGCGCGTTCGAGTGGTTGATTTGTCCCGCCAAGACAGATGTAAAGAGCGTATTTTCCGTTTAAATTTGTCCAGATAAGTAAAACAAATTCCATACATGAAAGGAATCGTACCTGCTGTTGTCAGCGACCGCCTGTGCGTCCTCGGCAACCCTGTGGGCGGCAGGCTTGATCGCACCCTCGGCAAGCTCTTCAGCGGCAGCATTGGTGTCGTCAGCCACCTGCGGAGTTGCACGTGTTATTGCGGTCATCTTATGGTGATATAAGATGTGGCGGGTAAATGCGTTTGTAGGCAAAATTATCACTTCGAGGTGTTCTGCCTTTAGGGACTCCCTTTCGTTGTGCTGCACACAAGAAGGGCTTCCACAAGCGTTTGGTCCATACTTTCTTGGAGGGTAGTCAAGGCGAGGAGTGTTGGACTCTAGCAGCAGCACCAGCAAAGCTGCACGAAACCCTATTTGCGAAAACCAAGACCTTGCAAATCAAGCAGGTGTCATTCATATCACAGCGTGTTAATTACCTGCTTCGCAGCCGGCTTGAGCGTCTGCTCCGTAAACTCTTTCGTCTTGGGCTCTGCTTTCTCGGCCACCTCCTTGGCAGCAGGCTTGAGCGTGCCCTCGGTGAAGTCGGAGACTGCCGCCACACCCTTGTCCGCGGCGTCAGCCACTGTGGGCTTCAGAGTTTCCTGCAAGAAGCAGAAAGGGGTTCATCTTTGACCCGTTTGCGAGGGCAAGTAACTCCTCACTATCAAAATCAAGAAGCAACAGGAACTCCAAGGACTCAGGCGACTCTCGGAACGACGTCTGCGTGATAAAAGCTGCGCCAATCTCAATATCCATATCTGCGGATAGCAGTGTCTGAATGAGTCGCCCCCTCTTACCCAGCTTTCGAAAGCCTCTCCAGACCGCCTGAAATGTGCTTTTGCCCTCTAGCTCCCAAGCAAACAAGAAACTCTTACTTCATAAGCTGCCTTTGTAAAAGAAGTCGAAGCAGAGCCGTAACATGATGCTGAACCCAGGCACCAACTTCAACTTGTTTCGAAGGTACCGTTCACAACTAATTACCCACCTCTGTAAACTCCTTGGTCTTGGGCTCCGCGTTCTCTGCGAGGTCGTCCGCTGCCGGCCTGATGTAATCAGACGTCAGCATCCCGGTCTTGCTGACGACTTGCGCCGCGGCCTCCTCGCCCAGGGGCTGGATGTGCTCCTTGTTGATCTTCTCGGCAGTAGGGCCAGCCTTGGCAGCAACGTCCTTGGCAACGCCACGGGCCTGTTCCACTCCGTCGTGGGTTGCGTCACGTGCCTGAAAGTTTGATGCTTGTGTTTGATGTTCGGGCTTGAATTTGTCTGGTCGACAACGCTTCAACAATAACCTCCTGGCAACAGATTGCTTCTTTCTCAGCGCAATCCAACACCACAATCTTGATTGCATGAGACGGGTGAATGGATGCAAAAGTGTACAATCTATTCTGTGCCACCACACAGGCTTGACATGAAATTCGCGGGTTTTGCGAAAAGCACGAGCTGCTTGTTGAGTGACGCCTCGTAGTCCCTCTTGTCCAACTTCAGTTGACATCTTGCAAGCATTAGATCGTCAATCGACGCAGACATAAGTGGTTCTCCCTTTCTCTGGTCCATCGAGCTTAGAAGTTGCCATGTCTTGAGGTGCTCGAAGACTGCGCCGCTCTAGCCACTGAAAGGTTAAGCGTGGCCCTTCCACTAGCTTCTGCAATCGAGTAGTGACCTCCAATTCCTTCAAAGGGAAAAGCCCGCTTACCTGGTCAATTCCTGACAGCGCCGCGTCGTGCGCCTGATCCGTCGTGGAATGAACGGCATCTCTCGCCGACTCCGCGCCAGACTTGACCGCACCCCGGCCCTGTTCGACGCCGGACTTTGCTGCATCCCGTGCCTGCTCCGTGCCCTCCTTTGCCGAGCCTCTAGCTTGGTCTACCCCTGACTTCGCAGCTCCGCTGGCTTGATCCGCTCCCGACTTGGCGGAATCCGTTCCTTGTTCAAGAGCGTCGTCCCAGGTGCGGTGGCTTCCGGGGGCTGCTTCTTGCAGCTTGGCAGGGGGAGCAGGTGGGGGCACGAACTTGGCGTCCTGGAACAAAAGCAAAGACCCTAAGTGAGGACGTGAATACACGGTTTGCAAGCCAAGTGAGGATCGAGTTCAATGTCTCGCACCATTCAACGGAACCCGCTCTTAGAACAAATCTTTGTCCCCCTACAACCGACTTCAAGTCCGACTTAGATTCGATTTCTGTGCAAAACGATGGAAGTTTACACACCAAGCTATCACGTCCAAGCTTTCAAACCCAGACTTCGAACAAAAATTCGCCAGAAGCTTCACGTCCGGACGTGCTAGTACGACCCCCCACCTGGAACACCGTCGCAATCTCCTTGATGGCCTCTGCGCGCAGTCGGATCTCTTCCTTGCTGACGTCACCCTGCGTCAACACACGTGACGTCACAGCCGCCAACGTGTCGTCCGCGTCCTTGCAGTTGAGCTCCCAGAGCGAGGTGATGAGCCAACCCAGGCGGTCCTCAAAGTACTCGGCCATTTCCTTGGCGGGCATGACGTCCTTCACGAAGTAGCTCTGCCGGTGGAATACGTCGTACTTCATCACATTCACGCTCGCGTAGCCGTGCGCGGCGTTGGCCTGCAGAGTGGGCACAGAGCTACTTGTTCACCACGGAATGTTGGAAATAGCGTATTTCCTGCATTGCATTGCCTTCACAATAATGAGACGCTTGCTTTTCCGTCACATGTACCTTAGTACTAGTGAGCAGTTGTTCTGCCACTACCAGGTTTAACGACACTGGGGTGAAAGCTTGCCACGTGACGAAGGGCAACCAGACGACCAGAAAACGTCAAGTAGCAAAACCCAATCGGACGCAGCACCAGAAACTTCGCAGGTCTAAATTCGAGAGCCTCGCAAAGGCAATCAAAGCCGGATCGCTTCGAATTCCAACGATTGGACGAGGCCGTCTAAAATCTGGCAGCCATCTAGCAGTACCTTTAAAGCAGAACCCATTTCAGAAGAGTTTGCACAGCAATCTACCTTATCATTTGCCGAGGTATGCGAGAACACTTGTCGAAGACTCACCAAGACCGACAGCTTGTGCCCCATCCTCGTGAACCACTCGCTGACGACATGGCCCAAATACGGATTGGCGGCCCGCTCGTATGCGTACCTGGAAACGGAGCATCGACAGCCCTTAGAGTAGCCGTTCTAAATCTGGGCCCAGATCTGTATACTTCGCAGTGGATGAAGCTCGCACAAACACAGCACATGACAAACCTCTGGAGAATTGAAAGACCAGGAAACGGTGTTGTCCACAAATGCTTAAGCTCGTGCCCACTCGCAATTGAGGACCCTGTTTGCACCTCCTGTATCCGAAAAAAAGACATTAGGACAAAAGTTGTAGGACAAAGCCGAATGACCAAAACAGCGGCAAGAGCAACACGTCTTTAGCGAAAGAGAGACTGCTTTTGCCAATAAATAGATTGCTCACCCGATCAGGTGCATCATCGGCACTCCAAATGGCGTTTGTTGAAGAACCTCTGCCTCTTCTCGAACGGCTTGGCGGAATCCCTCTTTGTCTCCAGTCACGTACGGCTGAATCTTGAGCTTGAGGATTTCGGCCAGAGTCTCGATACGTTCCTGAAGAAAGAGGCCAGGGCTTAATGAGAGAAGCCTCTTCAGTTGCAGTCCTTTGGTTGGTCAAGGGAAAGCTTTGTGAACTACTCATGGAATCTGCATAGCTGGACGACCTGTCTCTAGAAAAAGTATCGGATTGCTTGCGAAACATCGATAGAGTACGATTCATGTCTTCACCGCACCTGCTTCCCTCCGAACTCTTTCATTGTTTGAGGAACCTTTCAACAATGCAAACACAGCACTAGGGCAACTCTTCTGTCATATACACAATAAACTGAGGAAACATGGTGAAACACAAGGCAGGAAGGGCTCAGGCAGATAGCCGACCTGATTCAGCTCCTTAATGACAGGCTTCGCGTCGCCTCCAATGTCACCCCCTGTTTCGAAGATGATAGCGGCCAACGTCGCCAATTGTCCAACATAGTCCTCAAAGCTGTCAAGCAGAAGTGACAGGCTCGCTAAAACTCTTCCTTGATAAGCATCGGAGCTTGTCGTCATCGAGATTGCTACAAGCAATTTTCTTCGCTTTCCTCTGAGAACTTGTTGCCATCCGGATTGTAACCAGGCGCAAAAAGGAGTTCTTTCCTCCTCACAAGTATTGACAACAGTCAACAGTAGCTCCTTGGCTAACCACATCAGGCCTACAGATGATCAGCAGCCTTGAACTCAACACAACAAGTGGCCAAAATGTTTTGCCGAAGTACGTCTTTCATTGTCAAACTCTCGTGTCCTCACCAGTTGGTTCATGAACCCCTTAATCCGGCCTGCGAAAGCATAGCCAGCAACTTATGATGTGACAGGAATGACTATAGACAGATCTGAAGACTACGTAAAGTAAAACCAAACACTCTCAAATATAAGTCAGGGCTGGATGTGTCATGGCAAACTCACAGCTTGCCTTTGCCCAGCAGCTTAGCAAACGCAATGGCTGCAGATGCCAGAGCCTGCGCTTGCTCATTCTGTGCCTTGGGAGGCCCCTCTGGGATTTGAACCGTCTTCTCCTCTGCTTCCTTTCCGTAACTAGGGGGAAAGGTGACGTCGTATGCCAAGCGCTGCTGGGGGTCAGTCAGCACCTCGAGGGCTGCGCTCAATTGTTGCAACTGGAGGCGCTCAAACTCGAGAGCGGCAGGGTCGGCGGTGCGGGGACCAAAGACGTTGGCCATCCTTTCTTGCAGCTGCAGGGAAACGATGTCACAGATGTCACCAGAGATGTCACCACCTTCATAATACTGGGCAACTACGTCATCAATGAATTGTGTGGAATAAGCTCTTGCTCTCAAAATAGGCGCTCTGGGTTTGACCTTCTGTTGTTTAGGAATGACACGACAGCACAGGTCACCGTGTGTACGGCACTCATTAGATATTTGCTAAGGTCCTAATGAAGCAGAGGAAAAGCATCAAGTTGCATTCGCGTGACTTTCACCTTTGACAACAAAAAAATTTGATTTCTGAGCTTGGTTGGTTGAAAGTTCAATGTAATACAGGACACAACTCAGAGGGAATTGGAAGGGTGCATGCATATGAACCACTCGTGGAGCCACTGACACTTCATCTGCAAATGAAGTTGCATAGGACAAGGGAGAAAGTCAATTGAGGAGGTCAAAACCTCGTAATAAAAAGGCACCAAAACTTCCAAGCTTCGTTTCTTTCATGAGTTTGGTTATCAAGTTACACAGGTGGTGGTATGAAGTTGTCTGCCAATGGAAAAATGTTGGCATTTGAGGAAAACTCAACGTACAGCAGGCTTGGAATTGGAAAATGAAATCTCAAATGCGTATCACAACCCGTCAGCACAGCTTGTGCATGCAGAACAGCTTTTTGGCACTGATGCAGTCCAATAGTGATGGCTTATTGTCAGTCAATGAAGGCCAGCTCTTACATTGTGACCTGCAGAAAGGGAAGAAAAGGTCTACCATCCATTAAATCAAAGAGAGCTACCAAACACAAAATCACAAAGCTTTCAGGAACAAATTCCCACCTGAATGGCCTTCTCGCCATATGCAAGCTTGATCTCCTCTTCAGAAGCGGACCGGTCAACTCCTAGCAGCTCATAGAGCTTGGGGTCTTTTGGCACTTGGGATGTAGCCATTGTTTCTGCTTTTCAAGTTTGCGTGTTGCTCATTAACCAGATGTAGCACTTAATCCCTTCTACAAGTTGCTTGCAAGAGACACTTTCCTTCAACAAGCTGACAACCAATTGCACGTCTAGCTTCCTGTCCAATTTAACAATCGCCTTTCTGCAAAGCAAACAGGAAGCTTTTGCACCCAGCAGATGGAACTGCCCCTGCAATTGCCTTCCATGGAAAGGTCGCGCGCTTCCCTTCCACAGTCACCATTGCATGCACTTTTCGCCTTCCTGAGCTGGAAGCTCGTGAAAGCTGGCAGGCGTACACTTGTCAATCGGCTGAGCTGCCAGATGCCACCCCGCAAGTGCACCCATAAGTCCGCCGTTCCGTTCCGTTGCGCTCCCAGTAGGCCGTACTCATTCATGATTTTCAAATTCATGTGCTTAGCGCTGCATGTCTCAAAAGAAACGGGCTCTTTCTGATCCAAAGAAGACAGCCGGACTCCGGTATCACTCAGGAACTGCTTGGTCGGGGACGGAACGGAACGTCATCGTCCATGGCTGACTGCAAAGTTACGTACCGGCCCTTCCTGACGGAAACGTGTTTGGCAGACGGAGGAGGGGCGACGTCACCAGGGCGCATTTTGTGGTGCTAGCTCTTTTCCTCAACTGCCAGCCTGCCCCAGCAAGTTTTCGTGTAACTATCTTAGTGTCTTTGAAGTAGGGAGTCCGTTGTCGTGGCCGGTTGTCTTTTTAGGGGCCCGTTTTTTGGTTGAAAGCCCGCTGTTTGCAAGGCCGTCTTTCGAAGATGGCCCCCTTTTATGTGCCTACGTCATTGGATGAGCGGGTGCTCCGGCCAGAGACTCTGAGCCCCAACATTATCAAGGCAGAGTATGGAGTGCGTGGAGAGATTTACCTTGAGGCACAGAAGATGGTGAATGCAGGGAAGGAGGTAGTCTTCATGAATGTGGGCAACCCCCATGCACTTGGGCAGAAAGCGCTCACATTTCCTCGACAGGTAAGGTTCTTATGTTGCTGTATCAATGCCGCGCCCTTCCATCTGAGTCTTTGAAAAGATCAATGCTGAGGTTTGCTGATACAAGGCATAGTAAATTGAGCATAACATTTGACGGACACGCTTTACGACCCGCTTTACGACCCGCTGTTAGGAACCTTCTTTTGGGGTTAGTTGCTACGTTGAACCTGTTCCACAGGGGTCTACCTCTTTTCGCCGCGTTTCCTTCTATTTAGTCAGTTAGGTTTTTTCCCTGTCGTTCAATTCTTTTGTGGCGGGGATATTTTAGAGAACCCTGGCCCCTTGAGAAGCTGCTTTGGGATTATGGAACCGGCTGTTGTCAAGCTGAACCACTTACCCAGGTCAGCTCCTGGTTTATCGGCGCGGTTTGGCTGCCATTAACTCTTTAGCAGCTCTTTAGGGTGCCAAGATCTGAGCTGACTTTCGTTGGCTAAACAGTCAGGACTGCTGTCTCTTCACTTGGCATTTCTAAAGTTGACTTTAAGATAAAAGCGCATTTGGTCTGGTTTGCTTGGTTGCCCTCTCTTACTCGGAACCAAGAAAACATGAACTTTTCTAGATTGGGACTATCTCGCACCTTCCGGCAGTAGTTTTCCAGACGGCCAGATTACAGGGTCTACTCTGTACCTAGAGATTGACCGCCAGTACAGGTTGCATCAGATTGCGGGTCCTTTGTACGGTGGAAGCCTGGAGAGAATTATGATCCTTCAAACACCCGTTTTGTTGGCATTCAACTTTTCAATGCTCAATGCCGGCGGCTTGATTGTCAAAGAGCCTTGAAATGGAGATGTTATACAAAAAGTGCTTTGAATAGGGTCGTGGGTATTGGTAGCCTTATATCTTGCCACAGCCTCTTCTCACCAAGTTCTGGTGATGCTAGCATGAGGAAATGCAAATCATCGGTCCAGCGCTTGATGTGATGTGAATCTACCTAATTTTCAATTGTTGAGGAGTTTAATTCCACTGGTCAATTTTGGCTTTTTTGACTCAGCTTCAGATCTACTGGCTGTACATGAGTAGACAGAATCAGATCGCCACCGGGGAGCTCATTCACAAAATTCCATCGCAAGTCTTCAAGTAACGGCGTCTTTTGCAAATGTCAAGTCACGTTCTTTGTGGCTCCAAACCTCACCCTGGAACCCATAGAACCCTCAAAACATTCAAAGTTCTTACATGGTGAAAAGATCCTTTCAGGTCATGGCGCTCTGCCAGGCCCCCTTCCTCCTTGATGACCCCAACGTGGGGAAGCTCTTTCCCCGCGATGCGATTGCGCGCGCGAGGCAGCTGCTGAAAATGACGGGAATTGGCGGGGTTGGGGCGTACAGCGACTCCCGAGGGGTGCCGGGTGTTCGGCAGGAAGTCGCGAGGTTCATCGAACACCGTGACGGGTTTCCCAGGTTAGTCGCTGAACCTAAAAGGTTTTTCCGAGCTTTTGGACGTCCGGTCTACGTGATCCTGATTCTCCTTTAATGTTAGGAAGAAGGAAACTAGTTGAGACTGTGGAGAGGGAGTGTTCTCAGCCATAGATGTCATGTTATGACTCCCGAGTTTCTCTAAGCTGTCCGGTGCTCAAGATTCTGATCTCTTCTCAGGCTACTTCGAGCAAAGTCCGTAAGAGCACCAGTTTTCAAAGACACTCTGCGATGCTTGTTCACCCCACGGTGACGTTTGCTGCAGTGATCCGGAGCACATTTACCTGACCGACGGGGCGAGTCCTGCTGTCAAGCTTGCGTTGCAGTTGCTCATCAGGGGAGAGCATGACGGGATCCTTGTGCCTATCCCGCAGTAAGTGCGCTCACCCAAGTCTTTGTTTTAAGCTTCCTTCCCTGGTTTTATCGAATTCGCTTAGGCTTTGGGGGCTCTTGTCGCCACTCGTCTGCCAGAGTTGACTGTGGCAATCGGATGCTTGTCACCTTCACCCCAAAAGGCCTTCTGTGACGACTGGTTTGCAAGCGCGAAAGAACAGGTATCTGACGCTCGCTTGTGCCGAAGAGGAAACGAAGAGGTTGCTTGTCACTTATCCTTGTCACAATTCCTGTGCAAGACACTGGTTTTAGGAGCACTGAAAAAGCTTCGCTCCAGCTTATGATTGTTACGAAACTCTGACGCAGTCCATCCTGCAAGCTGTCTTAAGGACGCAGCAGCTTGTGTTCACCTCAGTATGCTTCCAATGCATACTTTTTTTCACTAACTCTTTTCCCGGTTTGCTGCAGATACCCGCTATATTCCGCAACAGTACAAATGCTGGGGGGCTCGTTAGTCCCGTACCTGCTAGACGAGAAGAAGGGCTGGGGAATGAACATAGACCTGTTGAAGGAGTCCGTGTTGTCAGCTAGACGGAAGGGGATTATGGTTCGTGGGTTAGTGGTTATTAACCCGGGGAACCCTACCGGGCAGTGTTTGGAGAGGGGCGATCTGGAAGACATTATTAAGTTCTGCATCAAGGAGCGGGTAGCGCTCTTGGCCGACGAGGTCTACCAAGTCAACGTATACCAGTCGAAGCACCCGTTCGTCAGCTTCAAGAAGGTAAGTCATAGTTCGGACCTCCGGGTTTAATTGGTTTAGGGTATGCATACGAGGTACCGAGGCTCGTCCATCGTTATTACTATTCTTTTTGCAGTTTGCAAAGCTGCTGGTGACGATGTCGTTGCAAAGATCGAGAATCCGCACGCCAGATCCTGTCACTTGAGAAGGCTTTCTACTTTCCGTAGATTCAGCTGCAACCCAATCCGTTCAGAGCTTGGCCTTGCTTTGTGTGCATGCTTTCCAATCGTGTCTGCCCACAAAATCTTCTTTTCGAGCCCAGTAGCTTTTCACGGCTCCGAACAAATGACCTTCTGATTGGCGCACCTCAATACCTCGCCGACCTGACCTCCGAAAATCACTGCTTTTGTATATTCAGATGTATCTTACTGACAAAAGTAACCATAGCGGTTATTGACAGCGACGAGACTTCAATGCCATAGTCGTTGCTGACGTGGCACTCTGCTCTCCCCCCCCAGGTATTGTGTGAGATGGGCGCACCGTACAGCCGGAGCCTGGAGCTCTTTTCGTTCCACACGGTGTCCAAGGGGTTCACCGGCGAGTGCGGGCAGCGCGGGGGCTACGTCGAGTTCACCAACATTCACCCGGAGGTCCTGGAGCAGTGCTACAAGATCGTGTCCGTGTCGCTAAGCCCCAACGTCACGGGGCAGCTCATGGTAAGACTTACTGATTTTATGTCTTGCGCTGATTCTTCGAAAGCCATCAGTTTCACGAGAACTGAGGGGAAAGTAAGGGGTTTATCTCGGGCCCCATAATTTCGCACCTCGATGTTGTTTTCGGAGTGTTTGGTAGCTACCATGAGTATGGTATCCGCAGATTTCGCACCTTACGAATCGCAGACTGGCCGTGCAACATCTTGGGTGCTGTGTTAAGGGGCCCGAGTATGCCGAGTGTCCTCAAATGAGTGGATAGCGCTCCTCGAAGTGGCTAATGAAAGCCCGAGATAACCAGGGTCATACGGGCAAAGTGCATAGAAGCAGTGAGTGGGGAAGCTCGTGTTAGGTTGTTGGAGCTGTTATTTCCCTAGGTGGTGGAGAAATCGAGAATTGCCTCATTAATCCTCTCATTGATCTCATTGATCTCTCATTGATCGTCTGCATCGATCCTCTGACTATCGTTCCCAAGCAGCTTTTATCGGAATGAAAAGATAGGTCTTCGAGCACCGCTACTACCTTATTGTGCATGGTATGTGACTGCAACGACTAAATAAGAGTTGGCGACCCTCTACGAGTTCCTTTGCCTTGTCCATGTTCGTGATTAGGGTGTCCACGGCGCTGCTGACGTGTTCAAAGGTCGGCGTGACCGGGACAAGTAGTTTTGTAATACCGCAAAACCGTCCATGATAGCCGGGGTGTCCTGAAGCTGATCTTAGATATTGATTTTGTCTCTCTTTCTGGCAACAAGGAACCCGATCTCATTAGTTTTCGGAACAGCTTGAAGTGGATGGGAAGTATTTGGCTGCTGGAATGGGTCGAGGCTTGCGCCCATGTTTGTTGGTATTACGGCCCCCCATTTTGGTGCTTCTATGCGCCCTTTCTGGGAGGCCGGATACAGACACAGTAAAGTCGTCCGATTTGAGTGTTGATCGCAGGAAGGTCAAAGTAACTAAATGTTTTACCAGACAAAGCCGCTTCTACTGTCACGAAGCCGGACCAAACACCACGGGGGGTGGACATCACACTTGCATCTGGGTCCTGCTTCAGCCGTTTCCCGGGGATCGCTGTCCCAATATCGATTTTTGCCGGCTCATTTGAATGCCTTCGTTCCCCCGGGTTTCTGACTCCAATTCAAACGGACTTTGTACCTTTTTGCCCTCGTCCAGGTCGGTATGATGTGCAACCCCCCGCAGCCGGGCGACCCGTCGTACAAACAGTACGCGGCCGAGAGCAAGGAAGTGTTGGAGAGTCTAGGTCGGAAGGCGCGCGCGCTGAGCGAGGGGTTCAACAAGTTCAAGAACATGCAATGTAACGAAGTCGAAGGTGAGGGAGCAGCATCATACACTGGTTTGTTGTTCCAGTTGGGTGAAGACAGATCTTTGCTTTAGCAGAGTCCCGTTTCTCTGATGTCGAATCGTGTCGTGTACCCGTGTGCTAGTATCTGTGCTCTTGTTCTCACTGCGTCAGCAACAAGGTAGTTGATTCTGACTTTGGAGGAGCCAGGTGTGACTCTGCAGAGTCATTGTTGGCCCTGGGCGGTCGAATCTGCTGGCTTAAGCGCTCGCTTTCATTCCGTTCTTCAGGCAGCCCTGCGCTTAAGCAGAGGTCTCGGCAGATTGTAAATTTTGACCGTTCTTTTTGTAGCGTTTCGCCTTTGAACCTCGCTAGCAGAATACGAGAAGTGAGTACCGCTGCAAAGCAGAGAAACTTGCTGAGCCTCTTTTCGTTGCAGGTGCGCTGTACGCGTTTGCCAAGCTACAGCTCCCGCCGGGCGCGATTGCGGCCGCCAAGAAGGCCGGGAAGGCGCCCGACGCGTTTTACTGCCTCGAGTTGTTGAAGGCAACCGGGATGAGCGCGACGCCCGGGTCAGGGTTTGGCCAAGAAGACGGGTGAGCTGTCGACCGGTCTCGGATGCTCAAGTGACCAGATTGGTCTGCCAAGGGTTTCAGCTATAGCAAATTGGGGAAGCTTTTTTGGGTAGGACCTGAGGATTACCAGGTCAAAAAGTGTGCGACCGTGCAAGTGTCATCCGCGGTAACAAAGAGGCGGATCATGCGCAATAGCAAGACTTGGTCTTCGAAAGGTTTGATTGTGGAGGTTTTCTCTCGGCTGTTTGCCCTGAAGGACCATTAAAATGGGCGTAGGGCTCGCAAGACACCATCCAGAGAACGGTACCACAAGAAAATCAAGTTCGGTCTATTGACGATAGTAGTCATTCCTCCTGTGCCGCCGGAACGTTCCGTGGTGCCGTTGGCGTGACGATGGACGCCCGTTTTAACCTGAGGAGACAAGGCGCGTGCACAAACCTCCAGAGAAGCAGGATTCAACCGAGTAACTTGGCACAGTGTCAAAAAACGAAGCGTCGCTGATTAACGTTCTATATTTTGCCGCGCAGTACTTTCCATTTCCGGACGACCATTCTGCCCGAGGAGGACATCGTCCCCGGACTCTTGAAAAAGGTAGAGCGGTTCAACGACGAATTCATGACCAAGTACAGCACAATGCAGAGCAGAATGTAGAATACTGCTGTGACCGGTTGGGGACCGATAACCTGTTGCATTGCGTTGGTCCCTTAGCTATAGGCCGGCTGATTCATCCAAGTGTACACTGTGTTAGGGCTGCGGCCGTTCTTTGTAGGATAAAGCGTTGCTACTGGCAGTTCGCCCGATTGGGGGCTCAGATTAGGTTCGCGTTTCGCTCTGATGGTTCCGTATTGCGTGACGGATAGATTGAACAGCTGCACGTAATCGGCTGGTAGATTTTCGGGCTGGATCCGTTGCACCTGCCGACCTGAACAGGAGCTATTTAACCAATTATTTAGAAGGTTGCCACATGCGTAGTCTTAGTATTTGCAAACGGATCATGGAATCAATCGGCTGCCATCATCTTTCATGCATGTGACTTGGATGCGTCACTCACTGATGCGACGGTCGTGGTCAATCGGGCAATATTAACCAATTACAGTTCATTTGGTTACACGTGACTCTGTATAGCCTGGCATAATCGCGATGAACGCATTCGCGGATATGACTGCACATAATCCCCGCGTCATGATCGAATTAGAAGGACGAGGAAAGTCGTAAGTCGATAGCGCTATAGCTAGCAGTGACATCATGGCCGAATTACCGCGTGTTATGGCATGCGTACACATATATCGTATGCATGCAAACTGATTGGCCCCTGGGATAAATCAACGCCGTGAGGCCTGTATCGAAAGCTATTAGTAAGAAGTCAACATTGTTTCGTGTCGGAACCTGGAACCTGGTGCTCTGCCGCTCCATTCAGCCTTTCAGGGCGCGAGACGTTGATTTCTAAAACGTGTCGTAAGCTCTTGGAGGATAGAAATCCACACAAACGTGGCTGAAGTTGGGTCAAATAGCATCGTACATGTTAGTACTGGAGCAGATTATTGTTCGGTGGCCGGCTCATTACTTGCATATGACATATTCACAAAGCTGTTCCTTGGAACCGTCCATGCATGCTTGCTTTCTTGTGACAACACGTCACCGCTTCCTTAACAAATGCCCTATGCACGGAGTTGATGCAACTTCAGGATAAGGTCGGACTTGATCAGAACGGCTTGCTCATTTTATGAATGGAATGTATGTTGGCGTCCGTTTTCGGTAAGAATCATACCTATCACCAAAGAACGTGACGAGGAAATGTTCCTCGTAGCTGAACTGTCCGTCAAGGATTCAACTGGACCCGCATACTTCACTTTTCCATCAGCTTTACAATCGACCTTCCAGATGCAATATACTTTGTACGACGGCCGCCTTCACCAAATTCCGGAATCAGCAATCATGCTGTACAAAGAAAGAGTGGAGGACGGATAGAGGTACGGTCAAGGATCAGAGCATCGGAGCAATCTGAAAGCAAGGCAGGGACGCCAGAATACAATCAAAGAGGTTGGACGGAGCGGCAGCTTGAGGATACGGTATTCGAGTAGCAAAGAAGCGCCACGAGATGATGGCGAAGGAGATGAAGCAGACCGGGTTGCACAGCATCGCTTGCAGTCCCACGGCCCAAAGGAACCACCCCAAGTAGCCCGGATGTCGAATGTACCTTGACGAAAATAGTCAGATCAGCGGTAAGAACGATGATCATACCGAGACTCTCAACAGGATGTCAACCGTGTTTAGCCAAAGACCTTGTTGCAGAGGGAAAATACCCAGGAAATACCCAGGAATGAATCACAGGTTGCGAATGAAGCGGCGGACAAGGTGGGGCCGCAAAAGATCATTACGCGTAAGTCAGGAGAAAAGCCGGCCGAGCTGAAGATCCATAAAGACTTTATGCACAAAGGACTTCAGAGTACTATCCAAGAGCCAGCTTCTGTGTGCTATGGCTTTCTCGAGGGCATTCCTGACCTCCACCATTCCCTGACCACCCCAGAATTCTCAAAACTTCGGCCACAACCAGCCCCAGTCCATCGTCAAATGAAAACCGCACATTAGGAGCTAGGACATTCGTCCCCTTTCCCTGCCAGCTAGCCAGCAACGGTCTCCAAGAACGCAGAGAACAGAGAAACGAGAAGACAAGCACTGCCAGTCTTTCTGGCTTACCTGTAGATCCCCTCTGTGATCAGCCTGTGGTTCTGCTCCCTGTGGTGCCTGATATGGTGTGTGAAGCTGCTGCCCGCCGTGATGATCCCAGTCTTCCGTATCGCCTCTCCTAGTAGCGCAACCACTAAGCCGACAAGTGACACCACATCAGGCCCCTTCATGCCTGGAAACAGGCTGGACTCTACCCAGTATTCGGCGCACGCAGCCAGGAGGGCAAGGCAGTAGGGCGGGGAGATGAGCCATGCTGCAGAAACAACGAAGGAAAGGGGAATGAGAGATCTTACTAGTGCCAAGTAATGTTGGCTGATCGTTTTCTCGACAGGTCATGTTTGTGAAGTGGCGGAAGGGTTGACAACTTGGCAACCGACTCATCATCTTTCCCTGTCTCACAAACATACTTCAAAGTTACCTGGGGCTCCCCCTCAAGCCATTCACCAGAGCGACGCAAGGCAGTCCGATGATGCGACTGGAAGTAAGATAGTTTCAAAAACGTGAACCTGCCTGACACAGAACACCACTGCGGGACGGCATGGAGAGCAGGCCTGGTGGCCTTGTTTGGCAAAACAAATCACAGACCCTGCTTCTGTTCTCCTTCCAATGGGAAGCGCTTGTGAGGCAGGACTTCTAGGGCCGCTTGGGCTTTAAGTACTATAGTAGTTTTTAGGTCTAGAAGTCAATGTTGTAGAGGGACTCACAGTGGTATCCCAGATTGTCGCGATCGTAGACGGCTGCTAAAGTGAACTCTGAAACGTGGAAGAACGCCACCAGGCCCACAAAGACGAGAAACATTGGGTGGCGGAAGAGCTCGGCGAGAAGCTGCGCATTGGATAACTGCTCTAATAGTCCCAGAAGCGAAAGCCACCTGCACAGAGATGACCGTGTGATTAACCATGCTTGGTTGAAGCAGTGGTTGCTTGAAATGAGCCCTTTCACTGTCAGATAACCTCAGCTCAGAAGACTATCCAAAGGTCAGCTGCTGTTCAGAAGCCATGAGCAGTGTCAAGGTGCCTCTTGTTCAGTGCGAAAGTCTATCAGAGTCCAAGTATGGGCAATCTTGAAACGATGGCTTTTGTGCAGCTAAGAAGGTGGAAATGCTCTGCAATTGCACTCAGCAATGCTAGCCACAGCATTGAAAGGAGGCGTATTCTGAATCTCCATTTTGAGCAGATGAGATGCATCATCTTTTCTGCATGGCCGTATGAAAAAGACCAGTACTCAATGCCAGAACAAATCGCGACGTCGGGGAGGCGCTTCTACTTTCAAGTTAAGAGGCACGTATGTGTACTTACTGCTTGTAAATGATCATCTTATTGCAACTGAAAAAGTAGGCTTCCTGTCTACTAAAAGGAGCCCCATTTCCAGGTTGTGGCCTTTTCGGCAGAGAATCGGTTAGGAAGGGGTCGGAGGGCGCGCAAGGGGATCGCTTCTCGCCAAGCACCGACATGCAGCCGTACGCGTGAGTTCATCGACGGATCGGAACCGGGGCACGTGAACCGAGCCAGTTACAGTAGCGCACCCCTTTGACATCCATTGACCAAATTCAGTCAGGCCGACGGTTAAGTTGAGGCTTCTCTATCCCTCTACGAGCAGGAGGTCTGAATCGAATCACAGCTTGACACGCCGGGACATCTAAAGAGTATCGAACCGGGAACGTCCTCTAATAACTGCAAGTCGGGACCGGCCACCAGGGCTCCCGGGGCTGTCCCCTATACTACTCCCGGGCACGACCGGACGATAAGGCGGACCCCTTATGCATAGCAGGCCCCCAACTCGCCCAGGCGAAAACAAGGCAATATTATTGCCAAAACCCTGACTTGAGGTACCCTGGTACGGTATCTGCCCATGATTTTGCCCCGTATACGGTACCAACTGGCAACAGGTCTACGCGGTATTCCGCGTTTCAATTAGCTAGGCCCTTATGGATGTTAAAGGACGATCAACCCAAATGGCAATATACAAGTGAATTTGACGATAAATAGGAAAAATCCTATGGATACACCCTTCGGGCTGTAAAATCTGAGATTAATAGTTGTTTTTGGATGCGGGCCGTTGGATGGTGCGGATGTCAGAAAACTCGAATTGCGGACCATCGATTCGTCTGTTCTTGACGATTTCTTTGATTCTTTTTATAATTGAGGCTGGGTACATAGATTTCAAGTGGATTTGTGGGTGTACACCAAGAATTTCATACCGGGAGTCTTGGATGTCGGTACGTGAATTTGAGCGGAAATTCTATAATACCCACAATCTCGGTAGATTAGACACTGGGACTCTGGCGCAAGGTAGCCCATCGACCGGGACAAAACATGGATTGCAAACTCACCGACATTTGCGGTGCCAATGATTGGCATAGCTTGTACTCCCACTACGTGTAACAGACTGTACCTTGTACATCCCTAAGTAAAATTGAGGTTGTTGATGGGACCATTACCGGAATTCTCGCACGCGCAACGCATGACCCAGGTTTCACATTTTTTCACGTTCCCTAGTTCCAAAGCAGTACTCTCTGCCCGGGCGTGGTTCGAAAGCTATAGCTGCGAGTTCAACATGCTGGCTTTCAAGTTTGAAGTGGCACATCGTAGCCGCAGCGCGGCGGCGCGTCCGCCTGCCGCAAACTTTGGCGCGGCCGGCCCGGCCGCGCTCGTCCGGCCAGCCCGGCCTGCGGGCCCCCGGGTCGCGATCCGCTCGAGCTGCCGCGGGGGCCTAGCCTCTGCAATTGAACTTGCAAGGCACTGTAGCATGTATCGAAGGCCGATGGGTCGGTTGCGAGGCGCTTCAGGGGACGAGTTTACAAGCGCCAGACAGGTGTGATGAACTTCCACAATTCCGCGCTTACACATCTGGTGATCGGTGTCGTGGCAGGTGGGCGAACTCATGTACATGTTTCACTTCAGCCATATTTGAGGAATACCCCTCGAAGGGATCCTCAGGAAACTTACAAACAGTATGTTCCATTCAAGCAATTATTCCTTCTTTGCTCAATACATTTTCGAAAGTGTCAGTATGTACGTTATATATTAAGGGTGTGCAATATCGGTCAATGATATAAATATTATTCCAGTTACCTATGATAGGTTTCGTATATTTTTTCGACTTCAATATTGTATTTGAGGAGGGTGTCAGCTTGCAACTTTCTCATTAATAATATCATCCGTTGCCGTTATATTATCAACCACATCACAACCATGTGCGATAGAAGTTATATGAAATAGTTTACAATGCACATACATGAATATCAGGTTAAGTACACTATTTGCACTTTACTTTTCTGTTTAGATTGAAAAATGATGTCGAGAAAACGAATCCTGTGCACACTTGATGTGATTTGGAGTGTCACGAGAGTTTGAGAAGGTAAGATATTCGTAAATATGGATTGAAAAGATGTTGAGACACTAAAAAACCGCAACAGTGGGTTTGTAAGACAAGCGAGCGTGTTCTTATTTCGTCTTTCCAAAATCGGACTGTTCCTATGGCAAGTTTACAACATGTTACAGCGAGCGTCTACGTGTTACACCAAAAGGTGACATCTCCAATCGAGACGGTACACTTCTGTTAGCAAATCCTCACACCTTTTCCGCTTCCCCACAACTTTCGTCCAATCATATCTATGCCCCAATCAATCTGCCCAACAACCCTCTCCTTGGCTCCTCAGCGGGAGCCTCAGTATCCTTCTCCAAAGTCTTCAGCTTGCTGTCGCTGATGGACGTCACCTTCTCGGGAACGACAGCCGGGCCAAGGGCAGCAGGGGCGTGGTCGTGAGACACAACCTCCTCGCAGTACCTGAGAACAAAAACGAAGACATATTGAATTTCACATGCCCGCCATTTAAAATAGAAAAGGATCGACATATTCACGACAAAAGAAGACAAACCGCCATTTGGAGTACAAAAGAATCGACACATTCACGACAGAAAAAGAATATCCGTAACATAAAACTACATACGATTACCAGATACCCATCTTTTCTCCCTGAATCAACAAGAAAACCTGACGAAATGACAAGCACGAAAGAATCTATCTACCATCTGGCAGAACAGAAGATTCGCGACTCACTCTCCAGTGGGCACCTCCACCTTCTTGGTTACGGGCACCTCTGTCACGACCGGCACAGACATGGTCTGCTTGACCTGCTCTGTAACAACTCTGGGCACCTTCTCGATCTTCTTCTCCTCGACCTGCCAAACAGTTCAAAGATCATGGGTTAGTGACAAATCTCAGTCTACTTGAAATCTCTCTCTTGTGTTGCATTACGCCTCACAGCTGCACTCTCGTTACAACGTCGAAGAAACGAATTTTGTGAACTTCTACAACGAGTAAGCAGATCATATGAAGTGTTACGCAGTCTCGATGCAGGAATGGCTGACAATTGAGGAAACCATCGGGTCGGCTTCGTTGCAAACTACTTGAGAAACGTTAACCCACCTCATCGGTCTGGTAGTCGGTGTACGCTTCTTCCTTCTTCTCAGTGATAACCCTACACATGAACCGATTGACTTGGATAAGCAGATATGTATCTCAAGAAATAAGATGTGACAATTCACCAAAGAGCTAACCATGCACAGTTGCACGTTAAAACTAGTACTGACGTTACAAATGTGGGAAGGATCTCTCATTCCCCAACGTGGCCCGAGAAGCCTCAGAAGCTTTCAAACTAGATGACCTGCCAATAGTTATGCGGGCTGCTAAGAACATTGCGGGATTTGAAATCAACAGGTGACGACACGATGCAAGCTCTTCTGAGACACATCGTTTGCTTACCTGGGCACCTTGATAGTTCTCTTCTTCTCAACCTGCCTGACGACCGGCTTGGTGATCCACGTTTCCTTCTCCTCGTAGATAACCTTGGGCACCTTCTCAACCTTCCGCTCACGCACCTGAAAAACCGGAGACTCAACACGCTCAAATCAAATTGGACATCGAAAGAGGAAAACCTAGTGGCCATTTCTTTGCTGTAGTTCAGGTTCACGGTCGAACTAGCCGAAACGGCGTCAACACATTTGTGTCAAACTTGAGAGTATGCAAATTTGTATCCTTCAGCTGGCGTTGCACGAACTGTATCGGCAAACTTCTAGTGGACCTCAGATTACGACGAACTGTGTGGACAGTCTATTAGTGAGACTTCGAATTACCACGTAGAGGATGCTGAGATGTACGCTAAAGAGAAACAACTAAAAAGGTCATTTCTAACTCTATATACGGGCTAATTTATAAGGCGACAGACTGTTCGGTTAACACACCTGCTCGACAACGTCAACCGTCTCGGTGATCTCCTTCTCCTCCTCGATCACCCTGCAAGAAGAAAATAGAAATCGGAATCGGAAACCATTGAGACAGGGATTCGAGTCGGTTGTGCTAAGAAACCAGCAACTGTACCACACCTACTTATCTACCACCCCTCTCGTTTGGAGAGGAAATACCGAACTTCGACCACGCTACGAGTCAACCGAAAAGCAAGATGGTCATAACCAATCATGTTGAACATCGGACTGCACACCTGTCTCCACCAGACAAGCTCCGACCGCTTTGCGTGATAATAATGTCTTCGCATGGTTGTCAGGTTTAGTACTCTGCATGCATATCTCGCATTACCTGTGCACGTCAATGGTCCTCGTCTTCTGCACCTCCTTCACAACAGGGTGCTTTGTGATCGATGTCCGCTCCTCAGTGATAACCTTGGTACGAGGCACGGTCGTGGTCTTCTCCTCGTGGCTGAGACGCTTGACCATCTCGGTCTTCTCAACGGTCTTCATCTGAGGGGTCTTGCGAATGACCTGCACTTTGGTCTCAAACTCCTGGGGCTGCATCCAAGAAAAGTAACCAAATTAGTACCATCTACCAGAATGGTCGAATATGCTCGATCTAAAGTCTCTACTTCGCCTCAATGTCAGTCTACGTTCGCAATTCTTCATTGTTGCTTTTAAGAGTTTCAAGAACCCTTGGAATTTTAGTGCAATACATGGCGGGTGCAGTACATGGCGTGTACACTAGATCTAAGTATTGCAAGTGAAGTGACAGCAGCTGCCTCAGTCCCTGACCCTGTCGACCTGTCTGCAGTAAAGTTCAAACAGACTCAGAGAATCCAGTTTACGAAATGCTGTTTTAGAACAAAGACAAATAGTGCAAAGATGGTTGTAGGACAAGGTTTAATCGCTTCCCGCAGAGTACATATGGCATCTCCAAATAATGGCGCGGACACACACTGAACTTCACTGCTTGAAGCCATCTGCATGCAGTGCCACTCCAAGAAACTTCTCTTGCTCAATGAAGAGCAAGACCTTCCAAACTCGGTCAGAATGCTGAAGCTTCTTGCTCAGATGATCTGAAGTCAAAGAAGGGCGCATTTGACTCTTCCATGCACTGCCGACCAGTCATGTCATCATAGTATGGTCAGAGAGGTGAAATTTCACAAGGACAACCTGAAAGAAAACTACACACATACTTGAACAACAGCCTCTTCCCATTCCTAAATGCAGCTCAGTCTAGAACGGCGACAGCTTTTGGACACTCTCTATGGCACAATGTTAACCAGAACAGCTCCAGCGCACAATTGCCAAACAACAACGTCACACTTACCGTGGTCTCATCGACCCTGGGGCAGTAGGGATCGCTCTCCTGGTTCTGCTGCACCGTAGTGTGCACGGTGGCCCCACCCTTGGTCACCTCAGTGATGGACGCATCCTTCTGGTTCTTACCCTGCTCCCTCGCAGTGCGGTCAGCGATCTTGGCAGCGGAGTCCGCGCCAGCCTTAGCGGCAGCCTCATTGCCGGACTTGTTCCTCTGAGCCATGGCTAGCTGATTGGTCCTGGTACTCGGGTTGAGCCCTGAAGGTTCTTGATTGCTTATTTGGTACTTGAAGGCGCTTTCACAGGCGTTCAATTGTAGACGAGAAAATTTTTGTGAGACAATTGGCGACCTGCGGGAAACTAGGGGATTGTCGGCTCTGGCAAGCAAGCTGTGAGGCGAGCTGCCTTTCCTTTGGGAGCAGGCCAAGTCAGTCACAGGTTTGACTGCGAGCTGGAGGCCATTTGTGAAAAGTTTTGGACTTGTCAGTCAACCCTGCAATGGGAGTACGACACGTAGGGCTTTCAAAAAGAAATCCACAAAATCTAGCTTCGTGTCGGGTCCAGCTGGTTCGCTTGCCTCATCCCTGTTCTGCTGCACGCCACTTGGAAACCTCACTCGTGTGTGCCAACAGTGCTGCATGCAGCTAGAAACCGGCTCCACCGTCGTTGATCTACCGGGCGAACACAAAGCTGTGTATCTGACTTTCTGGAGCTCGGTTTAGCATACCGGGTGCGAGACGCCAGAAAGCTGTGCATGCAAAAGCAGAATGAGATGAGTCCGCAGCGGGGTCAGTAGGTACCGGTACCCGAGGTAGGCTATAGCAGCCACCAAATCACACTCATGTACAGACTCCAAGTCATGGTCTGCATGCAGGTGTATTTTCATAGGCTATGGTGCTGTTGAAAGGCAATTACCAAATCGCGAGTGGACCGCGCTCCTGTGTGGGTCAGGACTCAGCCAGTCAGCACAAATCCCGCAATTAGCGGCCGTTGCCGAAGTTACTGTTAGTGACAGGCTGCCAGCGCCGCGCTTCAGACCTTATTCGAGTCACGTGCCGGTCCGCCATGCTCGCGCGTACGGTCCTTGAGGCTAGTGCTTGGCAGTGCATGCTGAACCATTGTTCGGAATTGTGCTTGCTCATTCAAGTGCGGCCTGAATTCCGAACATGCCAGCAGCAGAGCAGCATCCTATCAAATACACGCTCGTCGCTCGCTCAGAACGAATCGTGGCCATTGAAAGTTGGTACTGCAGCGTGCGTTTCAAAAGCACAATTGCATCATTTTCTTTCTGCACTGTCTTCTCGCACAGTACATATGCACGTGTGTTGATGGATGACCATGCATTCTCCCGTTTTTCAACGACGATCGAGATTCGACACATACAACACGATCATTACAGACCATTTGCCTGATCGCATTTTGATAGGCTTATATGCAACCCGAAGCTCTCTTGTTGAGTTGTGGAGCCGAGTCACAAGTGGTCGCTACTATATGAAAAATTTGATGGCTCCAGATTTTAGTAAAATCATGCACATATTGATAGTAACGTACGCATATTCTCACTTAATGTTGCGCCTTTCACAAAACAATGGTCCCCGGAAATCTGCTTGTCCCAACTTGAATGCTTCTAGCCAGCAGATCGCTTGATTGCTCAACCTAACCTTCAATGTAAAAGACCAATTTGAAACGCACAACTGCCAACTGCACGTGCCACTGTCAACTGATGTTTATCCAAGCTTGTGCACAAAACATGGACCTTGGATCCATCCATCAAGACACGACCAACAGAAACTTCAACCAGGCTATCCCACACAATCAAGTAAAACCGGACCTGAATTCGACTTGCACAATCCCATGCTTGGTGTCTTGCTATAAGCAATATGCGAGTCAACAAGCTGACCTGAAAGTACATTTGGGAGCTTGGTGCTCCAACGGGAAGTCGGTTGAAAGAGGATAACTCCGTCAGGTGCTGATCAATGTGGCCCTTCAACTTGCTGTTGAAAGACACTCGCAAAGAAAGTAGAGTTGAGGAGCAGCTCGCAAGCATGCAGTCAAGTACGTCGTCGCTTGACCACTCCTGGCTGCCTAAAATCTGGCTGTTTACCACATTCCCTATACCATCCACTTCGCCTTAGAGGTGAGCTTCTAGTTACAGAAAGCATTATCATCTGTTGAGCTACTAAAAGCACTACCTTGTGACCAGTCGTTTAAAAGTACGGATCAGCACCAATCAGGTGCGAACCAGCGCACTGATCTGCAGATTAGGTTTTTCAGCAGTGCGGCTACCCTACTCCTTCTTGTTGGATTTGTTGATGAGGGACTTGTGAATGTGAGGAATGACACCACCCCCTGCAATGGTCCCCTTGATGAGCGTGTCCAGCTCCTCGTCTCCTCTGATGGCCAGCTGCAAATGCCGGGGCGTGATACGCTTCACCTGTAGGGGAGGCAAGAAGACCACATCAGCGTAGCTTTCTTCAGGAGGATGGAGAAGAGTGCAAATCAAATAACTGCTGAGATCAACACCAGATCAACACTAGAGAAAGCACTGAAGAGACAGAATAATATTCTTTGGGTCATCAACATTGGATTGGAGTGCGATACTTTACCCTATTGCTAGTTAAGGGAAATACTGCCGAGGCCGCAAGCACATAACATATGAATGCAGAAGGATACAGTCAAGGACAGTAGTGACGGACTGACAACCTTGCAAGCATCACTACGAGGCCACACAAGCAGCTGATACTGCCAGCTAGACGAGAGACTGGTTCGATGCTTAGCATACCTTGAGATCCTTGGATGCGTTCCCAGCCAGCTCGAGCACCTCAGCCGTCAGATATTCCAGAATAGCAGCGCTGTAGACCGCTGCCGTGGCACCCACACGGCCATTTGCCGACACTCTGCTCTTCAGTAGTCTGTGGATCCTTCCAACCGGGAACTGTCAGAAGAGACAGGTATTCCAGCTGACGTACTCATGAAGACAAGACTCGCATCCTGTTAAAAAACTTGCTGTAGTTTCTGGAGCGGTGTATATGCACCATCAGGTGCGGACGGACTCCAAGGGCAGACAGGAAAATTCCAAAAGATCCATACTACTTCTACAGCTTGAGAGCACAGACAACTACTCTGAAACCAGCTCAACGAGGCTGCTCACTCCAATAGAAAGGGTGTTGAGAACTCAAGTACAACCAGTGTCCATAAGATGTTCCTAAGAGGAAAGCAGAATAAGCAGACCATGCCAAACAGAATTTAACAGGGCAACTCTGAGAGCGATCTTGAAAATGCGCTTTCCCCGGGCAACATCCTGGGCGGTAAATCTGGCACAGTGACTGCATGACCAAGCCGTTGATGTAATCATGTTGCTTATTTACCTCTCTTCTGACTGATGCTCTCATGGTTGGGAATGAAATAAACAGAATTCTTCAGTTTGAAATGAGGCTGGTGTTTGCATGGTGTTTGCTTTTGTGGATGCTATCTCAAAAGTCAAAGCCCGCAAACAGCTCACCTGCAGCCCTGCTTTTGAGGAACGGGACTGCGGCTTCTTCTTATCCTTTGACTTGTCGTCTGCTCCTGGCTTGCCACCGGTCAACAGACCCTTTGCTCCTTTACCCGACTGCACAATATGGTAAATATGGTCAGATAGCAACCCAGGTCTGAAGATTACGGTGCCAATCTTAGGAGCGCTGTCTAGCAACTGAGCTTTGGTAACCCCGGTAAAATGATGAAGAGCCCCTGCTTGTAAGCCAGTGTAGAATCCATCAAAGGTGACTAGCAAAATGCTTTGACTGAAGCAGTTGGATGCACAAGAATAAAAAAATGTTGCTTAAAAGTAGATCACCATCCTCCTGCTGAATACTATTGAGCCCATGAGATGGTTAGCTCATCTCTTGCTATATAGAGAGGTGAGGTAACCATCTCGATAAGAGGTGAGCTAACATGCTCACGAGCTATAAGGTGCAGAAAGTAGGGAAGACGTTGATTATGGTCATGTGCAGCTTGAAGCAGGCAGACACAGCAGATTGAGCAGTCAATTTTGAAATAGCACCTGTCATTCCTGCGCCACTAAGCTGCAGATTATTTGCGGTATTATTGAGGAGCATTCTCCATTGGATAAGTGCTTTTAGCCAATCAGGCTCCCCCTGGCTGTCCATTCTCAGCAGCTATTCACTACTCGCAATGCACCTTCAGTTGGAGTTACCTTCTTCTAAAAGACTAGCGATATGCTAATCAAAGCCGCACTGCAATCGACTGCAAGCAAGAGGAACGAACAACCCAATGCATCCAGACACTAGGAGCGTCTGTTTACGAAAGGGCGTGAGCAATACTATGCACAGAAGTACCGCAGACAAATCCTCGATATCAACTGCTTGCTGCTTCTGTCTTCTGACCAGTCAGAAGCATCTCTGTGGATGCGGCACCTCAACTTGTGACGAATGGATGCAGCAACCGTTACGAGTAGCAGTAGCCGTGATCTTCAATTTACAATACTGTGAAGACTTGAATGAGTGAACAGAATATGACAGCGATGCAAATGGACTAGGCAAAAGACCTGAAGAGTCCCAATTGAGGGCACCTAAGCCACGTTGTTGAAAGGACAGTAGAAGCCTACTCGTCAGGATCTATATAGTGCCATGCCAAGCCCTGTGACTGCAAGCAAAGCAAAGACGCTTACCATGCTTAGGCCTCAGGAATGCAAACAGACAGATGGGCGCTCCTTTATGTTGGAAAATAGTTCTGGCGGAATGGATGCTGGCTCTAAGTGCTCCCTTTGAATTGACTGTATCACAATTGCTCTTAGCTTGATTTGCTCTTAGCAAAAGTTCAGTGGATAACGACAGGCGCTCATCTAGCGTCCTCTCTTCTGTTTTTGACAGAGATGAAGCTTGCAAGCGCCCTCCTGTGCAGCTTGATTTTGAAGGCGAAGTTTGAACTTGAAGATGGAGCAATTTTTTGAGCGCGAAAAACATGAGAAGCTCGATCTCGCAAAGCTGAGATTCAAACCTCTTCAGAACTGCCTCATCTGTTCCGTTCGATGCTTTCAGCTCGAGTATCGACGGTCTGAGTTGCTGAATGGACGGTCTCTGCTTGGCTCAAGTTCACTGGCTTCCACCCGCGCACAACATCATCATCCAACGGTTGCGATCGCAAGAAGGTCGACCGGGCCGCGGAGAGAACAGAATGAAGTACGCATTCACACTCTCCAACTTCGGTGTCATCGTGAGCCGTCCGATTGATAGCAACGGCCAACATAGGGCGGCCGCGCTAGGGACTGGCATCATCATGCCGCAGGCGCGGCCCCGCCCACGTGGCGGCCCGGGCCCATGGCGGGGCCGCGGCCGCCGCAAATGATTAGTACGAATGATCGGACGGGCCCGGGACGGTCGGTGCGGCCCGCCCATGCTTTCAGCCGCGGCCGCTTCTGAGTCTAGCAGCTCGAGCTCTAAATAGGCAAGTTTGATTGAACCCGCAATTCTCATAGGGGAAGGGGGCCGGGGACTCGAGGGCCCTCCAGCGTACTTTTGACTTCTCGTGCGCCAATTGCACGTGACGGTACATGCACCAGGTTATGAATTGATTACATGCACGCACGCCCCTTACATTGAAGTACGTGCATGACATGCAGGCGGCCGCCATACGGCATCAAATGGATTTGCTATATAGCTTCTATTGACCATATGAGACAAGATAAATGGAGTTGATACAATAATCAACTTCAAGCACAAGTCGTGAACAACTCCTACATCGTCGAATCTAGTTGCACGGACCATTACATGTTGAGATGACAGAAAGTTACGAGAATCGTGAGTGTGGTGGCAGAAGTATCTCAATCTTTGAAATTGGTTGAACACCTTGCAGACCTTAGCAGGGGCGGCTCATAGTAGGATCTCAATCTGGCTGGTGGAATCTGGGGCCAATTGCAAACGTCAACCCCCATACACAAGCCTTCAAACGGGCCTTAAGGGACACAGAGTCTGGAGGTGACCTTCCAGTTAAACAAATGAGTTTGATCTGTCCAAGTTGCTTTTCGTATCGGAAGGAATGGCAGCACTTATTCAATGTAAGAGCCTCATTTGCGCAGACAAGTCAAACCGGTACACTCCCGTTTTAGCCCCCTGATTTGGACCCTGAAGCACTGCGGACACCACTTCCTCTTTGCTACTTTTTGCGGCTGAAACCGAAAGCCCGCTTCGACACAAGCTTCCTAGTATAATCCGTATCTTCCGTTCAAAACTCAAGGAACTGATCCTTCACCTTCCAGCTCCAAAGGCGTGGTAGGTGCAGGAAGGCGGCCAATCGTGTCAGTCTTGCCTCTCATCTTTGGAGGTGGTCGTGCTGGCCTTGGTATCATTCGGCCCTTCTTGATGAACCATTCCGGCTGCACAAGGGCAACAAGTTCAATCTTCAAACCCCAGGATGTAAAGGTGAATAATGGATGGCCGCGAAGTGGTGCAAGTCTGCTCACACAGCAGCGAACACTACATCAAAGCGAAATGTCTGTCTCAAACAGTACTTTGAAATTAGTTCAGCAGGTTTCCAAGGCTAAAACATTTGCCCCGAGTCCAGTCCAGCTGCTCACATACTCGTCCGCTTGACGGCAGTCTCCGGCAGAGCTCGAGAAGGGTTCAAAATGCCTACATCTACCCCGTGCCAGCGACACTGCCGGTTCTTATCACCAGCACCACAGGCCAAAAGCTTACAACTACTTCGTGACGTCATAGAAAGGCGTCCGACCGATCGAAGAAAGAGCACGGACGCAGGCCTGCTGGGTACGACGATCTGACTTGGCAGAGCTAGACTGCCCAGTGCTTACCTTGTACAGAGCCCGCAGGCCCAGCTTGTTGTAATAAACCGTCGTAACTGTGCCCCCGGCAGCTTCGATCGTCTTCCGTGCTTGTTCCGACACTCGAGTCACCTGCAAACGGGAGCGAGCACAAGCCGTGAGGACCACAAAGTTCCTGCTCTAGGATGTGTCCGATCTTAGAGGGAGGTTGCGCGAGAATTTCAACGCCCATGCCCACCAAAGAAACGGAAGAATCCTGATTCATGTGACAACGTGTTACTGGGTCGCGCTTTTCGAAACCAGGTTTGACCTGTTGACGAAGGAGCAGTATTGACCTTTTCGCCTCTCGACCTCAGAAGGGCCAAAGTATTCTGTAGGGCCTTCCGGCAAACAAACAGAGGTAGACTTAACCTTCACCCGTAATCAGACGCTGTCCATTCAGAAATTCCTGCCACCAAGGCAGGACTGTGCCAAACGGCCTGAAAGCGTGCCTTTGACGACATTACACCTGATCTCGCGTGATGCCCATTAAGAACGACATCAAAACTTGCGCTACGGAGCACTCACAATGTTTGAAGTACTAGTGTTCGAAGCTTACCTCGATCTTGATGGGGTGCTTGAACTCGTCGCTGCCCCGCCCCAATAATTTTACGCCGTCCCGCATCGCCTTTCCGATCGCACCCGCATCTTTCAGAGTCTGGTCGGAGAAAATACAGTGAGTATGTCTCTACGGAAAAATGCGGCCACCCAAGTCGCAACGGGATCATCCGCCAAACACCTGAGGTTTTCAATCTGGTTTCAGATTCAGGCAGGCCGATTGCAAAACCACGAAAAACTTGCGCTTTCCAGGCAGGCAATTCCGTATAGCCAACTCAAGTTTGGAATAGAATCCGCATCTGCACTCAGACAAGGGTTGCAGGTACGTTGAACGCAAAGGTAATATAATCAGACCAGATTGACGGACCTTCATGGTGATGAGGTTGTTGGGGTCGATCTTGCCCTTTTCAATGTAGTCGGTCAACCGGTTTAAATTTAGCACTTGGAAATCCAAGGAAAACCTGAATTCAAGATGACAGTCAGTCACCAGGCCTTGCATTCCACTATGTGTGTCAGCTGCTTGACAAAAAGAAGCTGGTTCTTTCACAAGGTAGGGTCGAAGATGGTGACTCAATATTCGGTTTTGTTGCTGACAGATACTCTACAACCACCATCCATGCCCATACCGCTCTGTCACTTCAACCGTTGGCTGTAAAAAGAGCTGCTAGTAGTGGACGTTCACTTCTCGCATTTTCACATCTTCTGCATCAAACTCCCGCATCAACGGGAGACTCACGAAGCATGGATACTTGAAACAATGTAAGTGACGCAGCAAGCATCATGCACCCTCAGGGTCGCTCAATCCTAATCTAAGAACACCATGATTTAGTAGCAGCTGTGGAGAATTCGAAGCAAGAGAGCTGCTTGCCGCAGACAACAGCGAGGGAGGGCACTTACGGATTGTGGAACCCTCTCTTTGGAATGCTCAGCCGCAAGGGGGTCTGACCGCCCTCGAAACCGGCACGTGGTTTCCTACCTGCACGGGACAATGAGTCAGATAATTGCAGGCAAAAGGGAAAGGCTTGCTCCGACATGGCTCTCAACCGGTTTCAAGCCCTGTTTCAGGTACTGGTCATCTCCATACTATCCTTGATCGCATCCAGAGGATGCCACTGTACTGCCCCTATTGCCCCCTCAGGATCTGCTTTCATTCGATTGAAGCAACCTTTGAGATTGCAAAGCGCAAGTGTAGGGAGGTCCAACTCAACGATGAGCTTTATTGTTCAAAAGGACCTGGTTATAACATGTAACGAACTGACCCAACTTTATCCAATTGTCAAAAGCTCACCGCAACCTGCACTTCCGCCCTGATAGAGTCTTGAGACTTTCTCGCTCGCCTTATCAAGGCATGTGCGCTCGTGTTTCGGAGATTGTCAAAGCTAGACAGCCAAGCCAAAAAGATTACAGGCAAAATTCGTCGCATTCTGGTTGGAATTCTGGCTTGCTCCTTGCCTGCTCGTGCCTTCTGGCCTTTGTGACCCCGTCCGCTTGTTTTCCCCAGGCCTGACCCCGTCCCTCGCCCTAACCGCTTTTTCTGCCAGCACACATAGAAAGATAGCCAGAATCAGTGAGTGCTTCACAGCCAGCACAAGTGGTGGTTGTAGGCAAATGATGAGAGGCGTTCGCATGGACAACATGCAAGTAACGTTCAGCCGAGAAGGACTTGCCATCATCAACTTCTTCTGTCTCGTGTCTGCTGAAACAAGCATCTACCTCAGAAGCTCACACCTTGCAAGATCTGAGAAATGAGCGACACCAGCATTGGTGGAGGGAACCTTCTATGAAGGATATAAGACCTACGACACCAACAACTGCTCATCTCCTGGAAACATTCCTGCAGGCAGTCGAATCCAATTGCGACGGCATACCTAAAAAGTGTCCGTAGAGCATAAAGTTTGAAGCAAATTTTTGTACGACAATTGAAATTTTATTTCTTTATGCAGATGATTCAAGAAGCACACCGCTGCTCCAACTCCTCACCTCTTTCTTTGCCCCCGGATTGTCGCGGAGGTTATTGAGCGCTAGGAAACCGCCCGGAGGAACATACCGCTCTCGAAAAACCGTTTCCATAGTCTCTGTTGGAAGCGCTGACGCAGCAAAGCCTCGAGCAGGGGTCTGTTGCCACAAATGGCCATCTGGAATAGAAGGGCTTCGGAGAGGCCGGCGGAGGTGCAACGAACCTACAAGGCAGCTGTTTACCGATGGCGATGAATGGTGGTGATTAGTTGCTCCGTCTCGGCGAGTGGCTTGAACAGCACCTTGGCATCTGCTCGAGGTAGAGCATTCATCATGCAAGGTACCCGCTGGATATCCTGCATTTCCACATTCATCAGGGCAATCGTGCAGCCCAAACTGATTACTCGTCAGTTCTTCCGCACTGATCTCTGTTGCCTGGTCCCAAGACTCAACACGCAGCGTAGCACATGCCTGCGGTCCGTGAACGCCGTCTCGAGGGGCATGACGCAATGCGAGACGTCCCAGCTTCTCAAGGTGCCTCATGTTTCAACGTGTTGAAGGAAACCTCAGCTTCAAAGGATACAAAGAGTGCTACAGAAGGTAGATGAAGCCACGAGCCTACAGTTTTCTATACGATTAAATACCCAGATGGGACATTCTTCGAACGGAAGCGGTAGCTCGATTTAGGCGCCCCCTCATGCAGACACGCCCCCTATACAACCGAGATAGGTACCTACCTAGATCGCACTACAGCCTCATGGGAATAGAGCAATGTTCGTGGCGAAACTAATTAATTTCGCCAATTTGATTTTCGCCAGCTTTTCGCCATTTAGTGTCTAGCAAGGGAATTTCGCCGGCCTGGCGAAAAAGCCTAGGCTACCAGGCAACTTTTTACCCGCTCGGGCGCCTTCACCGACTTTGACAGCTCTCAACCCTGATTGAAACCAGTCGAAACGCCTGCGAATGTGCTTTGTCAGGTTGAACTTCTGAGAAGTGGTTAGAATAAGGTCGGGACAGAAATAAAGTACCCGGGACAGGCGCCCGGCCATAATAGCCGCTTGGAATTTTAGTGCCATTTTCGCCAATTAATGTCCGAGAGGTCCTATTAGTGTATTCAGGATTTGTTTTCGCCACGATCACTGGAATAGAGTCATGAGTGCTGCATGGCTGGCCGATCAACCCAACTACCTATCCTACAACCGTACCGGAATACTTGCACCCAATATCGGCCAGCTCCTATTTCCGGCCACCCCGAACTCGTATGGAAACCGAGTCTCGATCGATCGAAACTCGGTTCGCGGCCGAACATTCGCCACTTTAGCAGGCGGAAACGGGTCTTCAGTAAGGGTTGAAGATCTTGCTTGTTGGCGACCAAACTTGGTACTTAGGAGGGCAGGGTCAAGATCTACCTCCAGTTAAAAACCGGACTCAATTTGACCAAGTATGCTGCATTTGGCTAGCTTATGCAGGTGGCCGATAATAGGAACATGGTAAAAAATCCGGTCAAAATCTGTGATCTTATACAACATGTGGAAGACGTCATTTCGTGCAAGAGTGTTTTATATGGATGGAAAGAGGATTCGACAAGCTTTCTATCCATGTATCACATGCATACTGAAACTTGAGTCGAAATCGAAAACTTGTTGTCAAGCTGAAGGTGGCCGATAATGGGTGCAAGTATTCCTAGTCAAGGTATTATTAGTATTATCGCGGCCGCCCAACTCAACATCTTACCATTACCGTGCGGACATCCTGGCCCGGGGACTCTTGGCAAGTCATTACTGTTGGATGTGGTTCGCCGGGCACCGGGGCACTGGGGCCGCAGCAGACGGTAATGGTGACGGTTTGCACTTTTTGGTCGCATCCTAGATGCAAAGCAATTTGGGGTTTCGCCACCACAGCCAAATCTGAAATGACAATGACATTGACATGCATCCCCTCAGCGGATTTGCAATGGCGCTTGCTCTACTCGGATCTATTTCTTGAAGAGGCGGCTACGTGGGGGCTTTGATGCACTAGACACGTCGAGAGAGGCTACCCTCCTGCTGTAGACGCTGCAAGGTCTGCACAGCTTAAGAAGGTGTTCCGAGCGTTTGCCTTTGTTTCTTCGAGAGAGCATCAAGCATGGGGCAGCAGCGGGACCATGTCCGCGTGGTTCTGGTTGGGGACTCAAAGACGGGGAAGACCTCACTGATCACTGTGGCTGCGTCAGACCAGTGGCCCGAGCAAGTTCCCCCAGTCCTTCCTCTCACCAGGTTGCCACCTGATCTGCTGCCGGAGCGCATGCCTGTACTTGTGGTCGACACGTCAAGCCGGCAGGAGGACTGGTAAGAATTTTGGCTGATTTTTGAGCTCATCTGGTTCTGCAAATAAGTACTAAGCACCTGTTTGGATCTGCAACGGCAATGGTTCCAAGTTGTGATTGGTCAACATGGCGCTTGCAGCATGCACATGAAGCAGATTGGTCTGCATTCCAACCGCAATGCTGTTCCTTTTTCAATGTCAGAGGGAGGCCCGTATCTTGGGAAGGTTATTTACGCACTTTGGTGGGCTGCTGTGCTATGAAGTTTGAATCCCAGGCACTTGCCATGCAGCTATCACTGACAGGAAGTCTGTTTGGCCGCCAAGACCTTGTACACACAATTGTTCGTTTTTGGTTGAACTTGATGCTTCTAAGTGCCGCTGTTGTTGCGAATTGCATGATGGCTTGCTTTTGCGGAACCAGCTCTTAGGTTCGCTTGGTTTTAGCTACCAGTCGATTGCTTTAGTGTAGCAGCATGCTTAGATCCTCAGTGGTACTATCTGAAGCTTGCTGAAGCTTGCTGTGGGTCTTACAAGGTTTCTCTGTCCGTCTTTGCATTGCTGTCAGAGCTCTTGCTGTCAGAGCTCTTGCTGGAGGAGAACCTGTGTTCTGGGATGAATTAGGGCAGAATTGCAAAACTTGCTGTGCAGCATTCTTTTCCTGGTCTTCTGTGATGGGAGTTGAAGACACAGTTGCTTAACCAGGTCATGTGTTGCTTGACCAGAAGTTGCTTGTCCCTTTGAGGTGGCCTGCTTACACTTGCATGAAGCTTCCACTTTGTAGTTCTATCTTGGGAATGTTTCTCTCAGCAAGCTGGCTGCAGATTTTGTCACAACCATAAGCACAGCGAAAGAGCGAAACTTTTATATTACCTCAATGACTTGCAATATATAAGGAGCCTTAAGAATCTTGGCCTTCTGCTCGGTAAGCTCTGCCTCTGGTTTATATCCCCAGATTTTCAGCACGTTTCCAGGTTACAAGCATTTAGGGTTCTCCAGGGTTGTCCAAGCAAATTGGAAATGCAAGCGCCTCGTTTGCACGTTCGTTGGCTGCTGATGAGATCATACACATACAAACCCGCCCGCTGGTTCTCAGTGGGCGCCGAGCTCTTCGGAGCGATGATATTGGTTTAATCCGTTCTCTGAAGCTCTACGCGTGCATGTCTGCCATATATCGCTCGGTTTTCTTTCAGCTTTTTTTGCACCCCTTGGTGTGCATCACTCACATGCATTTGAGGTTTGAGATGGTTGGTGGTGGTACTCTCAAAGGAGCAGCCTCCCGTCATCGATCCCCGCCTTGTTTTATTGCCTTGCCTCTGAGAGTTGGACAATGACATGCCATCTGCTCATAATGTCCTGCTGTTGGTGAGTTGGTGGAGTCACTGAACACTAGGAACTCTGGCTCTGACGTTGTTGTTGGGTTCCGAAAGGTTCAATATAAGCAGTCTGTGCTTCCCATGATGACGTGGTTCAGTGCGCTTCTATGCAAAGCTGGTTGCGACAGCAATCCTCAAAGTATTAAGCGGAGATCCTCGAGAGGAGAGAAAGAGGGTTACGCTGATAATGAGCCATCGTTTAGTAGCATGCTTCAGGAATCTGCTTGGTGTTGGCTGATAACAAAATGCACCGAAGAAGGATAGTCTGAGAAAAGAAGGGTAGTGAAAAGCATACAGCGGTCGGAAAAGTGTAAGAGGAGGACAATTAGTTAGCGAAGGATCCACCAAGTGCAAGCAAGGGATCACAATCAGATGCATGCAGGACCTGGGTTGAGCAGGCTGACCGCGGACGCCATGATTATTGTGGTCACATTGTGATCGGTGAACACTAGCCTGGGGAATGTCTGACAAAGTAAAGAAGGAGAACAAAGTAGGAAGGACGTCCACCCTTCATTCACCACAAGTACTTGCGCGCAGGCCCACGGTGGAGCAGGAGCTCAAAAAAGCGGACGCCATTATCATCACATATGCGACTGACCGGCAGGAGACGTTCAGCCGGTTGCGATCGCACTGGCTACCGGAGGTGCGGCGGTTGAAGCTCAAGGCGCCGATCTGCCTGGTGGGGTGCAAGCAAGACCTCAGGACAGACAGGCAACCGGCACTGGAACAGGTAAGGGCGGCATGCAAGTTTCCCTGAGGAGCATGCTTCCAGGCCCGTGCTTTATCCAATTCAGCGGTCAAAGGTGGGATTCTGGAGATTGGACATACCAGAAAGGTTTGTGATCGTGGGGCTGGTCTATATTTGTGGGGCTGAAAAGGATCTTACGATGGTTGATCCAGTAAGTGCCAGTGCGTATCTACGGGACTGTTTGAATAAGGTTGGCCAAGCTTGGCGTGAGCATCGCCTCCATCGTTTCGTTGCCCCGTCGATTCCTAGGCTGTTCATTGCTTCACTTATTGTGGAGCACCTCTCGCATGGAGCTTGTGGTAGTGATGACGTTCTTGCCGGCTGGCTCGATTTGCTTCTATGTAGGCACTCGGCACTTACCTTTCACCTCAGGGTGAGCCTTGTTTTATTTCGCGCCTTCAACAAACCTAGTTCAATCAGAAAGCTCACCTCAGGGTTGCCTAAATTACCTTGCCCCTTCAAGAACCTAGTTTTGTCAGAAAGGTCACCTCAGGATTGCTTACTAAACTTGCACCTCAGGATAACCTACTCCAATCTATTTCTTGACACATTCTTCTCTGACACATTCCTTACCATCAGGTGGCTACGGAGCTGATGAATGAGTTCCCCGAGGTCGAAACCACCCTGGAGTGCTCGGCAAAGGCGGGCACCCAGGTCGGGGAGGTCTTCTATTACGCGCAGAAGGCGGTAATGCACCCGCTGCCGCCCCTGTACGACTCACGCACGCAGCGCCTCACCCCGCGGTGTACACGCGCCCTCAAGAGGATATTCACACTGTGCGACGAGGACAAGGACGGGATCCTGAGCGACGAGGAGCTCAACAACTTTCAGGTGAGGCTTTTGGAACCGTCTGATTGTGGTTGTCAACCTCAATAGCCGTTTTGCTGATCTGCCTTCCTTGCGGAGCTTAAAGCGAGCTGAACTCACCAGGAATGGAGTCCGGACATTCATCCGCGGCAGGGCGCAGACGGATTCTGACCAAGAGATCCAATGCGCTTACCTAAGCTTAGGCCGGGTTGTCTGCTCTTGCGGCCAGCCCTCTGAGCATACCAGCGACAGTCCATCTTCTTAAGCAGAAAAGTCGTTTGTTCTATTTCTGCTTGAAGTGACAACCTGATCTGGCCGAAAAGGATTCCTCTATTATTATCAGCAGTCGATATTGAAGCGAGTCCATCTGTCATGTGCAGGTGATGTGCTTCAACGCGCCGCTGCAAGAGCAGGAGCTGGCGGGCGTGAAGAGTGTGGTGTACGAGAAGCTGCCGGCGGGCGTGCAGGACAACGGGCTCACCCTCCTCGGCTTCTACCTTCTGCACACGCTCTTCATCGACAAGGGCCGCCTGGAGACGACGTGGACGGTGAGGTGTTGTTTTGGGTCCGTATTCGGTTTTTGCGTTGTCCGGGTCGCAACATCTGTCTGCTTTTTGAGCTCGAGATGCTTTTCTTTCCAGTTTGAACCTTCTGAAGTAGCTTGAGGAAAGATGATGGAGCCGTTTTCTTTTTGAGAATGGGATGGGATGGAACAGTTTGAGGGTATCACAGGTGGGGTCCCACAGTCCACTCACAGCCAAGAGATACAGAAGAAAAGACGAAGAAAAGAGAAGAAAAGAGGAAAAAGAGAGATATAAGGGACCGAATACTGGATTGTATAAGACGATATACTGATTGAGTCACCCCAGATGGCCGTTCGATACACTGATTGAGTCACCGATACCGTCCGATTATTAGAAGGTCACTAGATGACGAACAAATTACGTTGCAACAAATTCTATTTCCGGCGACTCGGACCTCGGTCTATGATCGACACGTGGTCTTTTTGACACGCGGCCCAATCAAAACGGCGGATTTTATGTCCATGTCCCTATCTGAGTGGGACCGATAAGATGGGGCGTTTTATGTTAGAGCTGGAGGGACGGCTTCAACAAGAGGGACGGCCCTGACAATTATGATGGAGCGGTTTCTTTGGTTGGAGCGTGAATAGGGCCCCCATAAGAATAGTCGGCACAGTCCGTCTCAAGATAAAGGCGGGATGCACACTGTGTTTGTTCGCTTTCTTCGTCTCCTAGTCCCCGTGCTCTTGAGGAACTTCCATGTGATCTGCAATCCCTGATCCGATTGTTTTCTTGGTGTGCCGTTTGCAGGTTCTGCGGAAGTACGGGTATGACGATACCGTGCAGTTGAGTAAGGAGGTTCTGGACTTTCCCCAACTCGCAACCAAGGCGCCGGATCAGGTATGCAACTACGTGCGACTCTCATCCTTGTTTTGGGCCCTCTTCGGATTTGCTCACTTGTCGCTTGTCTCTGAAACATAAAATGCAGCTTGAGCTCCTTGGCTTTGTGCTGACTTCCTCTTCAACGACTAAGGTTGGCTGTGATAAACTTCCGTTATAGCTTTGCAGCACGTCATCGGAGCCCTCTTCTTCGCGAACTTAAAGTGGGAATGAAAAGCTTCGACACGTCGCATCAACGTTTAACTCCACGACTACCCGCCTGGCCCGCACGAGGCGAGGCAAAGTCAGGAATACGAAGCCTCTTATTTGTCTCCTGCACAGAGCGTTGAGCTGACGGAAAAGGCGCTGGATTACCTGCGGGGCATCTTCTTGCACTTCGACATCGATGGGGACGGGGCGCTCAGCAGCACGGAGTTGGAGGAGGCCTTCTCGACAGCGCCAGAAAAGTGAGCCGGCTTTTTGTTTGCCTTTGGGCGTTTGTTACTTCTTAAATTGTGAGTCGTTTGGTATGGTCTGCTTCCCGGGTCGCACAAATGCTCGTTTCTTGACATCACGGCGCGGAGCCTTTTGTTGACCATGGCTTATAGTGGTTTACTTTGTGTGCATTGTCAGATGGCCGGGTCTTACCTTGTCAAAAGGAGACGAGACACGGGTTTTTTTCAGTTCAGCGGAAGTTGCAGCTTCATCCGGGGATGTGCAGCAGCATATGGAGGTCCTCACTTGTTTATCTATGTTTTCTAGCGGATGCAGAGTTGTCGAAAGGGATTTGAAAGAGCAAAGCAGCCTGTCTTTGTCTTGATACTCGCTAGTCTTTCATTCCTAGAAGATTCGGCTTGAGATCGGCCAATTTCCCGTGTCTCTGAAGGAGCCCACTTTTCAGCAGAAGTGGGCTCGCCCAAGTCCCCAGACTTTTGTGTGTCTGAACAGCTGCACCCTTTTTTGCAATTGCAGCCCCTGGGAGGAGGACGAGCGGTTTCATCGATGTACAGAAACGAATGCGGAGGGCTCTCTTACTTTGCGGGGCTTCTTGGCGAAGGTAGGCAACTTATCAGTCGGTCCTACGTTTCGTCAGACTTACATCAGAGAGGGAGTCTGTTGTGGAACGTGTGTGTTTGGAGCCGCATCTTACAGCGGCCCAGACGTGCGCGTCACGAAGGGGAGGGGCTTTTTTTCAAGAGCTGCCGTTCTGTTGTCTGCTGTCTACACAGCGGAAAAGCTTCTTTTGCCAGGGGAGCACCCTTCGATGGGAGGCACTTCATCAAACATCGAGTTTGGTGCCTGCTTTGGTTGCATCTGCCGCCTTTATCTGAGAGGGGCGTCCATCATTCCGGTTTCTTCCTTTCGCTGCGTATGTCAAAAGCGTTTTTCCCGCATTCCTGACCACTCTCTCAACCTCGAAAGTTATTATACTCCAGCAAGAAAGGCTCTCAATGACAGGGTTTTTTGTGGCGTGCAGTGGCGGCTCTTCACCCTCTTGGAACCACACTCTGCGCTCGGCTACCTCATCTACCTGGGCTTTCCCGACCGTGACATCAGCACCGCGTTCAAGGTGACGAAACGACGGCGCTTCGACCGGAAGAAGAAGAAGCTCTCGCGTGACGTCATCCAGGGCTTCGTGTTCGGGCCGTCGGGGGTGGGCAAGAGCGCAATTGTCGACGGGCTGATCGACAGGTGCAGCCGCTTGCCTCTGGCTCCACATTCTAGTGGAGACTTGAAGAACGCGGATTTTCCCCAGCACGCTCAATCCTGCTCTGTGGGGTCCAGCGATTCAAAAGCGCGATGGGGGACGGGCGGATGATAGTTTCGACGCTGTCTTGGTGCTACGTCTTCTCGTTCTTCGAACAAGAAATAAATGCCAACCTGCCCAACTTTTCGTTTGGGTTGTCTGACAGCGTCTCGGATCTTTCTTCTCGTTTTACGTCCTCAAACTTTGAGAAAAACGTCTTTCTCCCTGTTCACTTTGTTTGTTGTGTGATTTTGTCGTGGGTTCTCGTTCGCCAGGGTGAAGTGGATTACTCTTGCTCTCTCAAATGGCTGTTGAATCGGAAGAGCGAGGGCGGATCGAAGTGAATTGCTGTCAACTTTCTAATGACAACCGAGGAGCTGAAGATACAGAAAAGTCGTTGGACGGTTAGGCTGATGTCCTGGTGTCCTGCTTCAGGTCCTTCACGGAAGCGCACACGCCTACGCGAAGCGACCGGTATGCTGCACAAGTGGTCTCGACATCGGAGGTGAGGGCAGAGCCCCTACGACAAATTCCAAAGATTACGTGTTTTCTTTGGGTCCCTACTGTTCGTTCTGACCTAAGTCACGGACTGAATTCTGTCGGACGTGGAAATTTACCAGGTATTAGTTATGGATTTTATCACGGTCTGCAACTGCTTCAGCACGTTGACCCAGTGACTTGACCATTGCTCCTAAGCCCCCTTCTGCTGGACTCAGGGTTGCACCTGGCATTCGAAGCCTTTATTGGAGGGGCGATTAATGTCGTCACTCGCGTCCTTGGCCGATGTCTCAGTCCTTCAGGTGTTCTGACAATTCGATGGTGTTTTGATGGTGTTTTGTTTTCAACCCTGACCCGAGGTTTCGTCCTCTCTTTTCGCTTCAGGGGCAAGAGAAGATGCTGGTCTTGCGGGAGGTGACGGGGGCCTCAGTGGATCAGCTGCTTGATAACGAGAACGGGCTGGCGGCCTGCGATGTTGCGGCCTTTGTCTTTGACAGGTCTGACTCGACTCGTGCTGTTTTGTGGCTGCTTAGCCTCGCTTTCACGAGTAGCCGACTTGCGAAAGCGGGTTTTCCCGCCTTTGCTGATGGCACTGCACAATTCCCCCTAGAGCCATGACCCAGAATGTGTTTGGTCATTTTTAGGAATAGACCCCCAGGTCAATGAACGTTCCTCAGTGGATCGGGCCCGCAATCCTGCGGCGGGAACTCATACGATGGGTTACCATGTGGTCTCCGCTTTTTTCTTACAAGTGCCTTTGCGGCGATTGAGCCCTCAGCTTTCCAATCTTTCACCGGAAACATCCGCTGAGCCCATTGATGGTTCAGCCCATATTGTCGTTCGTCGTCATGAAGCATCCAAGATCGGAACGGCTACTTACCAACAAATTTTAATGATAGTCCTGGATTGGTGAACTCTGAAGACGATTGTAGGGGCAGCTGTAAGACCGAACCTGCACGGAGTCGCTCAAATTGACCCGAGTAGCAATCCTTGGGGCATGTACCCGGCCCAGGCAGTTTCGAGACCGACTTCATTTCAAAGGACTGTTGCAGCGTTGTCGACCGAGGCAGCCCCCTTTACCCCACCGAAGCTCATTCTCGACGCTCCTGATCGTGCATAAAGAGAACCTTGTGGCACGAGGTGCAGAAGTTCCAATGAGCCAGCCCCTGAGAGGGCCTTGAGCCCTTGACAAATTTTCCATTCTGGTGCCCCTGTTTAACGAAATCGAACACGGGTTAAAAAGCGGGTTTGCTGCATGGTTTGCAGCACAAGCGCAGAGTCGCTGAGCGAGGCGGTGGAGCTGCTGACGAGGATTGCGGACCACGCGGAGAAGTATGGCCACGAGGTGCCGTGCACACTTGTCGCGGCTAAGAGAGACAGTGGGGACGCGGTGCTGGCAGAGAGCGTGCGGGTAAGGATTCGTTCCTCTGTAGTTTCCTGTTTCATCCTCAGCCTTTAGAAGGGTGACGATCAGAGTGTGTCGCTTGTTTCGGATCTGGTCGGGTGGAAATATCTTCAGCCCGCTTGGGTGTTTATTCGTGTTCTCGACAGTTTTGTGGTGCTGGCATGCTCGGATGGGGAGCGTTGGGGCGCTTCTTTGTTCGATTGCGACATTGCTGAAACATCCTTCAGGGATGCGAGTACAAGGCCCTCCCTTAAGAGCTGCACTTATGTGACGACGTGTTTGACTGAGTAGAAAGCGTGGCTCAATGGATGGACACGAGCGCTTATCGAATTCGATTCTGGACGCCCTAACCTTCTTGGAGGGGGGTGTAGCAGGAGAACATTGCTAAACATACGTTCGAACGTTGCATTGAGTGGCGTCTTACAAGCTTACAGTGTACATTGCTTTTCCTGTGCTTCGGGTTACTGAGCAATGGAGTCCAGAGCAAAGTGGCGACTAAGTTTTGATGTTCGGAAACGGTTGGCCAACGCAACGGAACCCTTGAACTGACACGTGTCGTCTCTGGTGGCAGTATGCAACGAATCTGGGGCTGGAGGCGCCTCTCCCAGTGTCTATAAAAGAGGGCGACACGCCATACCTGCAGGTGAGCTAGTTCAGTCGCCTATTTTAGTCTCTCAACCTCGTTGAATTTCCAATTCCGATCTCGTCAGTCTATAATAGCTTGTTGCCGTGTAGACGCTCTGGATACTGTCTTGCGATAATGAGGCGACGTCGAGCGTCATGAGCGTGTCAATCTGAGCGTCATGAGCGTGTCAATCTTGTGTGTGACTTTCATAGACAAGGTGACTGCCGGAGTGCTGGTAGGGGGTAATCAGGACTATTGCACTTCCCTCTTCTTTGTCGCACCTGAGACCACAACACGTTACCCCGCTTTTCCGCAGCTATTGAATCTGGCCTTGAAGCCGCACTCGAACATTCCGGAGACCGAAAGCAGCAAGGCGTCCAAGCAGCAACGGCTCGCCTCGCACCGGTACCTTGTAACCATCGGGCTGGCCTCTGTTGTCGTCGGAGGCTTTGTCGCCTACCGCATCTACGCCAGACATAAGCAGCAGGCATCTGCATGAGTGACCATCTTGTAGGTACAGGGTTGTAGGGGTTCACATGAACTGAAGAGCTAGTTGCGCAGGATAAGGACCCAAGAATGGTGAACACCATCAAGGCTTTTGTCAACGGTCGACAATCACTGTTCCATTATTCTCCAGGTCGTCCCTGTAAGATTTTGGATGGCCGTGGTGTGCCCTGTTGTCAGCGGGTTTGTTAGCAACTTACAACCGTAGCTTAGATTGAGCTAACTTTAAGTCTCTGATGGAGCATGCCTCATTTAGGCCCATGTGCATCGACTTCGTGGCCTTCTGTTCCCCTTACCTTCACTTGGATCGTTCAAATACATCGCTTTCAAGAACATGGCCTGGCGTAAACTTTTGAAGACAGGCTAGCTATATACTAGTATATCACAAGGCTTACCTAGCAAAAAAATATCAAGATCGCTTTATAGTGGCAACGTCCAACAAACTCTGATGCCGAGGATCCAACGGTTTGATCATGTCGAATCGATGATGTCTTTTCAGATCGATTGAACGCCGTGCCACATGGGCCAAAGGCTTCCTCGGCATCGTGATTCAGGAACAATCCACATTTGCGGCCGGAAGCTCGAAATGTGGGCCGCGGCGGCTAAAACAGCTGGTGCACGATCTGCACTGATCGAGTTGCACGGGACATTTTTAAGGTGCAACCGTCTTGGCCGTAGGTGACGGTAGGTCCCATACCTGGGTACCTGGGCGGTAAACCTGCCCAATGCCGCGACCGGTTACTGCATATGACTCAAAAGATATGACACGAACGCTAGCTGACGGTACGTGGGGGCCGCCAGAACTTTGGGAAGTTTGATGCGGTCAATTCGTCGATCGGATCGCCAAGTCCACATGAACGCTGCGCATCATGAATGCCGGCAGCGCGGCAATGCGCCAGCTATACTGCATTGGTGCGGATTAGTATTGTGTGGTGGGCTTAAAGTGAATTGATTGAATACCTACTTTAGTGCAAGCCCAGCGGCTGCATTTTCCTAATCGCTCGCGTTGGCGGGACTACAGCTGCTGCAGGAGAATATGAGGGTTCGAGAGAAACCGAAAACTTGGCGTCCACCAATTGTAGCGAAGCGCACGTTGACATCGATGGCGCAGATTCGGTTTGTCAAAAGGACGGAAGGTACAGCCTGGCAAGTCACAGTGAGCTTTTTGTAGTCCGATCCGTTGCAGGGCCATGAGCCCGTCGAGTGTCACCTCCAGATTGCGTCGACTGCTGACATTCAGAAACTCAGGGTCGCAACAGCTTCTGGTGTGCTGCGCCACTAAGATGACGTAAAGAAAGAGCCTCGTAGATTCATGGACGCCGCGAGAGTGTCAGCGAGCCTTATCAACATCCAAGATTACGTGTGCAGCGGTAACCTCTTGACTTGTTTTTGCAGACTTGATCTGTGAGCTCAAAGGCTGCATGCGGCGAAGCGAGCCAGGCTTTTAGGCAGCGGATCAGCAAACCAGCAACCATTTTGGATTGCTGCTAAACGAACGGTTTGCTCGTGTGCTCACAAACATCTCCTCTTGAATGCGATAGACAACCGGCAGCTTTCTCTGGGAGTTTAAGGACAGGGGTCCTCACGTTGAAGAGGTCAGGAAGGAAGTCGAGCGCTCAAACAAGAAAAGATGTCGCAGACCTATGGAGGCGACCCCTCGGAAGGTGCGAGAGCGTCAGGCGAATATGGAAGCGGTGCTGGACGCTCCGACTTGGTGAGTTGCATGGACCAACTGATGGCTGTTTATGAATGCGATGACTCAAAAAACAGTGGTGCACAGGGTTTCTGCTTCCTGCAAGCTTGTTTCCAAAAGCCTTTGTAGAACAGAAAAGTTCTTATTGCTTGCATGTGATGCGTGGAAAGAAGGTTGACAACAGAAAGCTTCGTGCATGTATTTGGGCAGATCTGTTTAGTGCTTAGCTTAAGAGGGTTGAGGGGGGATTGCATACCAAATGGCATTCCTCTTCACCGGCGCGTGCATTAGATAATCGAACGTGAAGTGAGGCAGTTCTTTTGGAGCTCGTTTGACCTTCGTGCTGAGGTGTTTTCGATTTTTTTTGAGACAAAGAGGAATTACGATGATAGGATTTGCTGGTTTACCGGACTTAAAGTTTCCGTCAGCTTCAAGCTCAGCGTCTTGGCAGGTCCTTTTTAGTCCAAAGAAAGGCATGTAAAGTGCTTGTGAGGGTGCCAGGATTGTTCCTCGTTCAGTGTCGGACCGAAAACACTCTTCCTTTTGCTGGAGGTGCTTCTTTGTGTCAAAGTTTCGGAGACGCCCCTTCTGAAACGTTCGTCCGTTCGTTCGTTTTCAAACAATGGCTGTCGGCTCGGTTTTGGTATCTTGGATCTTCTAGACCGGCGACAAGTGAGTCGCTCTTCAGACTCTTGGTTCTTTGACTGGTCACCTTATTGAAGTTTGAAAAACAGGTTGTTGAACACAAGTGAGGTACAAATCTGGATACCTTGACGCAAGGTGAAGTAAACGCTTGCTGCCCTTTGAAAGACCTCGTGTCTTTTCGCTCTCTCCTCGGTCTCCAAGATTGACCAGACCGCAACGATCGACGATGCGGAAAATCGCCCATTAGCCGTCCCCTTCCCTGAATGTGCAGCCGCAGGAGTTTGAGAGCAAAGTGCACATCGCCCATCAGACGCCGCCCGTGAACTTGACGCTGGAGAGGCCCGAGGTCGGGGGATCGGGGCAGACGAACCGGGAGGAAGAGGAGGGCCGGGAGCAGGGGGAGGAGCGCCCTTTGTTCGGGAAGAAGGACTCTACCGGGGAGACGGCACGGCCAGTGTACGGCCATTCGGCCTAAACTCAAACCTATCGAGTTTCGCTTCTCCATCAATTTCAGTGTATTCTGACATGAGTCTGGAAGAGCTCTTGAGAAGGTTGTCGATCAGATAACTTGCTAGAAACCGACAAGAGAAACCGCGGCATGAAGCGATGGATGAAAATGAAAGCCTTTGCAAAAAAGTTGTGTACGCACTTACATGCTGCAAAATTGCGCAAAGCCCTGTGAACCGTTGCACCCCGGTCCTGCCGTCAGTCATATCAGTGACAATGTGCCGCGAGAGTGTCAGCTGTCGTCCGAGACACCAACGGACTCGCGGATCATTGCACAGACTCGGTTCCGACGGAAACTGACCACAGGTTTTCAAACAATTCCCAAAATGTCCCGCTGGCATGGCAAAGTCGTCCGTTTCGTTGATCTCCTGCGGGTATTGGTATCACAACCCGCCTTCTCGCAGGCTGGTCGAAGCGGAGGAGGTGGCCTACGAGGTGGTGGACAAGCCGGTCCCGCGAGCGCAGGCGGCCGCGGGCGCGGTCGCGCCGGTTGTGGTGGAGGAGTACGCAGCGGAGGTGAACGTCGTCTCCGTCGTGCCGGTGCCTCCCGGGACGTGAGTGCGCGCGAGCGTTTCCGAACATATTGATCTGCATCCTTTGCAGATGCCCTTCAAGAAATTCCGAAACTTCGACAATCTCTCGGCCCTACTTGGACCGTCCCGGGGTTTCTTTACCTGACGTCTGACTCAAAAAGTATTTCCAGACTTCTAGCGGCGTGTTCGGATATATGTGTCGGTGCTCACGAGAACTCAGGCTCTAATCCTTTTTCGAACTTCGCGAGCGCGTTTCAGAATCGCTTCGAGAAAGTATCTGGAGATTGCTAGGAGATGAGGCCAGTCCTCTGCATCCATTTGGAAAATTGAAAGCTCCGCAAACATGGAAATTCACTGATGAAAGTATGGCATAATCTTAGAGAACGGGAGTTTGTGCATCTCTCAGACACGGGGATGGTTCCACTGCCTGTTCATCCTGAGTGTCTCTTGTAACGACTTTACAGCCGGAGTCACATCGAGCGCCATAACGGCGGTCAACAAGCATCTTTGCGGGGAATGGGATGCTCGAGCCCCTGGTTGCTTGCGAGCCTTTGTTGGTTTGTGTACGGAGTGTTAAAACTTTCCAAATAACTTTTTCGAGCATCTTACTTCCAGAACCTGATCACCACTTGATGTCACTTCATTGCCTGACTTTTGTCGGAAGTTGCTGCATACTCCGGGTCATATCGGTTTCCAAGGATACTATTCTCGACCTTGAGGTCAAGTCATCCCGCAAGTCAAGGAGCACCGAGGTGGGGTTTAACTCAAATTCTTAACCGCAGAGTCCCTTGCTCCCACCGGCAAATTGGGAACCTGTCCAAGCCGAGGCCCCCCCAACGTATAATAGCGGGTCTTGCCGGTTGCCCCTTCAAAATCTGAAAATTTTTAACCGGTTTCTCAACCGCAGGGTGCTGATCCCCGGCCCAACGGTGGTGGGCGGCACCGTTGTCCCCGAGAAGGACCTCAAGAAATCGTCCAGCTCTAGTTCTTCGAGCAGCAGCGAGGGCGAGGAGGAGCACGCGGCGGGGGTGGCCGCGCCCGGGGAGAAGACCCCCCCGGGAGAGAAGCCCAAGAAGAAGAAGAACATCTTTAAGAGGATCGAGGAGAAGGTGAAGGAGACGCTGACCGGGCACCATCACGGCAGCGACACCGGCCAGAAGTGACGCCACGGAAGTTGGAACCGGGGGCGATTCAGCAGAAGAAAGATGACGTCAGAAACGTGGAGCGGAGGAGATGCACAGGATGATCACGTTCCGGAGAGGGTTGGTTGATAGCAGAGGGCTTTGGTCGCGGCGCAAAACAGGGGAGAAAAATCAACTCTAGAAGAAGCGAAGCAGCGATACGGCTTGAGTGCTGGACCAGCAACGGAGTTTGGGCGTCTACGATTAGAGGTTAGCGCAAAATTCTTCAGACATGTCCGCGTAGGTCGAGGAGCATCCCATGGGAAGTGGGTTACGTAGCGCTTGTCAACAGTGGTCCAAGTCTTACTGGTCTTGAGCTTTCCTGTACATACGACCTGCTTAACATTGTCACTGAATGTTCGTATCAACCAATGTTCTGACTTCGGTCACCAGCCGCAATGAAAAGTATCATCCGCCGTCGCCGTCCCCTGGCAATCGAGAATCTGCTTTGTACCAACGTCTCGACTGTGCTTATTCATGCATCAAGAAGTAAAAGTGATGATATCAATCATGCAGAAAACACACTCTTCGGTCAAGGGTACTACTTAGCATAGTTGGACTTTTATCCTCGTTTGGATTGACGTGCATACGTGTTTCAATCAGGCTCTTTAAGCGTGTTCTGACACCTCTACCCGTTGCCGCTTCCGACGCTCGAGCATAAAGTGCTTCGTGAGGAGAAAATCGTGAAGTAGTAAACTTTTGACAGCTGATTGAGGACGGAAAACCCTTGTCCAATCGCCAAGTCGTGAGAAGGACGTGCTCGAGTCGGATGACGTCAGCTTCGCATATCGAATCATGCAACGTGACTGCAAGTAATGAGGCACCTTTAAGTACAGTTCCTCACCAATTTTCTTGCGTTCCTATGTGCACTTGACTGTCACCAATGATCACCCGTCTCCTGAGCCTGCGTTCGCCTTGAATCTGCACTGCTCGCGCTCTGGCGGCATCGCTTACAACATTGGGCAGAGCTGGCTATCTTGTTAAATTCCAGCAAAAGTACTGTTTACGAAATCACTATACGGTAACATGTCATCAAATATCCAAAACATTGATTTCATGAAGGGCACCAATGCCGTGTATGCTACATTGCTAGTGGCAGATTCGACGTAGCTCAACTCTTGGCTGCACTAGACTCGGTTGCCACCATGAAAACGACGTAGACATCACAGCCATGCGCGCTTAAGAGACGCTCATGAGCGCTTCTTCACAAAGAAAGTTGGACTTGAGGTTTGTTAGCAGGCGGCCAGCCTCCAGTCCGCCGGCCAGTTGCACTGCACGTGACCGTCTGCGCAGCAACTACTGTAATTGCGCCGTATGATGCGCCGTCGGTTTTACCGGGCCCTGACAGATCGTGCATTATGCAGATTCAATGCAGAAGGGTACGGTACGTACCATAATCCCCGCAACTTCCGGTAGCGTTCACTCGCGGATGCACAACTACGACCGAAAATCATACCCGGGTCTGGGAGGCTAGAGACTCGAGAGGTATCCTGAGGGAGGTACCTACGCCAGTCGTATATGCCGCTGATGAATCATGATCTAGCTTTCAACAGCCTCTTTCAACAAGTGCACCTTCTACTGCTTCTAGCTTCTGTTTTCCCCATGTCTCTTCTGCACCTTGACATTTCAGCCTTCAGGTCGCGCGATGATGCGCAATGCGCCATGGAACCTCCATTGCTTTGGCGCCAGGATTCGGGAGCCGCTCTCTAGGATCCTTGGTTCTTGGAGCGTGGAGAACTGGAGAACACCCTCGACCTTCATTTGCAGCTTATCCAACTCCTGAGTTGGAGTTTGGAACAAATCCTACGAGTAAATGATGCAGCAAACCATAAAAAGCGTCACGTCCTGTCATCGCAGCTAGCGCTGGCAGGCATTTCCGCGCTTCCCTTGCATCTAAGCTGTAACTTCCAGCAACCAAGCTTTTGCTCTGCCGCTCCGGGCGTCTCTGCAAATGGACCTCCCCTGGTCGCAATGGGCGGCGGCACTGGGGAAGACGAAGGCAGCCCCGTCGCCAAATGCGCCCAAAGGGAGCGCACTGCAGATCCTCTCGCAGAGGCGCATCTATCAGATTATTGCGATGCTGGGCATTCTGCATCTGGTGTACACTATAACGGGCCACATTGCGCTTACGGGTCAGATTGAGGACCAAGACACGGACTACGGAATGCCATTATGGCCTGCACAGATGACCCCCCTCAGGATTGGGATCCTGTCTTCATACCCCCCTCAGCTGTCAGACGTAGCCGGTTACACGCGGGACCTTTTCTCCCTGGGTGTGGCCAACAGTACCAATCCGCTGCTTCGCAGAGCAAAGGTCAGCGTAGTAATTGTGGACGAGAGAAACACGGCGGATGATTACGGGGAGGAGGTGGCCTTCTTGTTCAGGAAAGAGGCGCACAAGGACTACTTCCTGGCAGCCGATTACATCAACCGGGAGTTCGAAGTGCTGAGCGTGCAGCACGACTTTGACGTCTACGGGGGCCATTATGGAGAGCTGCTCTTGGTCCTTTTGGACCACCTCACCATACCCTATGTGGTCAACATCCATAGCCTCCCAGCCGACTATGAGGTCCATAAGCAGATGATCCTGGAGAAAGTGCTTGCGAGCGCAGCCCACGTCACAGCGCCCCTCCTCTCCGCCTGCAAAACGCTGAACCAACTTGTCTCCCGAAACCTATCCTGCACGCTTCTCCCCACGGGATGGCTGCCCCACAACTTCGCTCAGGCGCCCAACATGACCTTCGCGCCCGTGTCGGAGGACCGTCGCGTGATTCTGACCCCGGGCCTAGTTTCTCCCATCCGGGGGCAGGAGCGGATGATGGAAGCAATGAAGGGCGTGCGCGTCTTGATCCCAAAAACAATGTACGTCGTTCTGGGTCAGCAGGAACCAGGGCAGACTGTAGACTACATGGACCATTTGGCGAAGCTGGGGAAGCGGGCGGGGGTGGGGAGAGTTAACGTGATCGTCCAAGAGCCGCAGAGCTTTGAGGAGCTGGTCGGGTGGTTCCGGCGCGCGGATGTCATTGTTGACCCCTCAGACGACCCCAACAAGGTGAGGGTTTTGGGTTAGCCTTCGGGTTTTGGTTAGCCTGTGGGTTTCTAGGTTATGGTCAAAGATGGTTTACCGGTTTGCAAAGGTTGAGGGGTTTGGCAGTAGCCAAACCACTATGTCTGGGGTTGAATGGGTCAGCTCGTAAGCAGCCCTTTTTCTTAAGATTGTCATGTGGGCACCTTTGTTCCACTTTCCCCACAGCTTTGCAGCGGCAGGCAAATGTCTGCTGTCAGCTCTCTTGAAGTTTGTGGAATGTGCTGGATCCAAATCTGCACTATGAGTCTGCAGGCAACCACCTCGGATTGCCATGACTGTTCATGAAATTGCATTTTCCATTTCTGCTGGGCACTTCAGCAGCGTTGTACGATGAGGCATATCTCTCGAGGGGAAGTTTCTAGCGCGTCCTTCAATCCACCCGCTGAATTGATCACGGCAAACATAGAAGCTTTTGTGGATTGATTGATAATGCGCATAGCATTGCTGACATCCCTTGCACTTTGAGAAGTAGATTCTGTGCTGAAAGGGCCCTCGCTTACAGGCCAGTGTGGTGTGTTGGGGAAAGATTGTTAGTGGCTCCAATGCATCAGAGTTATGTTTGACAAGGCACGGTACTTTCAAACCAGAAGCCTTGTGGTCAGAACTTGATCTCACGCCCTCGGCAGACCGCTCGTGCCATGTAAGTGCTTCATTAGGTGTCACTCATAAGGTGGTTTCATCTGCAACTTTGAGAAAGTTCGGGGCTGCCGAACAAAAGAAGGGTGGTACTGTTGAAAGCCTTCTGGTGTCACATCAAATAAGTTGCAATGTTCAAAACTTTTGCGACCTGGCCAGGGAAGATGCACGGCGTCTTTTTTAAACCGACAGACTTGCTAGAAATCGCAAGCGAAGAGTATCTACCATTGAACCTTCAGTGCGGCTCCAAATAGGCTTAGGAGTCCTGAATACCGTGAAGAAAGTTTCAACGGTTTTTGGGAGTCTGAATTTGAATTCTCTACCGTTGAGATTATCAAACTCCCGAACTTTCCAGATTCGGGACCCACAAGCCTTCAAAGTTTCAGCTGTGACCGCTGTATACGCCAGACTCTGATTCTTTCATGGTGGGCGACCTTTGCTATCGTCAGGCTCTTTTGCCTGACGCAAATGCAGCTTCTCCGAGCAGCCAAAAGCAGGATCCTTTTGCTTATAAGTCTCGTAAGCGGTGCCATTCTGTGATTGCTCCCTACGTTTCTAGGAGGACGCTGGACTGTGTTTCTGTGTCCGTCACAATTCACCACAGATCGTTTCTTCTGTGTCAGTCTCAATGGTGAAACGGTTGCGCAACGTGTCCCCTGCACTTCACATTTTGTCCCAGTGTGGCCCAAAACTCCAATAATTGCTCACTGGTTCTTCGAAAGCCATGCTGACGACCTCTCGGCTGCCCCGCAGATCCCGTCCTGCCCCACATGTTTCGTCGGAACCCTTCCTTGTCCTTGACAGGGTTCGCTCGTGAGAACCTACCGCTTATGACCAGCATTGATCCCTTTTCTCCCCTCTTTGCCTCGCAGATAGCTTTTCATGCCGCCAATGTGAGTACCGTGCTACCACAGGCCTCCTACTTTCATATCTTGTACCTTATGATAAGATCTCATCTGTAGCAAGTACTGATCGCTTATGTCTTCTACGTCTACAGATTTCGTCCCGCGCCCTCGACATGGCCATCGCCCTGGGCATCCCCGCGATCGCGTCCGTCTCCCCTTATTCCGAGCACTTATGCGGCTCCCTCAACTCGACCAACATCAAGCTCCATACGAGCTCCCCCTGCACCGTGACCCCCATCAACAGCCCCCGTTCCCTCGCCGTCTCGGTGATCGCAATCCTCCGAAACGCGACGTTGCGAGAAACGATGCAGCGCGGGCGGGCAACCCTGAAAGAGGGCGACCGTAGCTGGCCGGCCGTTGCGGACGAGTGGGCAATAACGCTAGCCCGGGTCGCCGCAAACCGGACGACTCCCATGCTCGCGCGCAAGGGCCTTTGGGCCGGGGGGTGGGACACGTGGCCGGAAGGGGACCCCGAGCGGCAGGTCGAGTTGGCCGCGTTTGGCGCGCAGCTTAAGAGCCGGAATGCGATGGTTGGGGGCCACCTTATTGCCGAGGACGTCGCTCGCGCGGTGTTGTTCGGCGAGACGAGCGCGGAGCGCCGCGCGGCGGCGGGGGCGCTGAAGCAGCTTTCTTACGAAGGGCTGCTTTTTGCGTCCTATATTCCGCGCGGTAAAGGGTGTAAGATCCGGAGAGGCCGGTCGGGGATCTCGTATACGCACAACGGGATCGGGGCGTTTCAGGGGTATACGCTGGGGGACATGGAGGTGCTGACACATACGCTGCCGACCAAGCAGCTCATCTTGGGAAGGGGGGTGCGCTACGGCGGAAACTTTGTCAACTTCGTATACGAGGGGGAGGAGATCCGGACGCGGATTGACGTGGTGAATTGGGAGTTCACATGTGACGACGACGTGCCGAAGTACGTCGTAACAACGGACGCTAACAGTACGCGTCTCATGGAGGCGGTTGCACGGATCACCATGACGTATAGCTTATTGCCAGGGGGATCGCGTCTGACCCTGGAAGTGCGGGTGGAGCTGTTGGCGATCGGGTGTATGGAGCGGGTAGAGATAATCGTGGGAATGGACTCGATGTCGGAGTGGTTTACTGGGCTGGACTTCGACCGGTTCTATCTGATGCAAAGTCAAACGAACATAACCGGACAAGGCGTCCCCACTGGGGAAAGGAATATGTACGAGCAGGATCCGGAGAATCTGGCAGCGTGGTCTCTAGTCACCAATAGCGAAGGGGCCTTCGGTGTGATCACCGTTTTCAAGAGTCAAGCCCAGCTCGTGACAGTCAAAGCGGAGCCGGATAGGTTGAACAAGTTCCATTACGTCAAAAATGAGTATCTCATTAGTCAAGTTTGCCAAAACAGTCCTGTGACGGTCGTAGAGGAAAAGATCTTGATGAAAAGGCTGGACCTAGAGAAACTCCACAAGCTTGATAGCATTGTGCAAGATCCAGCAAGATTCTCTGGGGTTGATATCTCGGGTCCGTCAGATAGGGCGCTGATAGAAGCGGCCTTTGAAGAGATGGCTTATCACGAACCATCGGTTAAGGAGGTAACTTCCAGTGACGATGTAGATAGTGTATACGGCGAAGCATAGGTCTGAAGGTTCTATTACTTTGGTATCGACCTCCTGGCTGGTTTGCGTGCTGGGGCAACGAAATCTTTCGGAGCTCATCTCCCAACAGACTTGCATAACCGAATTCTTTGACCGTTGCAAGTGCCGTACCATAATGAAGCAGGCCATTATGGTACCGTACTTTAATTCTTGGTCCGATTCTTAAATGGTCATTTGTAGCGCTAGCAGCTAGACGGTCGTTTATAAAATATTTTGGACTCCAACTTACCGTCATGATTATATAGCTGCATGCACATATAACCGTGCAGTTATGCGGCCGGTGGCTGCAACCGTATGCGGCTTCACTTCGCGTACACTGCTGCCCAGGGCCTACCTTGCGCACATGCATGGCCTAGGCCGGCTGTTGCGACGGTGCCGCCGGCGCCTACGGCCATATTCTGTCAGTGTGAGTCTGCATGCAAATCATCCTTTGCAACAAATATAGTTTGCGACATATTGAACCTGGTTTGGGTGCTGCATCATGGCACGTACTGTCACCACATACTTTTTGTACCTAGGCCGCAAAACTGACTTTACTGAGTCTCAGTTTACTATATAGTACGTTTTTGCTGGCCGTTACAGAGAAGTACGGTACTGCGCCGGGTACTATATAGGGCGTACGGCCATGTGCATGAGATTATCATGGCAATGCATGATGTCGGATCATACTGAGAGCTTCTGCATTGAATGCATAATGCATGTCAGTGTGTCTTGCGGTGCACACCGCGCGTTGTGATAGATTGACACAGATCATGACACGCGTTGACACAGATTCGTCAACAATGACATGTGACTTACGATATGGCTCGAATTGCACCTAAAGATTGCAGGCTCCCGGCATGTGAACTTCCACTCCGACAACCGTCGGACTCGATCAAGCCTTGCTCTTGGTGCAAACAAAGCAATTTTGGGGCCGTGGAGATTCAACAATTGCATCGAGCATTTTTTACGTACTTTGTTCGTGAGAGTTCCATTTAGCAAGCCTGGATGGAGTGCAATCGCATGCCAGCTATCAACTCTCTAGATCAGCTGATGTGTTGATATCATACTTATATTCAATGATTTGGCCGCCACGCCGGCTCTTACACCCTATTTCAATATTCTGAAATGCCTTGAACGCTGCTAACTTCATGTCAAGCAAGAGTCGGATCCTTTGAAACCCTAAGCAGGCTAATACAATCTACTGTGCCTTGACGCGGGGTTGTCATACGCTTTTTCTTATCGTTTCTGCTTTTGGTTTCGATGTTTGTGTACACGTTTTGGAGATCGATGCAAACCTTGCTTACACCACGAAAGCTAGGATCTTTTGCACAACCACTCCCTAATTGAAAGTCCAATCGTTTAGTTTGAAGCCTCGATTTCCAAGCGCAGGCTCCTGACCCTGGAATCCTAATTGCGAGGACAAACCAGCAAAAGGGGCTTGCGCGCCCTCTGCCCCACCACCGAGGTCCGCCGCGCGTGTTTGACTTTGAATGAGCCTCTGAAACTCCCTGTGCAAGGCCGCTGTTTGTTCCCTTTGGTCATTGTTTGCAAGCCACGAGCCTGGCTGGTCGCGAGGCGGTTGCACGTGGCCTTGGCTGGGCAGCCCGTAAAGCCCAAGAGGACCATCCAGACCTCTGAGGAAGTTCGTTGGCTCCTTGACGGGGGACGCGCTCTCGACGTGCGACGACATGAGCCTGAGCAAACTGCTTGCGTGCGCCGAGCTATGGTCTCGCGCCATACCCAGTCCAGAATCGAAAAGGCTCTGGCCGCCGCCTGCGTCCCGCTCCGCAAACCCAAGCGGGAGCGTGCCGCCACCACGTTGGCCCCCGCCGATGAAGTCTGTGAGCATGTCGTAAGTCGGACTCCTCAACGAGCTATTCGCAGTATTATTTGTAGCCGCGTTGTTCCCCGCCCTCGCGGCCCTCATCCCGTCATACTCCGGAACGTACGCCGCCAGCAGCGGGCTGCGGATCGCCACTTCTGACGCCAAGTCATTGGGCCTCTCGAGCTGCGCCTTCTCTGCTTCTTGCAGCGCCTGGCTAAACCGGTGCTGGGTTAACTCAAACCCCTTCTGCGGCGACGGGTCTCGCAGCGCGTGCTGACTCCTCATCAGAATGTCCAGGAACGGACTGTGCGCGCGATCCACCCCCTGCCCAGCGCTCTCCGCCCGCGGCGGCGTTTGCAACAGTCTCTCGAACCCCGTCGGAACGCTGGCCAGCTGCCGCGACATTGGGGCCGGGGGGTACTGCTCCCCCGGGGGGGACTGGAAGCTCTGCGCCAGGGATCCCCCCAGGGGGAAGGTATTCACACCGCCCCCTGCCCGTCCCGTTACCTGGTCCAGAACCTCGAACCCGGATGTGCGACGAGAAAGCGTGAGCTCCGTACTATTGTGGCGCATCGGGGTCGTCGGGTTAAGCAGCAGGTTAGCGCCGGGTCTGTTCAGCGGGTTGCTCTCGTACGTCCCTGGAGGAGGGCCGGGGGCCGTTGAAAATGTCAGCCGATCCGGGGGGGGACGCGAAATGTCCGTTCGGCCCCCCCCCAGCTGCTCCCGGGCCTTCATCAGCGTGTCTAGAGCGCGCGCGAGGGGGTCTGGCTCGGGCGCTGATTTGGGGGGGGTGTCTTGAGGAGGTGGCCGGGCGCGCTTGACCTTGGCGGCGCTGTCCTTGGCAGGTGGAGGTGGTTCCTTCTCTGCAAACAGCAATGGGGCTGGATGAGCATCTTACTTTTGGTAATCGGCTTTGACAATGGACAGGCGGTTCGCATGCTCGACAACTGTATCTTTTTTACAATCCAGATAGCTGCCTCCTGCTTGGCAGACGAACCTTCTTCCGAAGTCACGAAAGTAGGCAACCTTGGCTTGGCCCTGGAAAATATGTCCTTTGAATACGAGCCCTGACTTCAATCGACTTCAATCCTTCCTGGATCAACCAAAGTTGAAGGAAGCTTGGCAAAAGTACCAGTTCTTCAGTATCCGCCTCTGGACGTCTCATCCACTCCACCTGAAACCAAAAGCCCAACCAAAAGAGCTCCAGTGATTTCACCTTTATCAGACACGTCCCCGCTCCCCCTGGCAGCGTCCCCCATGTCCAAGATGGTCCGCCTCCGCTTGTTGTGATGCAGCAACCTCTCGCGGCAGCTGCGCTTGATCTCGTCGAACGCGCGCACGTCATGGAACCTGGAACAATAAAAAGCGAGCGTTGGCGATGCTTCATATAAAACTTCTGTAAACAAGCGTTTGGCTAGAAGGGTAAAGAGGCGCAAACGCCTGATGGTCAAGATTGGGCCGCTTTACTCTGTCTTGGGCCCACGTTTTGACCCGGAACGTTACTACGATTTTAAACCGAAATTAAGTTTGGCTTGTGCCAATCGGCAGCCCCTGAGACCATTCTTTTATCGAAGTGCTTGACAGACGCTAAAACGCTAGGAAGGAAGACAGGACACTGGCAAACAGAGTGTCCAAACGAGGCCATGCACCCTGGTTGATCACGCTCCCGGAGCACTCCTTTCGAACACAACAAACAAGGAACGCGAAGTTCCCGTAGACAGGTGAACCCCGTGGACGCCTGTGGCTACAGGAATGTAGACTTGTAGATACCATCCGAACTTTGAAAGAGGGCGTCAGCGGACGCACCCGCATTCAGCGACCAGTCTCCAATGCAATTCTTTCTGTTGTCGCACTTCGCACGTGCAGATTGGGCAGCGACTTCGACTGTGCACTCTGCCTCTTCGAGAATGCCACTAAAACCACGTGGGATCTTGAAAGGCACCGTGCTCTATTCAGGGAATTGTGGGAAAGAGAATGCTGGCAAGGGCGACGCACCTGCTGCACTGCTGGCAGAAGCGGGAGAGCACTCCATGGATGAGCACCTCCCAAGCACGCGAGTGCACCCAGCACACGTGGTGCCGCTTGTTGTATGCCTTGGCGTGCTCCAGATTCTCCTCGCAGCCCTCCACCTGGCAAAGCAAGATATGATTACGGCTTAGTAGCAACCACTGAATAGCATAAGGTGATGGCCCGGATGATAGTCGGAGTAGGTGGGGGTTTTGGAGCGAGTGAGTAGGGGTGCGGACGGCGGGAGTTTGCCGTGCAAATGTTCAGTCAGGTCCTATTCCCGGGGACTGTTAGTATCCTACCTCGGAATCATGCCACCTGAACTATGTCATAGCAGCGACGACGGTTCCCATGCTCATCCGCAGCCGCCTTCAAAAGCGCCAGAAGCGCCCGACACTGCTACATAGGTAGCAAAAGGACCGCTGGCCGGTTGTCTGAGCAAGTGAACATCGTGAAAATTAGGACGCAGGCTAGCCTCGGTTGCAGAAGCAGCCCCCACGGGCTGCACGTGGCTCATCTACGTAGGAATGCTAGGAAAAGGGACAAAACCAGAGCAGGTCAGGTGCTGGAAAACGACCACTTGGCTACCAGAGATACACTTAATAAAGTTGCTTCGAAGCCCAGCCCACGCTTATGAATCTTGGCAGTACCTCACTTTCCCAGCTTGCTTTTCCAATGGAAAAAGTGGTCAACCACTGAAGGCAATGTCGACAATGTCCAATGCATTGCGAAGCCAGCCCCAAATATGGAGACGAAGCTGACCGCCATACCTGACAATTGTACGAGCCATTCGGCCGCCTCCGCTTCCTCAGCCGCGTTAACCCCCCCTCAGAGCCCTCTCGGAGGAGCTCCTCTGTGGAGGCCCCCACAGCCTCTCCTGAAACCGAGACTGGCGCCCCCAAATTCAAACCTGGCGGGACTGCCATGCGTAACTCTGCAAACCCCCGCCCCCGCCCCCTGACACTCTGCCCCCCTTTCTTGTGCAGATTCTGCGCCGCTGCACGCTGCTCCAGTGAGGCCAACTCCGCTTTCAGCTTGCGCATCGTCTCCTCGTGCGACTCCTTCTCCACGGAGGGTGGCGCCCCGGACTTGTCCCCAAACCTAGTTGCCGCCACCTTCTGAAGCACCGCCAGCTGTGCCTCCAGGTTCTTCGTCACCTCCTCTGACGCATGGTCTGCTTCTGCGACTCCGGCCCACGTCAAGTTCAAATCCTGGCTCAGACCTTCGCTCTTCCGCACGAGAGGACCCACCGCCAAGTCCTCACCGCCTCCGGCTTTGCCGCTGTTCTGCAGGGCCAGCAGCTGTTGCTGCCAGGTGGCGGCACCTGGTTGGTCGGTGCTGGTCAGGGGCAGGATACCGCCTGATGAGAACTGTCCCCCAGCCCGGATTGGCCCCAGGTCGTTGACCAGATTGAGCACCAGATCGCCTTTGGACGGGGCGAGCGAGCGCGTGTCCGCTTTCTCTTCGCCCGGAGAGTGACCAAAGCTTTTGCCCCGATTGAACGAGGGGTGCGACCGCGCGAGGTATCCCCCCGACCCCGGGGCATTGGGAAAGGCTGCATCCAGGGTGTCTCCTCCCCCCGCTTTGCTTTGATCCTCCCCAGGTTTTGGCTCTGCATTCTGCTTGGTGATTGGCTCAGCCTCCGCGACCAGAACACTATCTGCCTGCCCTAGAGTCTCCTGCTCCGCCTTCTCTCCCTTCCCTTCTCCTTTGCCATCCTCGAAAGGCCACGCAATTGCCCCCGAATCAGGCCCCCCTACCAAAGGGCCTGCATTGCTCTCGACCTGGGCAGGTATGCCTTCCGTTCCAAATGAGCGTGCTGCTTCCAGTGCACCCGCGCAATCAGGCCCGTCAACCCGGGTACTAGCGATCCCCCCTTTCTCTGCATCCATTGGCCCCGTTCTCTCTTCCGGATCACTAGCCTTCTGTCCCTCGTTGGCCCCCTCCGAAGCTAGCTCCGCTCCGTTCCCTTCCTTTTCAGCCCGTGCTCCGCCCCTGTCTTCTGCTCCCCCTTCCCCAGGTCTCTCCGGATTGCTTGCAACAACCTGGGCAGAACTGGCCCCCTCCTCTGCACTGCCCTCTTTCCTCCCTCCCTCCAGCACCCCAACCTGCGCCTTCTCCACCAAGGTGGCTCTCTCCGCTTCATCACCTAACCCAAGCTCCTGAGCAGAAACAGGCCCCTCTATTGAAGCGGCATCCCCTTTGGCAGCATTATCCTGTTTGCTTTCCGCTTCCGCTATGCTGCCCTCGACGCCTCCTTCCACTGTCGATCCATCCCCCACACGTGCATCTTCTGCAGGTTCAGGCTGTGCGCCTTGGATAACCGGGGAGTCCCCCTCAACCATTGTTTCTGTTTGGAGGGCGTGCCTTTTGCTGACAGCATCCCCCATGCCCGAGGGGAACTAGGGTTCCAGCTTCAGCTCTACCTTGCCGGGATGTCACAATGCTGCATGAAGCGAGACTACTATGAAAAGAGGAGTTCAGCATTTTTGGATTTAAACGAATCCACTTTCCTTGTAGCATAACCGTCTTCTGAAGAATGCAGAATTCTGTTCACAGAAAGGAAAAGTACGAGCCAGACTGTCCACAGATCCTAAGTCAATCTGGCAACAAGTAGATCAAGCCACAAACGCATGCCAAGTCTTTGCTCGACAGGAGCAATATCGCAGCTGCAACGGCAGGCGTTGGACTCTGGAACGACGAGCTAGGGACCGATTGCAGAAGAGCGCCCCACAAACTACTCCCCTCCGTCAGAAATAGGAATCCTGAGCTGCTTAAACTTCATTTCCAGTATGTGGTAAGAGCACTCTGACTTTTGCAACAATCGGCGCTCGAACGACCTAAGAACTATGTGAATTACCAATCTTAATGGTGACTGCTGCTCCAAGTTGTCACACATTCAGATACAAGAGCATGACTTCCGCTGAGAAGCAGATGATGTAGAAAGACGAATTGAAACGCAAACCAGGAGGAATGAACCAGAAATAGAAAAATTTGAAGAGGTTGCTTTGCCGGCATGGAAATCTGATGATGACTCCAAAACATGTTACCTTGCAAAGAATTTCACGGGGCAAGGCGTGCATGGCTCATATCCACTTTTACCACTTCACTGGCACCGTTCACTCCGGGAATTAACGGAAGCAACGGAAGATGTCGACAAGCGCTCTCACCTTCTAGCTCGTGGATCTATCCACCATTTCCCAAAGTCCGTCTAAAGGCTCGAAGATACCTTGCAGAGATAAGTATTTGGATAACTCATAATGCCATATGACCTTGTCCACACAATTCACAAGGCCAGCAGTCTCAATGCAGGAACGCGACTCCTGGCCAGATATAAACAACTTCTCGCTGTGTCCCAAGCAGGACCGACCAGAAGCACAAAATGATGTTTAATGCTCACCAAAAGAAGCTCAGAAGCGTTGACACCAACAGCTAAGCTCTACCAATCAACGAGAAAAGCATTGTCTGCTCTAAAAGACAGTCATTGTAAGCACGACAAGACAGTGGAAATTGTGGCATTCTGCCTTTAAATACTCAGAGGCCCACTTATCAACAATGTCGTGCAAACAGACTCTTCCTTTTACACAACCAGAAAGAGGGATCCATATGGCCAGGACCACCAATATGGTGCTTGAAAAGTAAATAACAATGTCAAACAGAGCAAGCTTATGTAAGAGCAATCCGGCTCACTTTGCACTTTGTCTTGAGGGTTATCATCAAGTGTACAAGTGGCGGGAGCTGACGCTGGGCAGCAAGTAGAGGGAAGCAATTGTAACGGCAGGTACAACTCGTCGCATGCTTTGCTCCCCGGACTTCCTCGATGCTTAACCTGAAGGTCCCTGGTTATCATCTCCTTTTCAACCCAGATGACCAACAAGTTGCAATATCCCTTGCACGATTGGGGAAGACTGATACAGCAATGGCATGAAACCTGCCAGTCACTTAGTTTATTAAAGCTCCTCTTTCTCGCGCCCCTAGCTTCCTTCTGAATCTTGGCTTCCTTCAAGGCTTCATCATTGTCTCAGTGAAGTGCAAGTGTTTCGGATCAAATCACACCATGCTCTGGCCCCGGCCCCGGCCCGGGGCCCCGGCGGCATACTATTACGTTCTCACCGTCTGCTTGTACGGTGTACCTGGGGCGGGCACCCGGTTGATGTACCTATTGCAGTCGGTACTGAATTTAATATTTACTTGCGGGGTAATACCGCAGGTGCGCCGCGCGGTTCGGTCTACTGGGTTCTTCCTATCCCGTCAGTCTCTACCTACTGTAGCCGCGTGCACACTGCAGCCGTCCGATTGTACTGACAGATCAAACGTACGGACGAAGGGTTTGCAAATTGCAAAATGTTGAAGTTTGTTTCTCAAGGTGACCGTACCGCCAGGAGAGGGTTCACATTGGACTTTCGATCAACTTTCGCTTTGTTTTGAGATGTACCCAGATGACGTGTGGTGACGTTGTAGCAGCGAGAACTGAAGTTGGGTTCACATTGGGAAAACCGCTGTCGAATGCATCATCAGTTCCGGCGGAGACCACGTGCGATCACATGGATGTACAGAATGGTACACTTGGTACACTTTGACGTCATAACTTTCGGCCGAACTGCGCAAGAGTGAATCTGAGCCACTCGATCGCTGACTCGGACGTCATAATCGTAAATCATGTTTTCGAAAGGCGGTCGGCGACCGCCTTTCGAAAACATGTTTTACGGAGGACATTTGGGTCCATTATTCGATGCCGAAAGGTTTTTGATATTCGTAAATTTGACCGTTCGCAATGCGCGTTCCAGACCATGACGTGTGCTTCCGTCATCGCAGTAACATCGTGTTTTCGAAGAAGGATACTCTGTTCCGCAAAGTCCAAAGTGAACCCTCTCCAGCCCCGGCAAAGCAAAGCGTGGTAGTTTATACCAGGACGGGCGGCGGCGTACCGAATCCTGATTGGATTGATATACCTACCTAAATTTACCGGTATTTAATAGTTGAGCGGTTGAAGTTTCCCGCCCGGTCCGGTGACACTCCGGTCGCAGTACCCTCAGATCCGTACCAACCGTAGTACGTACACCTTATACGGTCCCGGGTCGTCGGTTGAAGTCGGTTCAGACCTACCTAGTAGGTAGGTAGGTACGGTACTTCATGCAGTGTACCGTACCCACTACTACTTTAACCTACCTACTTCGTAAGTTGCGCACAAGCTCATTCGACGATACAGCAACCACTTGCCGTTTTCCCGCTTGCAGAAGTGGGTCGTCGAACGGGTTTGCCATGAGAGACAATTGCTATAGCGCCCCTGGGCTTTACCGGTGCCAGGCGCCAAAACCCCCATGTACCCGGCACTGTGCCCGGTGGGCCGGTGCCGTGACCTCCTGCTTGTACGAAGTTCGACCGTTCGGTGGTACGAAGTACGTACGGTCACCACGGCTGCACGGCATGCAAGCTTCAAGAATGTCTGCAGAAGCTAGGTTGTGAGAATTGGTTACGTACTGTTTGGTATATGGCGCGGTACCTACCGCCAACCGTCTTGTACGGAAAGCCCAAAGCAACCGAATTGTACCGACGGGCCACCGTGGCGCCTTATCGTACAATCCGTACCGCGTAGTGTACCCAAAACGTACCGGTACAGGCTAACAGCAGTGCACGTGATCGTTTCATGCTACCGTGTTACCTACCGTACGGCGTACATGCATAAAAGGCGACGTATAGGTATGGCCATATATTACGGCCCGCCAATCAGGAGAAGCTAGGTTGTGAGAATGTCTGCGGAAGCTAGGTTGTGTGAATTGGTTACGTACTGTTTGGTATATGGCGCGGTACCTACCGCCAACCGTCCTGTACGGAAAGCCCAAAGCAACCGAATTGTACCGACGGGCCACCGTGGCGCCTTACCGTACAATCCGTACCGCGTAGTGTACCCAAAACGTACCGGTACAGGCTAAGGGCCTGGTCGCATGCCGCCAACATCGACAGCTTTCGATAGAATGTGTCGGTTTTGGAGACGCCGCCTGACCGCATGCCAATCCAAAACTTGGACACCGGCAGAAAGTACCATCGATGCGGAAAGTTTGCCCAATCATTGTTCCGAAAACCAACAGAATCTGGTAGGCTAGCCTGTCAGCCTGCCAGATTGTGTTGGTGACCAAAAGTCATGAACCGAGCACTTTTCCTGGGCAGAATTCTCGACTATTCCTGCTCGGTATGTGTCAGAGCTTTTCCAGCTTTTTTCTTCCGAATTTAATATTACTTGTTTGTCGGGTCTCCAAGCGTCGCCAACATTTATCGAACATCGGCGTCGAAAACTGTACTTTACCGTACGACACCACCGTGCCACCTGGCCAAAGTCAACCCAACACATTCTACCGAAATCTGTCGATGTTGGCGCAGGCCCTAACAGCAGTGCACGTCAATCAATCAATCAATTTATTTTATAGTCCCGTACCGTGATCGTTTCATGCTACCGTGTTACCTACCGTACGGCGTACATGCATAAAAGGCGACATATAGGTATGGCCATATATTACGGCCCGCCAATCAGTGCCTTCCGAAGCCAAGACCACGGCCAGGGGCAGAAGAAGCTGGTCGTATTTGCGTGGGCTGTCGCAACTTCCCTAATAGGGGCGGCCAGGTTGGGATTCACGAATGAAGGGAGCCAAATCAATGAGTCGCTAAAGTTTGTAGGTCAAAAGTCCGGCCCAACTGTGACGTCTCGCCCTCGAAGCACAAAGTACCTAAGCTGACCCACCAAAGATGGATTGCCTGCCTGACACGTCCCCATTTCTTAGGAGCTGAAGTCAAAAACAGGGCAACCCTTTGATCTCGTTTACAAGCTAGCTGATCCTCCGTTTGGCACTCGTTCAAGTCAAATCGACCCTACCTTGTTAAAGAACGAGCCTTGACGGATTTCGTAGATAGACAATGAGGTAGCCGATCCACGAGAGGATGGTCGTAGTGCCCACCAGATAGCTGAAAACAAGGCCGGACTTCCCGTGAGCAAACGTGACTTAATTTTCAAAGTTGAAAGGGTGCAAAGCACACGCGTCGCTTCCAAACGTGCCGACTAATGACAGCTCCCAGGATGACGTGCGGTCACACATTTTGGCACAAACTCGAGCCGTGCTGATCAGCCTTCTGGTGCTTGTATACACGAGCGACCGCACTAACGGATCTCTCTTTCTCTTCAAACAGAGAGCGTAGAAGACGTCAACTTCGTCAACGTACTTGTCTTTCAGCGGGTCCAGCAATTGTCAATCTCCATTGTGACGTTCCACAGAAAAGAATCTAGTTGACCCTCGGACGACCAGAGACATCCTCGCAAGCTTGTAAAGTAAACTGGCTGATGAACAAATGGAGCAGCACAACCCTTCGACAACCGGGTAGTAGAGCATAATGTTTGCAGGGTGTCCACTTGACCGTAAAAGTCGAAGAAAGCAGACGGCACATGACAGACTTGTAATCCCGATTGTTAGACGGTTTCGTGAATAGCTGTGAGGGCCTTACCAGAGAGCCGAAACACCTGCCGGAGCCGGAACTCCGTAAGCCAAGTGCGTCAGAGCAGATCCCACCAGGGCCAGCTGAAAAACGGTGTTTGCCTGCGGGCAACATGGGACACGTATCAGCAGGAGGGGCAACGACATTTCAGGAGGATCTAGGTAGTCAAGCCCATCGCAACATCCTCGTTGTGAGGTTGAGCTGACGAACGGCGAAAATTTGCGCCAGGACGACGCATGAAAGGGCGACGCCCTACCTTGCTGATGAAAAGCGGTCGAACTTTGGGCGCCCCGCCTTCTCCGAGTTGGAAGTAGGAGCTCCAGCCGTTCCACTGCCAAAAAAGCGACAAACGATTGTGAACGGCGCCGTGATAGAAAAACAACTGTTGTGAGTACGACTGGCTGTTTAGCTTCTGCTTGAATTCTCGATTGAGCCCTCAACGTAAAGCACCGCTCCCTTAGTGGATAAATTTGGGTGCTTTCTGAAAGAGAATGAGCTGGCAGCTCAATCAGTTTCCACGACAAGAGGTCGCAACAAGTCAGCCAGGCTTCTGGGTACTGCTCGAGCATACACTCTGAATGTCTGCTGGACGTGATAACCAAGGAGTGGCAGCCTGCTGCAGAGGAGGGCCGCTGGCATTCAAACTTTATGCACGAGACGCAACTCGAAGCCTAACGCACAAGCTGTTACAAAAGAGAGAAGCGTTGGCCTTCAGAACCTCGAACGTCGAGGCGAGAGAATCCCGAGACGCGAAATGGAAGGAGGTAGCCACATACTTGCACGGCAGCAGCGTCGGTCCCACTTCCCACCATGCACAGTCCAGTCTTCCGTGGAAGCAACCTCTTGACCAACGACAATTCTTCCGGATTTCGACCTTGCAGTCTCTAGGCCTCTCGGATCACATATGATGTTCCCCACAGTGTACGACGGCTTTTCGAGCTTCGGCCCGACTGAGCGGTTCACGATTCTTTTGTTGCTCACCTTCCATCCTAGCGTCCTTGCACGGTGCAGCGCGGCAGCCCCCACGAGCGCACCGTCTCGGGCGACCACCAGGCTCACCAGCCACACTGCACAGGTCGCCCACCTGTCAGCAAGCTTTCCTTCATACAGATTTTCCCAACTCGCTTCTCCTGCTTTTTCCATTTAGAAATAAGCGCCAGTGGCTCACCAGCTGCCCGTGTCTTTCGTTGCCAAGATCATTGCTTCGAGACAGTTGCGGAACATCTCAAATGCCAAGGAGGATAACAATGACACGCCCTGATCGATCGCAGCGTTCGCTATACTCATCCTGAAGTTGCAGCAAAGCCACATCTCTTGGCAAAAAAGTGGGGGACCTTGAAACACCAGATCGACTGGACTGACGACTTGGACTGAAACCCCAAACGACCTAACGATCGCGTACTTTTCCCATCTGGATTTGATTTGGCTGCTTTGTGCTCTGCCTACCGAATTCTTTTCGCAATATATTCCCTTACTGCGGACTACTAGCCGTTCCATTTGAGTAGACTGTTACCTGGCAACGTCCCTTGCCAGGCCAGCGCAACAGCCACGCTCCCCATCAGCACCTGCAAGCAGAGAGTTCCAACACCCATGAGATCAATCAAACATCCAACAACCTCAAATCCGTCGACCTCGAGCAGAAGGCGCCTATTTTAGAAGAAGTTAGTATCATGTCAATCAGAACGGCAAGAGACTTCGAAGAACGACTCATCTCGAAGCAACTTCAGCATCGTTGCAAATCGAGATCCTACTGATGCTGTGCGGTACAGTAGAAAGCGAAGAAGGTGTGGCACTTGTCCACTCTGGTTCTGCTGGGTCGGTCGACTGGTCGCGCCCGCAACATTGTTCTCAGGCGACCGTTGTTCAAATCAGTAGTTGTTGTCACTTCGTTCTTTTTAACCAGGACTAGCAGAACTGTCTTGACGCGTCTGAAAAGCTGCTCCGAAGCCCGAACGACTATCTACTTGCGGAAGGTATGGACAGTATCCGTGCCTATCATTGTATTCGACTTTTCAAACAACTCCTTCAGAACATTGCCTCGTAATTGCAGATGAGTGTGGCTTACCCTTGCAATAAAGAGTACAATGAAAGAAACGCACCTTGTCAGCCAAAGGGTCCAAGTACGACCCAAGAGTGGACGCATGGTTGTAGTGCTTGGCCACATAACCGTCCAACTATCAGAGCAAGCTTGACGTCAGTCATCTGCATGAGCTATTCAAGATCTGGGCCCTTCATCCGAACAAGACAGGTTCTCATCGACGGGGTGAAATCTAGACGAACACGAAGTTCCCCTCATTCGTGCCTACTCTGGATCATCGCTCCTGAGATTACAGATAAATCTCTATCACGATACAGCTCCCAGAATTACGACCCCTGCCCTCAAGTAAAGGAACAGGTCAGAGTTGTTCTGAGGTTGCTTTTGAAAATCTTTCCCAGTTCGATCACAGAACGCGAGCAGCCACCTGGCACCTGCTGTAAGAAACTAGGGTGTTTTAACAAACGAGCCGAGGGAGCTCACCCAGTCACTGAGGCCTGCAACCACAAGCGCCCCCAACGCCGCGCGATGGTAGCCAGCGACAATCAGTCTGCACAGAAAATCTCCGTCAACAATGCGCCTCCCACCATGCACACCTACTAAAACTTTTGAGTAAATGATGATAATACAGAAGGGTTTACCCTCAAGAATTCTGGGCGAAACTTGACTTGATACATAATAAGGCCTCTGCCCAGCAGGGTTCATGGGGCGCTTTCGCGCATGTATTGTGTGACCCCGTCATTCTACACAAGATAAATTGATAAACGATTGTATGTGACTTGTCTGAAGCTCGTCTGCGTTTGGTCCCTCTCGAGACTCATGGGAATGCGAGCCTGAGAGTTACGCTGTTGAATAACACCGATTGACGCCCTGGAGATTATTGACTTCGACTTAGGAGTCTTGTCATCCCAGTGAAACGTCCTGCACCACTAGCTTTAAACCATCTCCTGATAGGGAAGGGGATGGTCATGGCTCACCCCCCAATTGCAGGACCTGAAATCAGCCGCGCCATTGAGATACCGTTGGGCAAGTTAAATGCCTCATCTTTGGTCCAAGTCGACCAGCCCTCCGCTTTCTCCGTGTCTTGCCTACTTGAAACCGCTTCTTCTTCTTTGACCCCCACTGTTTCACTTACTTCCGTCTCTTGATTTGTTGGCCCCACTGGTGCGTCTGCCAGGCTTGCGCTCTCTACTGGTTGCTTCTGCTTATCCTCTCTTTCTGTGCTAATTTGCCGAGTCTGGCTCAGACTTAACCCCTCTCTTGTTACTTGCCGCAATGGATTCCGGGGCTTATACTGAGGTAAATTGCTCGCATAGGTCCAATGTGATGCGCTGGCCCAAAGTCTTGTCGCACCACCTATGTGCTCAAAAGACCAGCTTGCTTGATGTTCACTTGGACATTCTGATTGCTTAGATGAAGACCATGACTGCTGAACACTTTGCTCAAATGGGACTGGTGGAAGTTGTGGGTGGGAGAAAAGAGGTTTTTGAGACTGCACCACTCCTGAGCATGCTAGTGTTGGAGCAAGGCTGGAGGCAACGGAGGATAAGATGATATGGCGATAGACTCCACTATGGCCGCTATGTTCGTTCAATGCTTGTGCAGCAGCCGCTGCCATTGAATGTCTCTCAGTGTCAAAGTGGGAGGAGACATGTGGTGAAGAAGGGCCATTCTTATCAGTGCTTTTTTGACAGGAGCCTTGTAGCAATGGAGAAGAAACCCTTTCATCAGAGAATTGGTAAGCGGCACTGGAAAAGGAAGGATTGGGAAGTGGCACTGGCTCGCGGGGCCAGCTGGCAAGGAAGCGGGCCCTCCAGACAAACGTCCGGGCTAACATTGTTTCCTCAACTTTTTGCCCTCCAGTCTACCAACGCTGAGAGCATTCACAAGATATAAAGTCAGATAGAATGGGCCATCCAATGCGAGCAACGAAAGTCTGAAGTCGCCAGCTGCAGGCGCCCCAGCAAAGAAAGGCTTCAAAGAGAGTCGAAGTGCCAAGGGAGGTGAGTTCTCTTCTCATGTTCGGCCAAGGCCCACCTGACAATTTGCATGGATCAACCCACCTTAACCTCCTGCTGGGTTAAGAAAGATCCGGTCATGCGGTCCAACAGCTGCTTTGACACAGGTGTCTTTGATGTGAGCTGTACGCAGTAAAATTGTCGCGAGCAGTGACTAACGGGTCATCCCGGTGCATTGCAAGTTTTCAACTCATCTGAGGTTTGGGACGCCCTGGGCCTAGGGTCTTTACACACAGAGCGGGTGAACTTGGTTTTGAGCGACGGTACAGCAGGGGTTGCGGTGCTCCCGTCGCCAAGAAAATACCGCGGGTGAACTCAGGTAAACTTTTCAATTCGCCGGCAAGTACGGCCTAACGTCAGCTTTTTCACCGCGGTGTTCCAAAGTGCTACCCCAAAAAAAGCCTGGTGACGGTGGTGAACTTTTTTGAACCGTCGCGCGGGACTACTTTTGCGTGCGGAAGTTACCCCCCGGAGTGACAAGGTAAACTTTCGCAAACAATACCTTCGGTTCTCGGCGAATTCACCAGAAGTTCACCCTCTCTGTGTGTATAGACAGACCCCTAGTGTCATGCAAAGCTCGCTTCGCATGTAGCATTCTTGTCTTCCGAAGCTTCTCTCTTCAGGTACTTCGATCAGAAGGGCGCTCCTGTAGGCTGTAGCTTGAGCTCCTTCTAAAAGCACCATTATAAGGCTACGATATTTTGCATGTCTGGAGGACGGCCGGTAAGACCGGTCACAAGAAGAAGTTTGCGGAGCGACGGCAGTCTTTTGTCAGGTGATTGCAGAAAGAAGAACGCCTCGTTGTTGTTGTGATTGCGTATCTCGCGTTTTCTTTTTTTGGTCGACACATCAGCTCAATAATAGGGGGTTTTGGGAAGCCAATCTGGCGGTCTCTGCACTTTGGCACTTCAGCAGAATGCGGCATTGGTGAAAGACACGTTTGTCTTTGCGCTTTTCTAAACTGAAGTTCTCGTGATTTAGAACATCGCATTCGCACGTATACGGATCTTGTGCACGGGCTCGATATGTCTTTACACAAATTCAGCAAGAAAAGCAAACTTGTCAGGGCAATGGAGGCACTTGCAAGGCCTTGAAACAGGCATACATGGGACAAGTCTTCTCCTTTCTGGTAATTGCCCACTCAGAATGCTTTCGCATGTGATGTTTGGAAGGTGTTTATGGGTTACACCATTACCAAAAAAACATGTCATCTTTTCCAGAAAAGGCTTGCACTATGTGTCGGTCTTGAGGCAGACTACGTGCTGATTTCAATGCGCCAGTAGTGGGACAACTCTGATTTTCTCCGCATGTGATAACCTTTCTTTAAAATTGGGGAGTGCACAAAGGTGCAGCCCAGCAATTGTGACTGGCACTTTAACTTTGTGTTGATTCACCATGTTTAAAGGAAATGCAGCAGCGCAGAGAACTTTGGCATTTGCCTTCGCATGATAGCAAAGTCTAACCTGATGCTACTTATGCCAGACCCAGTACACCATCTTTGAGCGGAAGAATGGGAGTTTGGTGCCCTCGACAAGTCTGTGCATTTTGATTTGGGCTTTGAGATTTCAGAAGTGTGTCCTCTCGAACCATTTTGTGCACAGTTGCTCTTGTACGTTGCCTCCCTTGCAGCCTTTCGTTTTTATCCTAGAAGCTGATGTCAATGCATCCCCGTTGTTGCAGCACGACAGTAGAAAAGACCAAGCGACCAGAGGTTTCAGCCACCTTCCCTCCTCGTCTTTGGGACACGCAGCATAAGACAGAAGTGGACTCGATAATCTGCACCACTTGTCACCAATGATCTGCACCCGCGATAGATAGCTGAAGCCCAGGCTTGAGCAGCGGAGTTTTTGTAACCGCCGTCGCCAGTTGAGCACCGCACAGGGGTGATGGAGGATTCCATGGAAGTGGACGAGCTTCGGGAGGTCGAGGCTCCGCCAAATGAGGGGGACGGTGAGGGCGCATCAATGTCTGGGGGGGATGAGAGAAATGGGGGGGACGGTGCAAGCGCATCAAAGTTAGGGGGGGATGAAGAAAACCAAGTTGTGAAGCAACCAGATGCTCCCGACCCTGCGCCAGACAGCAGTCCACTGTTGGAGGACGAGCCGCTACCGTCGAAATTCTCGGAGGCGCCTCCGAACGGGCCTGTCTACCGTAGGAAACTGAAAAAGTTGGCGGCTGTTGGGGCTGAGAAGGCCGGTCCATCGGATGCCGGTACAGGACTGGCTGAGGAGGCGGGCAAGAGCGAAGACGCTGCCCGCAAAGTCTCGGAGAAGAGCGAGTCGGGGAAGAAACGGAAGCCCGGGTTTCAGAAGAAGGACAAGGGGCAGGAGGAGGAGGCGCTGGTGCGAAAGGAAGGGGAGTATGAGATTGGGGACCTGGTGTGGACAAGGCTGAAAGGGCATCCCTGGTGGCCGAGCCAGGTAAGGAAGGGGGGGCCTCGTGCATGCTGTCGTGACTTCTGGTCAGAGACTTCAATCTTCAAGTCTTGCAACAGAAGGGGAAAAGTTGACCGGGTCAAACTCTGCAATGTTTGGCAGGAAACAACGGCAAGTCAGGAAGCTCAAATCGGCAAAAGGACAGCTTCATGCTCTGTGAGGAAACTTAGTGACCTCATCCTCGAGATCCTCACACAATGCGCTCTGCGTTGTAAAACATTTCCCATAGCAATGATCTAAACAATCCAGGAGTGTTACCTCTGAGTTGAGAGCTCAGCCCACTTTTTGGTTCGATCTCAGGTGTTTGATCCGGAGAAGGCGAGCAAGAAGGCGCGCAAGCTGCAGAAGCCGGGCCACCTACTGATCGCCTTTTTTGGGGATGAGACGTTTGCGTGGCACAAGCCAGACGACCTGGTGCCCTTTGAGGCCAACTTGGATATGAAGGCCAAGCAGAGCGGGGGAGGGCGGTTATTCCAGGATGCCATCGAGGCTGCGCAGGAGGTGCGAAAACAGATTTTGGTGACGTATTCCGGAACTTTCTGTGCGATAAATTTTGCAAGCGGAAAACTTCTCAACTTTCCAGCCACTTGATCAACTTGCGCAAGATGATTTGGAGGTTGGCTGTCGCTGAAAGGTTGCCTAAGCTCTCTTGCGCTTTTGGTCCCGAAGCTCTCGCGCGCTTTTTGCTGAGTTCGGCTTTGTCAACCGACACTCCTATCTTGCATTTTTGTGCTGTTTCGTTGCTTTGGAATCAGATTCTAAAGCCGGTTTTCAACTATCCAAGTTGCAAACTTCGCGTCGAGCTGGGACGATACGAAACCTCATCTTTTGGAAGGTACTTGAACCTGGGAAGCAGGTTTTACATTCTTCATTTTCTCTATCTTTCAGGAGCTCGAGAGACAGAAGGCGGCTGCTCGCGGGATTGTCATTGAAGATCCTGAGGAGCGAGAGGAGCGGCTGCGCAAGGAGAGGGCGGAAGCGGAAAAGTCTGCAATTGCCGCTTACGACCCGGACCGCATCTTGCACTATGTCCGAGCGCTCGCGGTCCAGCCTCTCAAATGGTGAGCCGCTGCTTTTCCTCTTTCTTCTTTCCCTGCTGGGTCCCTTCTTCTTTTTCTCTGTTCTTGTGCTTCCCTTCTTGTTCTTTCGTTCTTGTTCTTGTTTGGGGGAGCATGCCAAAGGTGTAGGTCCTTGCACTTCCAAGTGATACTCTTTGGTTGACCTGCTGGGCGCTGAGTGGCTCCTGGAGTTCAGACGGAGCTGTGTTGCTGGTAATGGTTTTTTCCAGCCAACTTTTGGAGTCTTAGGAATTTTGAAAACCATGGCCCATGCAGTGCGAATGTTGGACAGGATCCAGTGCGACCAGTCTTTAAGAACGAGAAGAGAAGCTGCTTATTTGCATGCAAAACCCTTCGCTCATGCGAGGGGGTCGGATAGTAGGTTCCTGCATATTGGCCCGCAATGTGTTGAACTGGTTGTTCCGCAGTTGTGCAACAGCTTGTCTTTGCAGTGTTACCTTCTGGTTTTCTCCCTCGAATTCTGTACTGTCGCGCACATTCAGTCGTGTCGTACATAAAACACTGAACACACCTCTTGTCTTCTTCTCGCAGTCCACCGGACGAGGCATCCCGCATCCAGGCGCTGGCGTACCGCAGCGTGATTCACCACGAGGAGAAAGAGCACCCCGCCAAGGCCGGATTGCTGCCGGGCTGGCGACCGATTCCAAAAGAAGCACCCAAAAGAAAGCCGAAACCAAAGTCCGCAAACGTAGAGTCGAGCGACGACGATGTGCCGATTCTCGCGTCGCCCAAAACCCCCAAACCTCCGAAGACGCCCAAAACTCCGAAAGTTTCGAGTGCGCCCGCGAGCAAAGGGGATGGGAGCGAGCCGGAAAAGAAGAGACGTGGGTGGCCGAAGGGAAAGCCACGTGGCAAAAAGACGCCCAAAGAAGGGGACTCGGTGACGCCCAGTGATGGTTCGGAGAAGAAGCGGCGGAGAAAGCGGGCAAAAGAAACGGAGGGGGTTAGCCCGAGCGCCAAGTTCGATACGTTGGTCGCGGCGATAGACGACATCGAAGGAAGGGACAAAAACGATGCGGGTGGAGCGGGGGAGGAGAACGGTTCGGGCAATCAAGGGCGGCCGGAAAGAGGGCGAGACGCAAGCGGCGAAGCTCAGGGTCAGCCGAAAGAGGGGGGTAAGGGGGAGGGAAACGGGTTAGCGTCTCCTGGAACAGAGGCGCGCAGGATAAGGAAAGAGGTCAAGATTGTTGCGCCGAAGGTTAAGCGGGCGACAAGAGACGAGGCGGGCGAAGAGCTGGGGGCTTTGCTGGACAGGCTGCGGACAATTGCGCAGGAGCCAATCGAAAAGTGAGCCACGGTTCTAGATCAACGAGTCGCACATGTCGGATCGTACATCTTTTGTAAGGGAAAGAAGCGATCCTCAAGAAACGCAGTGACGACCTGCTCGTATTCAGCATCACATCGTTCTTTGCTGCAGTGGGCTCAATTCGACACGTCCTTCTATGGCCCAGATCAAAGTTGTGGCTTTCCAAACATAATGCCTTTTTAACTGGGCATCTCAAGCGTTGGCTCAAGCCCAGTCGCTGTCCCCATCCCTGAGAGTACTGCTTCATAAAGCTCCTACAACCAGCCCCTGATCTTACATATCTCGTCAACCGGCCAACTTTTCACCATCGTTAATTGCAAATTTTCCTTGTCAGCTTATTCAACGAAAATACTCTTCGTTTCAGTGCTTCTTACGCGTTTTGCAGCGACCCTGCCAGCGAGGAATTCCGTGCGACTTCGGCCAAATACGTCGACTATCGGCAGTACCAGATCGCCCGCGCCAAGGCACGATACCAGCGCTCGTTCAACTACGCCGCCGGGATCTCGCCGCGGGCTCCACTTCCGGCAGCCGAAAAGCGCAAGGCGCCCCAAAATGCTGTCCGCATTTCTATCGAGGGGGGGGCTCCCAAGCGGTGGAAGGAGGCCCCCGTTACGAAGAGAGAGGAGACGGGGGAGAAGCCAAAAGTGAAACGGGTCAGGAAGAAGAAGGAAAAGGTGGAAGAACCCGAAAAGAAAGAGAGAGGAGAGGGGGAGAAGAAGGGCGGCGAGGGGGAAGAAGAGGAATCGACCGACGAGGACGTGCCATTGCAGAAGCGGATGAAGATACATGCGGACTCTGGTATGTGTTGCAGTATGCTGCCTTCTTTCGCTGTGTCGAGAAGACTTGCCTGTAGTGACGGCTTACTCAAAGTGGAGAGCATCTCGCAAGGTTTTCCAGGCCTAAATATGCACTCTCTGCTTTTCAAAAGGGCTCATCGCGGGTTTCTTTCTGCCGTCCGTCACGTTGACAGAAACACTGATTGGCATCTGCTTCCCATTTTGTCAATCCCGTGGCAAAGCCGGGGCTCGCGATTTGTTCGATTCGACCGTCGCCTAACGGTCCCCTAAAAACTCTTGTGTATCACTGGTATGTTACTCATCACAATATCTCGGGTCAGGGCCTCAGATCAGAGAAAAATCAGTCGGGAAGCATTGCCAAGGCTCCTTCCGGACAACACTCTTGAGAATCTGCTTAGGATTACGACCCAAATATCACCCCTGCCCACCCTTTGCAGCTCTTCCCCCCCGCAAGCAAGTCGGTACGTCCACCCCGGCTGAGCGCATCGCCGAGTTCCGCCGCCGCATGCTGGGCGTCAAGGGGGGCCCGACGTCACCAAAGGCGTCCGACAAGGGAGTGACGTCACCCAAGGGGGGCCTAACGTCACCAAAAGCTTCCGAGGGGGGTGGGAAGGCGGCAGCAGGGGAGCCCCCCGCTAAGCCGTTTGAGCCGCTCGCACTGTTCATGCGCTTCCCGGAGCGGTTTGCGGTGCCGTCGGAGGCGCAGCTCAAGGCGAGCTTCGTGCGGTTTGGGGAGCTTGCGACGTACCGGGGGGCGACGCGCGTGCTGCCGCACAAGTCTGCAGCTCAGGTGGGAGACCGACGGAGTGCGAGCAGATTCTCAACGTGGGCGATGGTGATTCGTGTGTAGGTTGAGAGTATATAGGCCCTGCTTTTGAGCAGACGTTGAAGCAAACGACCAACGGGTTCAGATGCATCTGATGGCATGTTTTCGTCATGAGAGTGCGCAGTAAACTCTGCCGTTGGATCACCGCGGTGTTTAAGCACGGTTCGGAGGACTGTTACCGCTTTCAACGGCCTGTCGAGTAAGTAGACCGTTGACAGGCGCTTCTCGGATTTTGATCTTGTGATTGACGTGCCCACCCCGAGGTGGTGCTCAAGCGCCCCAAGAAGCGGATGCGGCCTTCAAGTATCACCCCGCCAGCACAACGTTCAATGATTATCGTACCTTTATTCCCTGCTGACGCTCTTTGTCTGAGACCTCACCTCCCCGCCTCCCAGGTGGTAATCAAGCGCAGTGAGGATGCAAAGGCGTTGGAAAATCTACCAGAGCAACACGCGTCTTGGCGACCTCTAGAATCGTTTCCCTGCTGCCAGGAGCGTTCTGAGATCCTGATTGTCCTTCCTTTCAGGTGGTATTCAAGCGCAGCGAGGACGCGGACGCTGCGTTCAAGTACTGCCGCGCGAACACGATGTTCGGCAACCCGCGCGTGCGCTACGAGCTGCGCGAGGTGGTGTTCCAGGAGGTGGGCGCCAAGAAGGGGCGGCCCAACGGGAACGCACCGCGCAGCCCGCACGCCATGACCTATGACGAACTGCTCAAAGAGCCCGCCAAGGTGAGATCTGTGATTTCAAGCACTCCTTTGTTGACCTGCTTTCAGTCGTCACTCCTCGGTGTTCTCCCATCTTTCAAGTCTTTTTCTAAGTTGTAAGTGCAAACAGCGGGGCATGTATTGAGATACGGGGTTCCGGGGTCGAGGGAACCTATGAGGTACGACGAAATGCTCAAGGAGCCCGCCGAAGTGAGGATCGCCGATCGCTGTCTGCTTTGTATACCCGCTTTCGGTTCGAGCCTTAATCTTTGCGTTCACGTTGTTCTGGAGTGTTCGAATTTGCGAAGTGCGGGTGAAATGTCTGAGAGTTCCGAGTTACTTGCTCCATCTGAGATCTGGATTTGTTTTTTTGATTCTCTCACTGGCTCCCCTTTCACTCTGCAGCCCGGTCCAGCCGCTTCCTCTTACCGGCCGATCCAGTCGCGCCCCCCGCCTCTTCAGGGGCCGGTTGCTGCCTTGGGTCCGCCGGGGGGCGGCAAAGCGCCCGCCAAATCGATCCTGAAAGACCCCCGGCGGCCCCCCCCGGTCCGCCAGTCTCTCCTGCTGTCGTCAGCGATGGTACGACCATGTCTCTGTCTGCATATATACTGCGTGTCGAAGTGAGGGGCACTTTAGGTTTTTGGCGTTGACAAGCATCAGTTCCCTAGGTTAGCGGGTCAAGCGAGGTAGGGCGTAACTAAATATTGCCGGTTTGGCTATCTCTGCTGTTGTCGTCCGCAATGGTACGGCCATTCTTCAGTTCGCACGTTTCCGTGCAATTTGAAGTCGGGGGAGTTCTGTAGTGTTTGTTGATGCTCGGGCACGTTACCTTTCCCCCTGGTCTAGTTAAGCAAGCAAGGCGGTGTCTCCGTTATGCGGTGCCTTGGACAAAAGGTTGCGCTTGTCATGGAAGCAACAGCCGCCTGTTTGCTCCTTCGGACGATTTGCCAAGAGTAGCAGCTGAGTTTCACGATGATTGACAAGATGAAGACGACCCTTGAGAATAGATCGAAGATTTGAAGGGCATGCCTAAGCAGCACAGTTGGTGAAGCAGATTATCTGGACGGTACAGACAGCACGAGTGGCAACCCGACGGTTGTCACTCAGAGCAGAGCAAGTTAAAGCTGGTTCATTTCGTAGACGAGTATCATCTTTAGTTGTGGTCTCGCTTTTATCTGTGTGGGTGAGAACTACCCTTGGATGTGGTTCTCTCATTGATTCAAAGAAAACAGCTATCACGACTACCATGCTATGCATCATGGTTTCTATTTTGTAGATTGGACATAGCCAGCTTTCATCCGTTCTGACCATCTGATACCACTCGGTGCAGGAGACTCTGCTGAACCCCCCCCCCGTGAAGCCGGTTCCTCCCCCCACAGCACCCCCGCTCCCTTATGTACCTTCCAGATCCTCATCTACAAACTTCCCGATGCCCCCCTCGACGCCTTATACGAGCCAGCCGTCCGCTTATCCCCCTCAGCAAGCCCCATACCCGGGACATTCAGCTCCATACGCGAGCGGCCAGTCGGCCCCTTACCCACCCCAGCCTACGAGCGCAGCACCGAGCTTCGGACCTCGCCCGCCCGCTTATGGCCCGAACCAGTCCCTGCCGCCCGCTTATGCGGCTCGTCCACCGCCTGGAAGGCCCCCTTTCAACCACCCTCCGGCAGCTTATGATCCCGCCCGGCCAGGATATGCTAGTCAGTTCAACCACCCCCCCGCTCCACCACCCCCGCTGCCCCCTTATCCACGTGGCCAGCAACCTGCGCCGCCCGCTTATACTCAGCAGTCGGCCAGGCCGCAGGCGGCTTATACGGCAATATTCAGCCCCCCGCCGCCGCGGCCAAACGGGGCCGCCCCTTTTGCGAGCCACACGCTCCCCCCCCCACCTCCACCCATGCCGGCGCCCCCCCAGCAGATCGCATCTGAGGTGCAAAAGTTTGCTGATTTGCTGCAGGTTCTCAGCGGGCAGGGCGTTAACCCAAACCCAGTTCAAAACCCCAACCCAGTCCAGAATCCTAGCCCGGTCCAGAACTCTAACCCGGTACACAACCCACAAACCCTGCCGCCGCCTCCAGCACCGATGCCGGAGCAGGGTCCTTCGACACAAGCCAGTGTCGAGAAGTCGCAAGCGGGGGGGGCTCCCATTCCGCCCGGTCACGGAGGCCCGGGGCCTGCTTATAGGGTGCCGGATGCAAAGGAAATGCACCAGGAACGGATCGGGGAATTGATGGGAGAGGCTGCGGGTCCGGAAGACGAAAGCTTCCGTGACATGCTAGAGCAACTGCTGAACCAAGCCGCGGAGCTGCAAGCAAACAACGTGTGATTTTCACGGATGAGTAGAGAGATTGAGGACCGATAGTGGAGGGTCGGACTTTTTCGAGCTTGATGTACAGATCTGTGATGCAGTGGGTCATGAAGAACGAGCCGAACAGCTGTTCTGTCGAACAGAGGAACCCGGTAATCTTTGTAAAGTACGATGGTAGTGCACGGTTGTTGAGCAAAAATGATGGTATAATGGCCGAAGACCATTGCAGTGCTAGGAGGTCGTTGGTCAGCATGCCACATGCTTGATTTCGAGGTGGAGCCTCTCGTAAGGATCTGTTCAACTGCGACCGCCCCAGCCCGCTTGGCATGGCCCAGGCTACAGGCGTGGCAAGCGTACACTCGATGGTTGTCTTACACCTCTAGTGATACACCATGATGCACAAAATTCATGAGATGCCTGAATCTTTGCAAGGCCCATTCCGAGACTGGCCGCGGCGTGGCCCATCATGGCCCATTGATCGACTCTACTGCATCTAGCTCGTACTCCTTGCACCGTCGTGTATGTATAGACTAGTTACGATACATTGGTGCACTATAACTCGATCAACTACCCTTCCGATCATGCAGATCGACGCTTGCCACTCAGCGTGCCTTCATCATTTGTTGAATTAAGTACCAATTCAACATCAACTGCCCTTACGCGGCTTTGCTTTCCGCAAGGTTAAAGGCTTCCCTCCGTCCCAGTCCCTTCTCGGCGTCTTCTGATGATCGGAGCAAGAACGGTTTCTGGAAAGTCGTAGTATATTTTCCTCGATCAGCTTACCGTAAGGCTCTCAATCAAGTAACCGAGCAGAGATGCAACGTGCAATACGCTGCCAAATCATGTTTGACCGACACGCAGACCTCGTTGGAAACATCCAAACAATTTCGGCGTGAAGAGTCACAGATTCTTCCAATCAATTCCGATGATGATCTGTCGACTGCCATTCACGTCATGTTCGATCCAACTTGTCGATTCCCAACAAAAAGCAAGCGTCAGAGAGGGCCTCTCTCAACTCACGTGGCACTTTCGCAGGAAGCAGAACGGTGCACTTCCAGCGTGCCGCCATCGGAGCGTGCCTCGTCTCTAATCTCGTAGCTAATTACTTGAATTCGTTGCTAACCTCGTCGTTCACTTCGTCGCTAACCTCGTTGCTAACTTTGTCGCTGACCTCGTCGCCAATCTCGGCTCTGACTCCCTCGTTGCTATTCTCGATGCTAACATTATTGCTGACCCCGGAGCTATCCTACGGGGACCGCACCGAAGGTAGACCCTGTGCAACCAGACCCTATATTTGGGCTTTTTTCCCCTGGCGCTAGCCATGGGAATTTTTGGGTAAATCCTGGCAGATTTTCAAAAACTCCCGGTAAAGTAATGGGTTTGCTGGCAAAATACCATAGATTTCGGTAAAAAGACCAAATCTTGGAATTTTCCGGCCCGGTTATGGTTCTTTCCTGGCTGGCTGCCAACATTTTGCGGTGATTTTTTCCCACGCTGGCGCCAGGGTCAAAGGAGCAGAGTTGCGGGCTGGCCGTTCGGTGCGGTCTCTGATCCTAGAAGGTCGGACGTGCGGCCGAGCGCGCTGTTCGGTTGAACGGCACTGCTCACGGCTCCAACGTTGACTGCTGTCCAACAAGGCAAGAAAGCTGCTCATGAGCCTTCTCAACGGCGGAGCGTGAGAAATGTCAAGCAATCTAAGACGACAGGTTGTCCTTTGACTCAGAAGGACCACTTTGAGTATTGACTCTGGTTTGCACATGGACTTCATGAGCTCTTAGACCGACTAAACGCGGTCGGGCCATACGAATAGCATTCAGAACGTTTTTGTCTTACCACTTCAAAAACAGCTCCGAGATCGCTTCTCGAAACCCATTCCCAAGCACCCAGCTTCTGTGAGACTATGGCGCCAATCAAACATTGTTTCGCCTCGGCAGCTGCTGGGATCCTCGCCGTCCTGCTAATGGGGTCGACGCTCGCTCTCGTGGCGGCTCAGCAGGGTGAGCTTTCTCTGCGTCATTTTGAGACAGCATTAGCGGCTTCTGATTCCATATTAAAGTGACATATTGTCGATGCTTCTTTTCTCAGCCTGCAGTCAATAGGACGGCTCCGGGTCCCTTCTGTTCAGGTGGCAAGCCGTGACTTGCGTTTTGTTTTTGACAATAAGATTACAACGCTGTTAAGCAGGAGCCGCGTACCTTGCTCGCTATGTGCCTCCTCGCCAATTCTGACCCAAACCCAAACTGGGACATCGCCCTTGGTTGGTTCTAAGGTCATTCTGCACATTCTACCACCAAAAGCGCCTGATAACTGGGCAACTAACCAAGCGGTAAGCTCTTCGATTAACGGAATGTCTCCCCCAATGACAGGTGGCGCGGTGCCCCAACAAACCCTGCGTATCGCCCGGGTTAACATAACCAATGCGTGTGTGGTCCCCGTGCGGATCCAACTGGGCAGCAACCAAGCCAACAATGACTTCTGGCAAACTTACGACCCGGCCACCAATACGACCACCCCGGCGAATGGCACGTATGACATTCCGGTCGGCGGATCGCAGGGGAACCTGCTCCTGGTGAAAATCGACGGTGCGCGAGCGGTGAGAAACTTCTCTGAGAAACTCGAAGTAAAACGTGTTCTCGTCTGCTCGAAACCCAAGCCTGATTGCAAGACGATTCTCTCATGGCTCCATGAAGCATGCTCCGTTGCAAAGTATCTGTACTTCTGTGCTAGTCCAATCTCAATAGCCACCCGGACATAAGTCCCTTCTCCTTAAGGTTTCCTGACGTGTGACCTTGACGTGACTCCCAAGTGAATCCCGCGTCCCTGACCGGCCCCTGCGCACGTCTGAGAAGCAATAAACCAAACCACTCCAGTACTTTAGAAATCCCAAACGCCTAAGACCGCTGATGGGTCCTCAAACTTCTCTTCTTGCTGCAGCTCCCAAACAGCAGCTTCTCCATTGGTGCTTTCGCCCCCACTGACGGTCCTGCCCCCAATCTAATCGACACGATCGCCATACGCAGCCAGCTTGGGACAACGCCTGGGACACTGCCCGAGAGCTCCCCTTTCAACGGGGGCGCACCCGGCGCCCCCCCGCCGCCCGGCATTTTCTCCTTCAACCCGGTGACAACCAACACTTCCTCCTCCACTGTTGCTCCGGTCGAGATTGCGGTAAGTATTCCGGGGGGGTTTTCTGGTTGTTTCAGAAGGACGGGTGTCAGGGTTCAAAGCAACCAGCATCTTCATCGTTACCATAACTCCGGTCGAGACGGCCATGAGTATGCCCGGAAGGCTTCAGAATCTAGGATTACAGATTCTGAAATTACGGCAACAAGAACTTCCACCTTCGCGTCTGCCCCCCGGTCGAGATTGCGGTGATGTGCCCGGGTCTCGGACGTCACTAGCTTTTCACCGGATTCAAAGAGCTTGACGGGACGGCTCTCCTTTGGTCATTTTCTCTTCTCGCAGCCGAGTGCTTTCGAGTACAGGCCGTCTCACTCAATAGTTTTGAGCGACAGGGACCCCGCTGTGAGCACTTGACACAGGCCGGATCACTTTCTTTCCAAAGGCAACCTTTTCAACGTCAACCACTCTCTAGTTGTTGAATCTTCAGCATTTTGTGAGCGATTACTTAGGCTTTCTTCTTGATCGATAGACGTCCTCTGAGAAAATTCCGGGAGCTTTGCCCTTTGGACGGCGGAAAAAACAAAAAGGAGCGCGACTTGACTGCCTTTCCTTTTCATATGCAGGTGGCAGTGATCTGCGCCGGGTTACTGCCCCCCTTATCAACAGCATTGCCAGAGCCGTTTCCGGTGCTGCCCTATCGGGGTAAGGGTCGCCTCTCCCATGCCCCATTCTGATACGTTTCTTCGCATTGTCAATTATCAATGATCTGGTCCCTGTTTTCTCGCTATGCACTGCTGCATTTCCATTTCGTATTCGTAAAGGCTAGAATGAGTAAGTGACAAGGAGAGGGAGTAACAGAACGAATCGAGAGCTGAATTCAAGTGCCAAAATCGCACAACTTGTGTACCCAAATTCTAAGAAACCTTTCACTTGCGGCGAACTTGCAACCAAGCCCACTTGTAAAAGGGCTCAACCGCAGCGAAACTGGGCCGTAACGTCTACATACATCAAATGTCCGGAAATGGGAAATGGAAAAAAGCGTCGGCAACGTTCGAACCAGTAAACTGCTCGCTTCTATTGGACACACTTTCAGAACCTGAAATCCTTCCCCTTGTCACGCTTCCATCGGTCACAGAAAGGTTTGGCTCGCTAACCGGGCTTTACCAGACTCGAGTCTCAGGTTGATGGACAGATAACCAGTCTTCAACCTTAGTTCAAGGCTGGGTCTGGTCACTGGACAGTTAACCTCTTCTTAACCAGCCCACAACCATCCCTGGTTAAGGACCGAAAACTCCTGTGGGTGCTCTCGGCCGGCCGGCCGGCGGCGGCAGCGAGTACCGAACGTCCGGAACAGCGAAAGAGCCCGCAACGTCCGTTGATTGCCCACACGTTTCAAAAACCCTTTCCGAGTCTTACTATCTGCCCCTTGTCGCGCAGCCATCCCGTGCACTCAACCGGCCGGCAGCGAGTGTCTCAACATCCCACCCCCTTCTTCCCCTTCATCCGTGGACCGCCCTGCCTCTGCGAATCGTACGTGGGCGGCGACCCTGCGCTCGGCAATGCTACCTGCCATTCTAACGTCGTCGATTGCCGCGCTTGCCGACGGTGCCTCACCGACCGCAACTGCCCCCGCCAAACGTACAGCTGCGTCGGCGTCTGCCGCGGAGTGCGCTACAGTTTCCCAGGGTCCTCTGTAGGAGGGCTTTGCGTCCCCAATTGCGGGGTCCCGCCCAGGACCACTTTTCCAGGTTGCTAGATCACCATGAAAGCTGACCACGCAAAACTTGCGCAGAATGCAGTCTTTGACATGCCCGGTAAACAATATACCACCCTGAATATTTTCGGCACCCAATCATCCACTTGGGATCTCAAGAAGTAGATAAGTAGGTTGTGGGTTCAATGAACCTTGTCCTCGATGGACCTTAGCGATGCCATCAAAGTTTTGCATGGGAAAAGAACTACAGCGATCTTTCACTTACATTCCGGACGCACGGCCGCCTAGCGTAAGTTTCCATAGAATTTCGACGGTAGCTAAAAGCTGAGAAGAGACGGGCAAAGATCCCCCATCACATTGAAACTTCAACACTCTTACATCCTTGCCAAATCTGCATGGACCAGCCATTTTAGAGGGGTCATAAGACGTCTTTCGAATCAGGGTAAGCTTTGCAGATTCAAATGAACTCGCTTAAACAGGATCATAGAGACGAGAAAACCTCCGCTCGAAAAACATCGCTGATTACTACGGCACGATTACTGCGGCATTATATCGGAAAGGACCTTCTCGTCGCGATTTACTTGGAGTTGCAGCGCTTCCTGAATAAGAAGGAATGGAATCCAATACAACCAGAATGGGCCTCTTTAAACTTGCGGTTCTCGTATATGATCTGCGGCCAGCGGCCATCCATTGTCACAACCCAGTAAGCCAAACACCGCATCTGTACGCCAATGATCATGCGCGGCCGTGAGCTAGCTCTTGAAAGCTCGTTAGATTACGGAAAGCTAGTACGCGCGTTGAAGGTACGTGGCAGTACCAACGTGACTCGTATACATGACCGTAACGGGCCTGGACATCAAATCAAGTCACTGAGCAGATAACAACTTGAAGCTTCAAAGCGGTTTGCCGGCCAGCATGTGGTAGACTTTGTGAGCGGCACGTCCTGCTAACGAATACATGTAGGAATCTGTAGTGACTGCATGATGGCCACTAGCGCAGCTTCTCTTTCTCAACATGAGCTCGTCGACCCATGACGCTTAGCTTGCTTGATCGAAACGTGCGGTCTTAACACCCGGGCCAAAACCAGTTATGACTTGTAGTTGTTGGCAACGCCGCATTGTGTAGCAGAACCCGCTAGCTTCAAATTATAGGTCCAAGCTCAATTAGAATCGATAGTTGCCGGCGTTCTTTCGACAATCCCTGAACGTACGCTCAAAAAGGGCGCCTGCGTCCCTGCGTCTTCCATTACCTCTTTTTTGGCAAAACGCGGTACTTTAAACCGGGGCCAGATACATAACTTTTAGTCAGCTTACCAACGCCGTATCAATGCGTAGTAAAACACGGTTTGGAATAAGTCCAAGCTGGTAATTGCCGTTGTCCTTTAATTGACCTTCAAGAAAGCAGCTGGATCTGAAGGCCCGTCGAAATAACAACCGAGTCGCCTGAGCCCCCGTCCCCTCCTTTACTTCTTTTTGGGCGCGGCTTTTGCCGCCGCCGCCGCTTTAGCGGGTGTGGGCAACGGCCCTTTCGCCGGCTGCCCTTTTCCCTTCTGCGCAGCCGCGGCCGCGCCCTTCTTCGGCGCCCCCAAGCCCTCGCTGAACCCGCCCGACGCGCGCGCCTCTCTGGCCGCCTTCGCAAGCTCGAGGTCGCGCGCCCTGTTCTCGACCACGATTGGTCCGCAGGGGGTCCACGTGTAAAGCTGCTGGAGCGCTGCGTGGACCGCTTCGAAGGCGGGGTTTGTGCCGATCTCGGAAACAGGGATCCTGGGGGGGCTGGTGTCGCCGGCAGAAATGCCCCCCGAGTGTGTCTGGACAAGAGCGGTGAGGGCGGCGACGCTGAGTGCCGCTGTCGCCGGGGGGCCGTCCCAGGAGAGAAGCTGCAAAAGAAAAGACTTCTTCCATCAAACGGGAGAATTGGCGTTCGTCAGCCGGGTGAACAAAGCTTAAAGAAGGTGCATCTCTTAATTGTGTTGCAACCAGAAACTTATACGTTCTGGGCTCGCTACTTCCTTCGAGGGCCTTCGAGGGCGTGTCCTTTGCCAGCAGCTGCCGAAATGATTCACGGCGATGACATATTTTCTCATGGCGGTCCAGTTTCAAACGGCCTATAAGAACAGATTGAACGGCCGCAATGTTCAAAGTGCGAACGTCATGTAAGGACAGAGGATAGGACTTATCAGTCTCAAATAGGCTTTCATTTTGCGGATGTATGTTCCGGTTCTCCTTACCTGATGGATGTGCTCAGCAGTAACGGCGTAGTCCGGCGGCAGCGCGCCCACCGCGGCCGCGGCCGTCTCCAGCATCCACGTGGCGGACTGCGGGCGGGCGCAGAGGTACTGGAGAAGAGTCTGCCACGTCACCAAGGACTCCTCCACGTCAGCGCACATGCGGAAGAGGACGGCCTTGAGCGCGGCGCCGCGCTTGAAGCCCTCGGGGAGGTCATCTGCGGGCGGCGAGGTTTTGGGAGTTTAGAGCACCGTCTTGGTCAGTGCTTGTGTCAGATTGGTTGAGTTTTACACCCCTGAAAGTTTTCATTATCCCCTAATACAGCAGAGGTTACGAGGCATGCAGAAGTATGCTCCACGTGACGTCTTCGATATGCACTTCGCTCGCACTAGCAGCATCCCAAGCTGACCTAGCTCCTTACACCAAGTTTTGTCGGTTTCAAATCTCCTCCCTTTCACAAATTATTCGCTTTGTCTCTCCTTAATATTCCAACGACGTTAAGGCCCCTTACCTTTCTCGAACCAGAGTTGCGCCCCCATCCACTCTTCGTACGTCAGCTTCCCGTCCGCATCGCTGTCCGCAGCCTCGAGCCTGGCGCCCGCGCGTGCGACGTCCTCGGGGGTGCCGGCCGCGACCGAGCCGGCGCTGTTCTCAGCGATGAGCCCGCTCAGGAAGCGCCGCCAGGAGACAGTTCCGCCAGCCGAAAGGGAACCGCAGCATGCCTGTTGAGACGAAGATGATAGAAAGTAAGAAGGTACGGCCCGGACAACAACATTCTCCCCTACAAAGCACAGCAACCACCCTTATTGGTGGTGGGAAAGGCTAGAAAGGTTTTCGCATCCAATGATACCTATAGGGCAAGTCATCTTTCTAAAACAGATGTAATACTAATTTCATGATTGCATTTGCATGAGACCAGATGCAATTCCGCAGGACTGCTGTCTACAACCCTGACCGAGTATTACAAAAGAACATGAGAACCTTTCAGAAGGAACATCAAGAAAGAGATCGAAAGCGAAGCCGGAGAGATGGCGGCGGAACTTCGACCGGAAGGTGATTGCAACGGATGGCAGAAAACATTCTCACGTGTTCGATGCGCGCTCCCAAAATCAGCGACGATCTTTCGCCCGTGTGAGCAGCCGCCTCATTCAAAAGTTGAGAAGATCGACGCTGGGCAAATAAGACATGATAACAGAATTGGAAACAGAGAAGGACAGCCGGTGGGAACTTGTACACACCTGGAAAGTTTCTTCCGATACGTCAGCCCACATGTTCTCTCCCGCCGGCGCCGCCGCCTTTTGCCCCCCCGGCAGTCGCGGCGTGACGGGCTGGTTCGCAGGGTTGGAGCGCGCCTCTAAGCACTCGCGCGCGACGCGCGGAACGGTTTCCGCAGCGGAGTCGAGTGGAACGCGGCCGGAAGGCGCGGAGTCCGCGAAGGCGGCCGCGAGCCCGTCCAGAGCGTCGACGGGCATAATGCCCGAGGGAGGGGAGGGCTCGGGGTGAGGGGGCGGCGGCGGGCACTCCTGTAGCGGAAAAAAGCGGAGTCCGGAAAGTCAACAGCGGAACCCTTCCTTTGTGACGGGCGTTTGGGAGGGTCCTCGTTCTGTTGAGATTGCAGGGTACATCCAACAACCAATTGAAGTGATGTAACCGATGGAGACGCCTGTTTCCACGTGTCCGTTCGGCTTTGAAATCTTGTTCTTAAGTCAATCTACAATCGTCTCTTGTGTCCGTTTTCTGAAAAAGAGAGAACCTACGTTCGCTGCTGGATTTTGAGACTCAGCGTCGGGATGTGCCTACGGAACAAGGAACAAGGTGAAAAATGGATAGAAACGAGACTCGATCGCGCGCGCACCATCATGAGCTGCGCCTCGTCGACCTGAAAGCGCTCCCCTTGCACAATCAGCTTGTACCACAGCGCGATGCCCTCGTCCACCGCAGCAGTCGCCATGTCCACCAATGACGTCACCGCTGCGCATTCCGCCTGCAAGCGTGCGACACGTGCAGTGATCAGAACGCTTTACGTGGGAGGTTACTTCAAACAAGGGGACTGCACGACTTGCATTTAGTGTCTTGTCTTTAGCTCAAGAGTTTCAATTCTGCACCCGCCACGTGCAGTTCCGAGGAAAGCAACAACGTTGGCCACCAGGATACGCGTGTGAGGAAAGGTTTTGAAATAATGTTACCAAGACGGAGGCAGTGTGGATTTAGAACCTTATTTTGCGAAGCAATACCGCGGAAGATGAGCGCATCTTCAGGAAGAAGCGCTCGCATCGCTTGACAGAGACCCCTTGATTTGTAATCAAAATGACGGGCGGGGTTGCGAGAGAAGTCGCGTGGTTCGTCCTCATGACAAGGCTGTCGAATCTGACCGTAGATTTAAGGTCTCTATATATTCCTAAGCATCCGTTTTGACCCCAGTTCCCAAGCCTTGTCAGTTGCTCCTTTCCGAACCGCTCAAGCAAATTTCGAAACTTGCCCTTTGACCTCACTCGTCACTCAAACTTCCACAAACTTCCATCCGGTTAATCTCTATTCAACTTCGATTGAAAGCGTGAATTGCGACAACAATCCGACGGCTTCCTCAAGTCTTCTGAGAGATGACGTCAACAAGCCGGCCCACCTTGAACCGCTCCGCGATCCAGTCCTCCAGCCGCGCAAACGCGCGCGCCTCCATCTCCTTGACTGCCTCCATGTCCGTCGCCGCCGCTTCCGCCAGCTGACGCAACCTTTCCGTCGCTCTAGTTCCCTCCTCCTCTAACGCCGTGAGCAGCGCGCGCGCGCACTCTTTTCGCGCCAAAACCTCCGGGTCCGCGGCCGCCTCGGGCGCCGATTCGGGCGACTCACTCGGCTCGTTCGCCGCTGCTTTGTCGCCCTTTTTGGCGGGCTTCGACTTCCCGGCCTCCGACACGCGCTTCCCCCCCTTTGCGCTCTTGTCGCTCTGCTGCCGCGCGGGCGCGGCCGACTCTTTCTTTTCCGGGGGGCTGATGACTTCATTGAGGGCCGTGCGTGACGTATGTAAAGCGCGGAGCGCGCGGCGCGCAACGCTCGCGAGCGCTGGCGGCGCGGCCGCGACCCAGGAAGGATCAGAGGGGAGAGGTGGGGGGTCGGTTGGGGCGGAGAGTTCGGGCAGGAGGTTTGGGGTTTGGAGCGCGAAGCGGCGCGCGTGATAGGTCTGGAGAAAAGCGAGGGTAGACAGCAGGCGCAACAACTGCACAACATGGTTCGAGAAGAGGGTTTCTAATGTCTGCTAGTCGACTAATAGTTGTAGCTTGGTTGGTCGAGACGACATTTGACATAACTATGAGTTTGACTCTACATGCAACAGCGCTTCTATTACCCTTACGCAACCGAGCAATTCGACGAGGATGTCAGCGGGTTTCAATGGGAAATGTTTCATTTTCGACCAGGAGCGGAAATGATCCGTGTATGCGTTTCTCAAATATGCTACGATAGAAAAAGTTGCAAAGAAAAGCAAGATATCTGCTGTCAGCGGTAAACGCGTCGAAAATCTGCTGCGCTTGCACAAGACAACACGCAACGAGATGCCCACCTCCTTCTGCGCGAGCTCCGCGTGCGCGCCCGCGATCTCCGCCACGTGGCTGCCGACGCGGCCCTCCGCGACGCGCGCGGCCTTCTCGCGCGCGGACTCTTCCTTGCGCGCGTCGCACTCCTGCCAGAGCGCGTCGCGGAGTTCCTGCACCTTTTCGCCCAGCTCTTCTTTCATGCTGCCATTGTGCCGCAGCCGCGAGTCGACCTCGTTGAACTCCTCCTGCACATACGGGGCTTGACGTGTCAGGAATTGAGAGTTTAGGACCTTTAAGGGGTTTGAGGTTGAGGGCTCAAGACTGCAGTGTTTGGCAAAATTCAGGGCCTAGTTTTGAAACTTATATGCTCCATGTAACTGAGGCATTTGAGATTTGCCAGCATTGAAAACTTTGAGGGTTACAAAGCGGTTTAGCTATCACGGCTCTGAGTAAGTGGGGGAATCACAATTGGAACGCCTCAGATGGGCAGGTAACGCTGTATTTCTGTTACGCCGCCCCATGCGAATGACTCGCTATATGTAAGCTGAGTTTGTCATATTCCACGAGTAAATGGATGCGCAAGTTGAGAATCAAACGTCTTTTGCGCGTCGTGGTTTGTGATGGTGGAATTGATGAAAACATGCTACCGTGCCGTCTCACCTGGAACTCGTCCACGATCCGCTGCTTCCCGTCCTGCCGGTTGAGGAAGTCCAGGAACTCCGTCTTGACCGCGCGGCAGTCAGCGACGGCCTTTTCCCTCTCCTGCCGGCACTTGCGCAGGGACGCGCGCACGCTCGCGCAGTATTCCAACTCCAGGTTCCGCCAGGCGTCCAGGAGGAAAACGGAATCCTCGCCGGAGAGCGGAGCGGGCGCGGGCGGAGCGGGCGGCACAGCGGAGACAGGGGCCTGCAGGAAAGGCGAACTGGTGAGCAATGGGCGACTCAGCGAAACTCAAAACGCCGTCTCTGCCTCGAACAAACTATTTCTTTTGATTTGGGCGCAATGCATCTGAAACAGTAAGTCATGTCTAAAATCCAGAGAATACCTTCCATTGTATCCGGAGAACCAGGTTTGAACAGCACCGTCAAGCGTAAGAGTCTGCCTTTGAGCCTCGGGACCTTTCCAAGTCGATACACCTGTTGAATTTCCACTGCTTCGTTAGATGGAATTCACGGGATGGAAAAGCTTCTTCGCTGTTTCTTACTTTTTCAGCTTCCTCTCCGGCCTCTTCCGCTGGTTCCGTCTCGCCGGACGCCGTCCGTTCCGCTTTCCGCCACAGCTTGTCCGCGTCCGCCGCCGCCTTCTCCGCCCTCTCTCGCGACGCTTCCGCTTTTGCGCGCGCGCTTTCTGCGTCTTGCTGCGCGCGCACGGCGTCCTCGGCCGCGGTTGTCGACGTTCCGACGTCCGCAGCGGAACATTGGGCGGAGTCCGCGGCTTCCAGTGCGGACTTCGCGGCTGCCATGGCGGCCTGGAAAAGTAAAGCGCATTTTTAGTCAATGCAGTTACACAAGACTGCGGGAAAAAGCAAAGTCGTACCCAGTCAGAAGCAACCTGTGAACGAGATGCGAAGAAAATATGTGAAGGACTAACATCGACGTAAGCGTGCAAAACGTCTGTCTTTTCAACTCAAAACTTCCGAACATCCCCGTTAATGACTCCCCATACCTGCTTCGCGGCCTCCGCCTCCTCCTTTGCGCGCGCGGCTTGTTTGAGCAGCGCGTGCAGGTCCGCCGCGGCCGCCTCCACCACGAGCCGCGTCTCTTTCGGCTGCAAACCCGCCGACGCCTCCTGCTGCGCGCGCTTGGCGCGATACAGCGCGGCCGCGGCCTCGGCCGCCGCCTTGGAGGCAGCCTCGGCGGAAGCAGTACACGTGGCAACTGGAGGGCAGATGAAGAATAGCAGTTCGGGCGACCCGTAAGGAAACATCGGACTCGTCAGTGAAATAGCGGACAAATGTTGGCAGTTTGGCAGGGTTTGTTTAGTGGAGGGCTGGCTAAAGGATGTTCGACCATCTCGGCAATTAGCCGGTAGCTCGAAAGATATGAATGGCTGATGCTCGCACTCCAAACTTGCGGGTTGGAAGCAGCACGTGAGGAATTTGGAGCCGAAAGGTTTTAGTTTCTGCATCACTGCGCAGCTGGCACAGAAGCTCCACCCTGGCAATTTTTTGGCACTTCACGACCTTGAGATTGCTGTGAACGGAGTTACTTTGCGTCTCTGACGAAGCTTTACTCAATCAGACTCCAATTCGTTGCCCTCCTAATTCCTGCTCAGAAGCCTGAAAGTCCTAAGTCCCTGTAAATCTTCATCCCCGTACCTTGTTCCGCGGCTTTCGCGGCCGCCTTCGCAGCCCCCTCCGCGGCTCTCGCCGTCGCCTTGATCTTCAGAACCGTCTCTGCGGCCGCGACCGCCGTCGCAGCCGCTAACGTCACCGCTTCCGTCAGATTGAGCTCTGTTGCAGTCGCGCCAAAACGGGCGAGCCAAGCAGAGAGGAGAGGCCACGTGGCGCTTGAGGATTGGAGGAGGGAAGCGCCCCCGGCGGAGCGGTCGGGGGAGGGGTCGACCAGACGGCCGTGGATGCTGCAAAAGTCGGGCGGTTCGCTCAGACTTGAAAACCCACAAACAAAAGCTTCTTTTCACAAGGAGAACGAGAAGACGACTGGTCTGACTATCGCAACCCTTATATCCGTGTTGAAACCCAACTGTAAATGTCCCATACGAAGCTCTAAAACTCGCCCACCCTTGCCATACGGACTTGCATAGATCACCCTAAAAGATCAGTGTTTGTGTTAATCCAGAGGCGTGCTATGTGGTCTTCGGAGATCCTGCAGAAAAGCCTTTACGAAGTTGTCTCAAAGGATTGAAAGGGGATAGAACAAGAGCAAAAAAAAGGAAAATAAAAACAGGAGGAGAGCAATCAAACGACTCTACAGCAATGCAACTCGGAGTCTGGGCTCACATCTTGTCCTCTTCAGCGGGCGGGCAGTACTCGAGGTGGTACATCTGCCCGGTGGTCGGGTCCACGCGCCTGCCCAGCGCGCGCTTGAGCGCCTCCGCGTCGTCCGCGAGCGCGCACACAAACACCTTGTCCAGGCCGGACGTCAGGACACGTGGCTGCGGGGGAGAACAGGAAAGGTGGATACGTTCTTTGTTTAGGTCTGAAGATCGTGCTCTGGAAAATTCAGAGCACCAAAGTCGTGCTCTGGAGTGTGTTTTCGTCTCCGGAATGATGGGAATGTAAACGATTCTGAATTTTGCCACCTTGTGCTGTACTCTATTATAGAGGCAATCAGCTTCAAGACCATGCTCGTGGGTCACGACGAGACACCAGAACCTGCACCGCACATCTTCAACCGAGCTCAGAACAAGGGGGTCATGTCAGCTTCCTCCTTCTGTTTGCTGTTCAGACCTATGATTGCACGATGGACTCTGTAGAACCATGAAGGTGAAAACTCAAACCATACCTCTTCCGGCGCTGCTTCTTCCGGCAGGAGCCGCGGCCTTTCTGCCCTCTGCTTCTCCTCCGCCTCCAAATCCAAACCCGTCAGTGCGCGCTCGAGCGCGCGCGCTTCTGCCTCCGTGCGCGGATACCCGTCGATCACGAAGCCACGTGGCAGGTCGGGCGGCAGGAGGGCCGCATCGGCGCTCTCTGCTGACGGGGCCGGGGACGGCGCCTTTGCGCGCGCGCCTTTCGCGCCTTTTTTCGAGTCCGCGCGCGGTGGAGGAGTGGGGTTCGCAGGGGTTTGAGGTTTGGGGAGAGTTGCGATTGCGTGGACAATGAGTCGCAGGATGACGTCATCTGGAACGATGCCTGTCGAGGCGAGCGCCGCACGGACTTCGCGGCCCAGGGCGACCAGTAAAGGGGGCGAGAGCGTGGGGGTGTCGCCGGGAAGGTCGGTGGGTCCGTCGGGAGGGGTTCCTGCGATATCTCAGAGATATGTTTTAAAAGCGGAATCGTGAGAATTCTGCCTTTCTGCGGGAAGCCAAAGCCAGGATATATTGGATCCATGTTCTCAGATCAGCTTTGAAGACCGCTGATCCCACCGGATCCAGCCGCTGCGCCAACTTTCCTTCTTAGGAAAGTGTTCTAAGTCATGGTGAAGAGCCCTATGTACGAGAACGTCAATAAAACCTGAGATTCCGAGGGATATTCCAGTGGAAACTTAAGGATCTTTTCGGTGCCTCGACACACCAGAACCCGTTGTGCCGACTCGCACCTTGTTGATCGTGCTGTTCCGCAGCCGCGGCCGCCTTCGCGGCGAGATCCTCGGGGTTTAGCAGAGCCAGGTTGTAGCGCGCCGCCAAAGCGTGCGCCACGCTCGTTTTACCTGCAAAGAAGATGGGATGCCTCAGATGATTCTCATCGTCAGGTTGTCAAGCGCTGACGTCACCAAGAATTGGATAGCTGGGCTTCCCCGCCATGAGTTTACCCAATGGACACCGAGAATCGATCGTTGATATTGCTTGACGATACTTCCAATCTGGCAATGTAAGGACAACCAAAAGATGAAGACATGCAAGGGTAATAGAAATCGAAAAATGTACGACACTCGCATGCTTTGTAGAGCCAGCAACTTTCCCGCCACAAGATCATTGTTTCGCTCTCCATGTTACGTAGGATACAAACAGCAAGAATTCTACCTGCAAACGGCGTTCCGACCACGGCCAGCTTGAGGGCGGCGTTCACTCGTCCCGCTTCGGGAGTCAGCGGGGCCGCGGCCGCCGCCAAAGCCCCGCGCCAAACCTCGTCGACAGCGCGCGCGTTCGCGCAGTCTTCCGCGGTCGAAGACGACGCCCAGTCGCCTCGAGACGCAACGTAGTCCTTGAGACATTCCTGTGGCGAAAAGCAACGGCGATTACAGGGTGGAGAAGTCGGATTCAGGGAGGTCAACGATAGGCACGGGAGTCTCTGTTCGAAGATCTTCTAGTACGGGCGACAGAGCTTTTGTTGATAAGAGAAGGACTGAGGAGGCCTATAGCGCTTGATGAGCTGTGCGCACTGCGTTTAGATTGTCCTTTTCTCCGTCCTCGCCGTCGCTTGAAATCTTTAAAGATTGCTTATTGAAACTCTCTTGCTGACGCTGTCATTGAAAGATCACCGGATTAGCGGCTTGATTGTTTGAAATAGGGAGGTTCAACAAAGTAAAAGGATTTAGGGATGACGGCAGAGGGTTTCCCAATGGATTGCACGGAGGAAAAGCTAAAATGGGGAACGAACATCTTGCTCCAAACGACAGCGTACCTCGTCTCGCGGGTCGCCCTCCTCTGCTTTCTCCCCATTCTCGTTGTCTACACTCTTCTCAATGGGCACGTAAAGCTGCGCGCCCGATGTGAACAGGGCCTTCCACTCGCGCCACGTGGCACGTGGCAGCAGCCCATTGGTGTCCGCGGCTTCGCGGTAGTCGATGGTCATCTCGGTCAGGCCGACAATCTGGCAAGTTTAAAAAGCCAGAACTTGTATCAACCACCAGGGTAGCAATCGTCACGGATGATTTCCACAAGTTGCATTCAAAGTCAAGGTCTTACAAGCTCCAGACCACGCTATCTGAGCCCTAAAAATAACAAAAAAAACGCTCAATAAAAGACGCATTTGTACACAACAGCTTTAGATGCGCGTTCTCATGAAACGGGTGCGGCCTCAAATTTGGAGACGTCCCGCCGTCTTCTAGGTTGGGTATTGCGGACTTGTTGGACTACCTAAGAGTTATGGTATCTAACGTGTAATGTTTCTTTTTTAGCTGTCGCGCACCTGTTTGACGATGTCTTGGCATGCCTCCTCTACTTTCCGCCGTTTTTCCTCTTTCCGCTTCCGTTTCTCCTCCTCGTGCCGCCTCGCTTCCTCCACAGCGCGCTGGGCATATGCCGCCTGCAGAGCACGCCACGTAGAGTCAGTATCGTTCACAGCAACATAGACTGCGAGCACCGCTTGTTCCGGTTGTTCTTGTCTCAGTTCATAGTTCTGGCTACGTCCTGAGGAATAGAAGTCTCCAGTGTGAAGTAGCTCACAGAGAGCTCTAGTTAATTTAGATGCACCTAAGCCGCCCTCAATCCTTTTGCATTTCTAGGGCGGATTAAACCCCTTTTCCTTCTCGCTGGTAACACCTCAGATGAAATCCGAGGATGCGTTTTCGTCTGCTGAGAAGCGATCTTTCTCCTCCGTCAATGCTGGTTCCTTCAACAGAATCATATGAAACGGGAGTCCCTATGATTCAAATTGGTTGAAGCGGCAGATAACAAAGAACTATCCAGCCCGTCCCTCACCCTGTTCTCCCGACCTTGTTGCCGGTCCTTTTCCAGCGCGGCCTGCCACTCCCTCTCCCGCTCTTCCGCCAATTCCTTCTCCCTTTGTACCCGATTCGCAACAATTGTTTGTTTCCCCATTCGCAGCGCCTCTAGGTGCGCGCGCATGCGTTCCTCGGCGCGGCTCGCCCGCGCGAGGGCGCCCGCGGCCGCCTCGGCCTGCCGCGCCTCCTGGACCGCGGCTAGCGCGAGCGCTTGCTCGACCACGACCTGGAGAACGACACGAGGAACATTTTATTCAGAAGTAAGTAACTTAGGTAGGGCTTGAAATCCTAGGTACTTGTAGACGGAGTTGACATGGGCTCCTTGCACATTCTCTCAAAGTTGGCCTCAGGATTCAATCAAGGATTCGCGCATCCCATTTCTGCATGAAAGCAATCCTTCCGTAAAAAGAAGTTGACGAACTATTCAACTTGGCATCAAGGGCACAATCCGCAACGGCAGTCCATTTTCAAGACAGCTCGACTTCGAACTTCTCTACTGCTTTCTGGCAATACCTTGCGGGCTTAAAGCAATAATCAATTGATCAAATTTTCGCGTTGCGTGCTTCGTATTTGATGTGTGGGTCCTGTGGCTGACCTTGCGTCGTCTCCGCTCGCGCTCCTTCCTCGCCTGCGTTTCTTCCGCTTTCCGCCTCTTGATCCGTTCCAGATACTCACGGCCCGACTGCAAAGGCAAAAATGAAACAGGTTCCTCAGATCAGGTCATCTGCTTTTGCAATTTAAGCATCTGCACGTTGGGGTTGACTTACTCGCCTCAGGGGTTTCATTCTGTCGGTTGCCTCGTTATATTGTCCACACCAAGCGGGAAACGGAAGATCCGTTTCCCGCCAGGACGACGGAAGATGGAAACAAACAACGATGCTTTCACAAGGGAAGCCGTCCGAAAACGCCTTTATTTTTTCGTGAAGGCTTGAACTTATAGGCCTGCTATTCCGGTACTCGATCTCGCTTTTACATTGCAACGTTCGAAAAGTGCCGGGGTAGACAACAACGACTTTCCATGACTCGAAGCTAAAAGTTTGACGACGAAGCTAAGAAAGAGCAACTTAGAGACACGTGCCAGGACATCATGTACTGCGAACCTGTCTCAGCGATTTCTGTAGAATCCAGAAAACAAGCTCCGTGGAAAATGCAGTGGCACAACCGATGTCGGTTGGACCTGGCCGCCTGATCGAAATGCGCGTTGGTCCGATTGTCAGAAATAAAGAGGACTTTGATTTTCCAATGAAAAGCTGCATATTTGGAAGATATTTCGGGCAAGGACAAGCTAAAAGTCTCAACCCAAACTTTCAAGCGCTCCGCACCTGCCCCAACCTTACCCCCAAGTTAACCCCACCCATCCCCCGGGTTCATGTTATGATTGATCTGCCTTACTCTCCATCAAAACACAACCTTCGATATATCGACCAGAAGCAGACAGCTTTGCGAGCTGCAGAGATTGATTCATCGGCGCGATATTGGACAGTTTCTGTATCCTAAGCCTACCTGCTCGCCAGTTCCAGTGGGCGGCTGTATTGTAACTCCCTTCTGTCCCCCTGAACCTGATTCAATCCGGTTGCCGGTTTACGGCATCTACTATAGACCGAAAATCCAGTGACTGTTCCGCCACCGGCAGACATCATCAACCAAGCGCCAAACTCCAAAGTGCATCTTAACCTTACCTGCTCGACGGTCCCGGTGGGCGGCAGCTTTCCCAGGATCTTGCGCATCGTGTCGTGCGGGCTGCTCCCCTGAGTGGGGATCACCGGGTCCGCATCGGCTTCGGCGTCCGCATCTAGGCCCAAGCGCCGCAGGTTCGACTCAAAGCTGTCAATGCCCTGCGCCGCGTCACGCAGCGACGCGTCTTTCGCAGCCCACTTCTTTTGTTCGGCCTGCAGAGGCATGCATTACCCGGGCTGAAGTTCTGTTTGACTTGAGCTTCCTGCAAACCGGCATTCTGAGTTCAAAACGATACCTCCGACTCTCGAAGCTACCTTTGGCCGGCACGGGCCAGATCGCGAAAAGCCGCCTCCTCTGTTCTTCCGCCGCCACGTCCCTCTGCTCGTCTCGCCATGAGCATTCAAGTAAGCGTCTTGCATTCACGGGTGTTCCTTTCGATAACCAGTCGTCGTTTTCGATGCCATTTGCCGGGGAGTCTGCCACCAGAAGGGCCGTTCTTGTGTCCCGTCATAACTGAGAGGTGTTTCTACCACTTAAGCCTATGGTCTCACCTTGTATAGGAGAGCAAGCTCCACTCGCAAATCCTGCCTCTCCTGATCCCGCTTCCGTTGCTGCACAGATTTGGAAGTTACAACTCAACTTCAAATGGCCTTTTCACTGGTATAGCAGCGACCGTCAAGTACAGATGTTGCTGCTCCTTGATCTGCCTCACAAGGGTGGATTATACTTGTAGCAGGTCAAGACACTCTTGCTGTTTATGGTCTGCAACAACAACAGAATGATACACCAAGATCATGAACCTTTATGGAAGGCTGGCCCGTATATATTGACCAGAGAAAATGTATGGAGCGAGTCGCCTTTTAGACCGTCATCCATTGCCAAGAGGTTAGCTGCCTCAGTCTCAAGGAGGCTTCGACCTTTCTCATGACGTGGGGCTCCCTAATAGGGTGGCTACCAGGGGATCAACCTCTTGCTACGAACAGCACGCTTATGCATGCCTTGTTGCGCACTACATGGGAAAGTCGTCCGCAGAAACTCTCGCTCACCAAAGTCTGACTGTGGTATGTGATGAGCTCCTCTTCCGCCTGCTTCTTCTCCTCATCTCTCCGCTTCTCCTCCTGCGGTGTCACAACAGGCACAGTCTGCACTTTCCGTCGTCTAAAGATCAAAGTCGAGTAGAGTATCTTGAGTCGCAGGAAAAGTTGGCGGGCTGTCCTCTTCAAGAATTATAAGATTGCAAGTCTCATCAAGTAATACCATGCATTATTCGCATACCCACCAAAGTACCAATGCAGCACATCTCGCGTCTTGTTCGAATTGGCAAAGATGAGGCACAGCCCGGGACACACTTCCCGAGACACACTTCTTCTATAGTGCCCGCTTCTTGTGGTACCTCCACTTTGAACACTCGGTCACACGCAATACAGAATTACGTTGAGCATCGAGGCCGTGCAGCTTCTCACCTGCAGCATTTGCGCTCGCCGGTCCTTTGAGACTTGGGCTGCAGCATTGGCGGCCTTCTTGTGTGCGGTGTTGCGAAGAACTTCCTGTGACTCAAGTGGACAAAAAGGCTTTTAGCTGGCTGAGAGCAATTGTCGACGGCTGCCCTGTTCGTAGTCATAGGTTTCTGTGACTGCGGTAGGCTTGCGTACTTGTTGAAAGTAAGGTCGCAATGTGAACACATATTTTTGAGAAAGAGTGCACTGAAGGCCGAACGCAGCTTCATGTACGGAAACACGCCCTTGCAGCTGGCAGGGGCTATTTGATATCCTCTTAACTGCACTCAAAACATCAAAGAAACTGCTGTACACCCCTGCCTGGTCTGTCCTTCTTCGAAGGACCTTTCAACAAGAGACCGAGATTAAGGCAATCATTCGTCAGGGATGTGTCACATTGAATCTTATAATCTGCACCAAAACCTTGATTGTGGGCAATTTTGAGCTGCATATGTGTAGAACTTCGTAATGCAAAGGCCAGCTCATTGCAGACCAATGCCGTGCATTGCCTCTGAGCTACTAACAGAGGTGCAGCTCCTACCAGAGTGGGGCCTCTTTGTGCCTTCAGTTACGACAGGCATCTCTTCTTTTAACACTTCTCCACAAGATGGCTCTGAACAACATTTTCTCAAACTGAGAATCTATAAAAGTAGGAAGCAGAAGAGAGGCACAATCCATAAGGCAACACGCTTTGCCCACCTGCTTTCTTGCTTCCTCTGCAAACCGCTGGGTAGCCAGCTCTTCAATGAGGGCCCGGTGGGACGGCTTGCCCCGGGGCGGCCCCATTTTGGCCCTTATAAAAAGCAGGCCGCAATGTGGCCAGCTATGCAACTGAGGTATCTCTGCCCCGTACCATGCATTTGATGCTGATCGACCGATTTGATATGAAGCTTAGAGTGACATTCCTTTTTGCAGCAATGGGCGTACAGCTGCCCTCGGTGGTGCAAAAATGCTGATTCAAACGCCCACCGTCTTGTCCACCCCTGGCTCTTCCTTTCTTGAGAACTGTCCTAGGCTCCTAAGGCTAGCGCATCGGACAACCAGGATGGACAGATGCAATCTTGAGCCACCTGGGCCAATACTACCATACCTCCTCGATCAGCACATCATGATCATGTACTGCATGAGCACTCTGAAGGGTATGCATTACAGCGGGCTTCTTTCTGCTTTCGTGTGCGTCGACGCAACACATCTTTGTAGTATTTGCCACGTGTACCCATCAACGGACGATCTAGGTACTCCGTCGGCGTGGGTGGAACTTTTGCCCGGTACCGTATCCTACTTTAATGAACACTTTCTCGCTCCGTCCTTGGTCCTTGGACGTTGTACACAGTGTAGGAGTCCTAGTGCACATGCTCAGTTTTGCTGAGACTTTAACTTTTTACTGTGCACGTTGGGTGACTATATGTGATTAGCCTACTGCAGAGACCCCTACTGCAGCTCCAAAGCTCCTGTCAAATGCGTGGCAGCTGATTTGACACTCTTGCAAATTTCTCCCTGGCCAGAGCCGTCTTGCTTTGTCCAAAAAGACCCGAAGAGCTCGATCTCACAGCCCACTCACAGCAGGCTCACAGCTCAAGTATCATTCTCTTAGGCAACAAGCCACTTGCATTGTCACTTAATCGTGTTCTAAGCAGCTAAAGTATATTCACAGCTTGCTTAGCATAGAGCAGCGGCAGCTGCTGGTGCAGTCAGTGATGCATTCTCTAGCTGCAGAAAAATGCACAACGTCAAAGAGCTTGCCACCTGCAGTATGACAGTAGGATGAAATGTCTGAGTGCCCTGGACCAAAGGTCAAGCCCAACAGCAAGCCTCTTTGCAAGAGGCCTCGACCAAAAAGTGGTCACCACGAATCATTCTAGGACGTTTCTGCTACTTATCACTCAGTCGCTGCTAACACCTGAACCCATATAGCTGTTGCGGGCACATACCACCATTTTATTCCCAAAAGTTACCTAAGCTTACTTCAGTGAGACCCTCCACTCAGCATCGGGGGCAGAAAATGTCGCACTCACCTCCTGCGGGGCACCAAAGTCTGAAAAGGAACAGAAAGAAGCAGGGGTGGTGGCATTGGCAAGCCGCGTGCCTGTGCATGGCGGGGGTCTTGGGAACAATGATGTGCCTTACAGTAATGCAGCCACGAGTTGCACAGGTGCGGCGCTTCTTGAGTTTTCTAAGTCAAGTGCTCTTTGCATCAAACAGAACGAATTGCAAGTCATGGTAAGGAGTCAATTAGTGGCAGCAGGAAGCTTGAACGGTGAGCTCCTGTTGGTTGGAATGCTGGGGAAAATACAATCAGGTTTTTCCATGTTAGTGAGCAGTCGTGCAGGGACCGATGATCCTTAGGATCTGGGTTCCATTGAAGTGGTCGGCATCAGTACTCCACACTTTGAAACATTCTGAATTGGAAAAAGAGAGTTGACACTTCTGACTGTGATCGGGTGAGCAGTAAAGGTGCTTCATACTATGTTGGATTCACATGGAAGGCCCTGTTAGCTTTGCAACAATTTTGTCCCTCCTTTTTCCAGAGACACTCTGGCGGGATGTCATTGCAAAGCGTCCGAGCTGAAGAAACGCTGAAGACGACTCATATCGAAGGGCATCAAGTGGAAGAGGACAGGGACCTGAGGAACTCTTCCGCTGAAAGACAGACGTCTTGCGCAGATTCAGCGGGTAGCAGAGCAACTGGTGCTCCAAAAGTCAACCACGATCGGGGAAGAACAATAAAAGAAATACTAGGTCGAGAGAATGAATTGGAGAAGCATGAAAGAAAGGTCTTAGGCTCTGGGGTCTTTAGCAAGCTCGTGGCCACAAAACTTGGTCAGGGAAAGAAACAGGACCTTTTAGATGGGCTCGAGTATCAGCTAGGGGCTGAGCGAATCCAAGAGCTTCTTGACACCGATGTGCCAGTGATGCTGAGCCAAAAGGCTTTGAGCAACCAAGACTTTGCTTTTTCTTGCGGGGGGAATCTCACCGTGGAGTTTGCAACGATGAAAGAGGTGGCGCAAGCGGATGCCAGGCTCAAAGCAATTCTGCCAGAGAATGATCTATTGCGGCGGCCGGAGCAGAGAACCGTTGGAGACGCTCCTCTCAAGTGAGTCCGCGCATGACGTCAAGTATCCACTGCTTCCTAATTTGGGCTACATTTGTGAAGCGCTGTTCTCCTATGAGACGACTCAAGGAACTGCCGCTCCGTTGTTGCGCAGCGCGCTCGCCGGATCGAATCCATGCTGGCATTCGCCCTGGTCATGCAAGGAGTAGCCGCTTTGCTTGCGTGATAAACTGCTGGTCGCCGCTGGTTCGATTTGTTGCTAACAGCGTTATGCTGTTCGATTTTCATTCGGAGGACGTCACAACCTTTGAGCCACGGAGCTGCTGCGACCAGACCTCGGCAAGGTGCAAGTACAGGATCATCTCGAAGTCCTTCACAATACACCCGAAAGTCTTTCTCTTGAAAGAAGCAGGCGGTTGCTTTCATGCGCAATCACTGACATCACCCGCTTTTCGCAGGCGCTGTGCTGTGGTGGGCAACAGCGGCGACCTTCTCGATCACGCGCACGGGGCAGAGATCGACGGCTTCGACACAATTATCCGCTTCAACGCCGCACCCACACGGGGGTACGTCAGCGCCTCTGGTTGGCCCGTTCAGTACTGGACACGACTCTTTTCGAGAGCCTGTTCATACATCGCTTCGATCTCCGCCAAGTTGCTCGCAAGGCCAGTAAGCCGAGTGTTATTAGCGTGAATATGGAAGACAGCTTGCAGGTACTGTGCTCACTTCGTTTGAAGGTCCTCTTCAGAGATCTCAAACCCTGTCTCCATCTGCTGACCAAATGTACTTTCTTTTCCTCTTTTCTTGCTCTATTTTGGCAGAAATTGAAGGAATGTGCACTTTCGCTCATCCCGGATCTCTTTGAACTTTGGGACTCTTCCTCAGACAAGAACTCGATTCCAGCAAGTGTTCCGTTTCCGCAGGTACGAGACTCACGTCGGGCGGAAGACCACGATCCGCATCCTGAACATGGACTTCCTGCACTGGCCCCACGCGCGGGGCACGCTCGCGCTGTACACCGTCCGCAGCCAACGCGACGTCCGAAAATTTTTGCACCACCAGCAGCCACGTGGCCCCAGCCCCGCGTTCCTCTTTCACCCTGAGTGGTGGTGCCACGTGTGGTGAGCCACTCGCCTTGCTTTCACATAGTCGTACAGGTGCCCCGTTCGTCGAAAAGCTTCTAAGCTGAGCTCCAAATCAAGCTATCTAGCGAGAGTCGATGTCAGAACACCGATTGATATCCCGTGCTTTGCTTTCAGACTGAATCGTTAATAGAAACTCTCGGCGCGGACAACAATCTTCTGCTCCAAGTTGCTCAAAGAAGCCCATTCCGCGGCCTATGAGTGCATACGTGGGACGAAAGAAGCGTGAAAAGTTGGCAGTTTGTCCTCGTGGACAGCTCATCAAGGCATATCTTTACCACGCTGTTTGAGTCTGACTTGTTCCCGCTACGTGGTGTAGGGAATGGCTGGGATACAGGAAGGTCAAGCCGAGCACCGGATTCGCGGGCGTGGTCCTGGCTCTCCACTTTTGCTCCTCCGTCCATTTATTCGGCTTCAGGTACGCTGATAAGCTCTCGTATCAAAACGTAGTCTTGCTTGCATGTAGACTCTGATTTGACGGTCAATTGAAATAGTGGGTTTGATCGGGCGAAAATGTGCATGAAGGTGTGTGAACGTTGTGTGATCTTTTAAGCTTCATGTTTTTGATGGTTTCCTGGTGAGCTCGAATCAAAAATTTTCCTTGAGATATACGTTCCAAACAAGTCCTGAACAAGCTGCTCAGCGTTTCGGAAAAAAAGATGCGACGTGTCAACAACTCGAAATCGGCGTCCACTTCTCTGCAATGGATAAAGTAGCTTGGATAACACGTCGTTTCAGAGTCCCTCAGAGATAAATTGCTATTGTGCGGAGCTTGTTTGCTCTTACTCTCGCCCGTCATCCAAAAACGAGACTGACTCCACTGAGAGATCTCGTGCAGTCACAACTCCAGTCGATTCCACTACTTCAACGTTCTGCCCGAAAAGGTGCGCATCACAAATCTTCCAAAGCTTTTGAATGATGGAGGCTGATCTTCTCGGTCGATCTGACCACTGTCCTACTTGTGTCTGCTGAATACTTTGGAAAAATAAGCCTCTTGTTGAAACGTACGCATTCCTGTGGTCTTCGGACAAGGAAAACGGGTTGCGTGCAACGCGGATTAAAACAAGGGCCGCTTTTACAGCCTTCGGCATCAGTTCTCGTGTCTGTCTTCCAGAATCTCCAAGCTGTCGGTGTAAAGACGATTAACCAAAGCAAAAGGGAAAAATTGGAACAGGTACTAGCGAACAGGCAAATTGCTTAATGTCTCGACTAGAGCAGTTGGAAAACCTTTTGAATCTACATCAGGCGCGAATGCGCATCCGACACTACGTTAGTCTCCGTCTAATCTTCCATATTATCAAAGGACTTATCGAGTATGCCGGAACTAGCTTCATGGTCCCTGGTTTGTTTATTTCGACGCAAAGTACGGAAGGAGGACACTTGCCGGCCTAATCAGCCGGGTCGATTTCTGTTGATTAAATTAGACGTACAGAAAGTTGGCTTCCAGACAACTTACATCAACATGATTGTTTTGCTAAACCCAGCAGAATTTGAATGACGCTATTTCGTACCAAAGTGGAATCAAAGACGTTTTCGAACTTGGGTATCTCATGAACCGGCTCAGTGCGTTTGGCACGTTGGCAGGAAGGAACCGCTTTGAGTCGTGACGAGCAGGAATCTGTGGGTACTTTCAAATCCAAATGCCCTGGAACCCGGACCACTGATTGTCAAATTGATTGTCGCATCCTCTGTGCATGCAGGTTACGAAAGTTGACGTGTACAATTTCCACCCGTTGATTGAAGAGGCGAGTCTGTACCGGGAGCTTGAAAGCCAAGGAAGGCTTGTCACGCGTTGACAAAGTCACTACCGCACGCTCGAGTCCCGCTTGGGATGCCATGTCCAACTATTTAGGGAACTTCTTGTGTCATATGTCACCCTCAGTCCGGTCAACCTTTACCGATTGGGCACTGATGCGCGCCGGGCTTTGCCGATGTCGCGCCCTAGCTGTCCTGTCAACGGATCGAGTGGTTAGTCCTGTCGGACGCAGGATCAATAAATATGATACTGCCCGTATCATATATATAAAATCTCGCCGTCCGACGCCTGCCGCGCATAGCGGTACTATATCTGCTTAATTTATATAGCAGCTGATGATGCAAGTCAGATGTCGTGCACTTCGACGTGAGCCGACTTTAGTGACCGCGATCGATACTATCGGATCGATTTGCGATGCGTGTATACAGAATGGTTGGACTCATAAGCACGCTCTGGGCGCGCGGCTGCAATTACAGCTTGCGCTCACCGCTTGCATTGACTCACTTCATGCAAGCAGCTATCGCGACAGATCAGGCGTATTATTGCGGATACGCGCTAGCGGGGGCAGTTAACTAGCTGTGCGATCCAAGCCTGATGCATCAATGATGGTTTGGGCCGCGGGCCGTACGGCCAGATGTATATGTGGACGGTGTTTGTCACGCGGATGCACCATGCATCAACTATACTACAGGCACCTTGCGCATGCTTAATTGCTGTGCCGCGCGGCGGCATAGGACGCGGACGGTTAAAGCTAAAGCTCGATCGAGGCTAGCTCATCATGCAATCGCAAGTAGACAGTAGATTTATGCCAGTGTTACACGCATATGCAGCTTCCGAATCCCGGAAGCGCTTCAGTTGCCCCTCCGCGGAAGGGCGTATATACAACCCTTGCAGTGAAAAACAGCCCTTAATTAGAGGTATCCAAGAAACCAAGGATGTGCTGCCAGGACAACATGAACAGGGTCTGGCCCTCAAACCCGAGAAGCATGTGACGGTTTAGACGGTTTGGGAAGCATCCAAAAACAAGTTCACATTATGTTGCTAAGATACTGACTCCTTTCACTTCAACTCACTCTAGGTTACCTTTCCAGCTTGCTCAACACGGAATCTAACTCGGGAAGCTCACCAAGGATACCTTCCCAGTCAGGCATGCCCCGCCCACTTCTCCTAACCCGCCCGTCTAACCGCAAAATAATGTATACATCTTCCCCCGGCTTTACGTCTTTTGCTACAGACTGCTGCTCGCGCACCCACTGCTCCCACTCAGCTGGAGACACGACTTCGGCCCGGTATCTCCGCTCGACTTCGCCAATCGACTTGGCCGTTTGAGCTTTCAGCCGGCTCTCAAAATCGTCCTGCGTACGGGTGTCCAGTCAGAGTGAGCAAGTCTGCAACGAAGGGTTGCCAGACGAACGCTTTTCACGTGCACGGAATTCTGGCCGGCAAAAATGGAAAGTGGGTCTCTGAAATTCTTGCCAAGTCATAGGAAGCTCGCTTCCCTGCCCATCGAGAAACGCGTCCAACAATCACTCGAGAAGGTACTTGGCTTCATCGGACTAACAACTGATGTTTTCATCGACCTGCCTTACAAAGGCTGCACTCAAAGCCGCTGTAAGCGCCTTGCGAACGTCTTTCTCACCATCGTCGGACTTGCTTTCTTGACTTTCTTGGGAAGGGGCGCGAAACCTTTTGGCTTGCGCGCCAGCTGTTCCGCGCCCGCCCCCCACGCGAGCGGACAAATGAGCACTCCTCGCGCCAAGAGCTCGGTACGGTACCTCTCGGCCTTTTTGAGAGTCCGCTCGAGGGATGCCTTGTCGCCCACCAGGATGAGCTGCAGGGGGAGGTATGCTTCAGCAGTTTTCTCATTCGATTCTTGGAACGAAAAGCTGAAATTTTCATCTCTAGCTGCTCTAGTGGCTTCGTTGGAGTGCTCAAACGCGCCGGTTGGGAACACAGGGGGACGGTAGTCTTGACATGGTTACCTCGATGATGGAAAAGTATCGCCGATGACTCGAAACCGGGTGTGTCTGTGGCTACTCCATCCATGTGCGAGCTAGGGGGCAGTGTTCGGCAAGGCAAGAGGGGCGAGCGGCATCGACTGGAGGCATCCGCCGGGCAGATAATTACAGCAACACCCCTCAAATAATGTTTTCTGGTTCCTGATCCCACTTTGAAGTAGGCGGCAACTGCTTCGAAGATCGTTCCTTGGATCAGGAACGCAGATCAGCTGCCGCACGACTATAGGTGCTAGATTACCAGCCATTTTGGCTTGCAAAGGTTTTCCGCTTGGCAGAAACCGCAGAGGATGTGTATCACTGCATGATACAAAAAGTCCGAAAGCCGATCTCAAATGACTACAAAGTACTACGAAGAATGTACAAAAAAATTGCACTCTCGTTCTTGTCGAATTTCAGTCCTGTCCGGGATCGTTGACACGCTGCACCGTAGCATATGCCCTGACTTATGAGTGTCAGCACGCACTCTCCAAACGAGAGTCACTCAAACGATGTTACTATAAACATCGTGGGGTCGACCGCTATATGATGCGAGGGATATTCTCGACACTAGAAGCAGTGATTCTGTGAGTGGCCAGAACCCAAAAGGCGAGAGGTATTAGGAGAAGCAGGTCGAGCCACTTGCAGATGCTGATGTTTCAAAAACGAGTACTCAACCGTTGATCAGAAGGTTGCACACACATCCAAGTCAGGTAGGTAGATGAAATGCAGCTGCAGAATCAGCTTCCTCCGATCGCACAAACTTACGACTTACAGACTGAAACTTCAGTGATAGAGCCAAACGAACATTCGAAAGGCTTCGCGATTTGTAGCCACTGAAGGGGGAATGGTTTCCATGTGCCAAGCCTTCTTTCGAAGACGCGCCAGGCAGATTCCACTGTCTACATTCCCACAACCTGTCCGTTGATCAATACAATATCCAAGTAAGTAGCGTCCTGGTGAAAGGGGCAACGAAAATCGAACAATTACAAACGTCGACGATCAGAGTAACTTTTTGACGAGCCCCCGTGGATCTCACAACCGAGTAAAACGGATGGAGAGTCTTACGAAGATTCTCACCAATTGACATCTCACCAGTTGACATCTCCTCCAATCGGTTGAGCTCGAGTCAAAACCGAAAATAGAAGACGTGCCGAGAGCCTCGTATACAATCCAGTCAAGAACGCACAAACGTTCACAAAAGGCACACGAGCGAATGTCTTACCGGCCGCGTGTTCTCCCGCAACTGACTGAGCTCCACCAGCTTGCCGGACTGCAATCGTAGCGGTAGCCGCGACAGAGTTTCGTCACGCGCAATCCGCTCTAGTTGCTCGTTCTCCTTCCGCTTGTCCCAGATGAACAGTGCAACGAATACCGCAATGCCGCCGATGTCAATCCCAATGTTCTGTAGCGGAAAGTAAGGAAATAGAGCTCTGATTTTCTTGATCTGAAGTATCGAGATGTATCGGAACACAATCTCTTCCTTACACATGTTTCAGCCGTAAAGAGCAATGGAAAGCATGATGGCACCCGCATAGATCTAAAGTTCTTTATAGAGAAAAGTGATATGGGTCTCATGCTTCGATCTTTCGTCTTCTCTTCTGTCCGTCTCCCTAACTCGCGACAGTAGTATTTTCCAAATCAAATGGAGGCACTGCTTTTGCTTTACGAACTCCTTCTCCGCTCTCGAGGTCTCCAGACGCTCTCTTGCTTCGGCCGCATGTTCCGATCAAGAATGGAAGTCTATCTCTCAAGACGGATGGACAAACACATGCAAGCAAGCCAGTATTGGCTCGCTCAACGATCAGAGTCGAAGATGTTCGAGATTCCCCAAAACAGAGTTGGAAACATTAGTCTGCAAGGAACAAGGAGGGCAGCGAGTAACAAACAGCAGATCCTGCGAACCACACTGCCACTGATCCTTGATCTTTGTAATCTCTTGGGAACCGAGCTGCAATATGCGTCTCCATCCATCCATGAGCTGCGAGGGGCTCACCTGCAACTCTGGCAGCAGTGGCAGCGCGCCCTCTCCGCCTTTGACAGCGTTGATCAGACGTGGAATCGTGAACAGCGTCGCAATGCCAGCGGCAGCGCTCAGGCCTGCATAGGCGAAAAGGCGAACTCCCCGAAAAGGCGCCTGGACCTCGCTGATCAGCTTGAGGTCGCGCCGGTAGCCCTGCCCAATCTCCTGCCCCCCCTCACGAGCCTGCAAGAGGTTTCCATCTTATAGAATGAGTCGAATTTCCATGTTCTTCTAAAAGAGATTCTTGCCCAGTGGGTAGATGCATGCTTGATGTATCTGTGCGCGACGAGTCACGAACCACAGTCAGGAAGCACATGATTTGCTCTGGTGATTAACACATGCTTCGGGGGCAACTCGATTGCTAACTTGTGGAAGGGCAGGTCAACTGCGCAAAAATCAAGCAGTGTTAAGCTTTACGACAGCATCCTTTTCCCAAGTCGATTCTGTCTTGGCGCTTCGTTGGCTATCAAGTCGACAGGCTTGAGATGAATGCGAGATGGCACGTCGGTATTCTGATACTCAAAACGCTCCACCTTTCCAATGATTCAATACCAGTTCCGGCAGAGTGGATAGCCAAGCGCCAACATGCAGACTGCAAAGCTCATCTCCAACATAGATGAAGGAAGCAAGCATGAAGGGACACGGACGCCACAAGAGTCATGGGGACTAATATAATCGTCCTAAACGCAACATGTTTCGATCGCGTCCTTCTCACCTGATTCCTCAGCTTGGTGAACTCCTTTGTCGCTCGGAATGGGGCCATGTCGGGATCGTTTAAAATGGTGCTAAACTTGAGATTGTAGGTTGACAGGCTGACGCGCAGGGCATCATAAGCAGGCCCCCACTCCTCCCTCTGGACATGACAGCAGGCCTTGTTGTACAGGGCCGCCTGGGCTTCCTCGTCTTTGGGGCTCAGGTCCAGCGCACGGTCGAAATTGCTGAGAGCATCTCGAATCTGCAAAGCAGTTGCGTAAAGATGGCTTGAGCAGAGGACTTATTGAGGATTAACCTGCAACACTTTGGTCAGTCAGGGCTGACCTCATAATTGTGTTGTATGTTAGTGAACGGAATACTCAGAAGCTTGAAGTTGTTCTAAGAGGAGAATGGGCCCTTTGAAAGGGCATGGTGGTACAAAGAGTCTACTGGAGTCGTTAATCCTGAACTTTGAACTTGCTTTCAAAAGTGACGGGCTACGGCATCTCAAGTGCATCCGGACGGCCCACATTGACACAAGTTGTGCAATTTGGGAGAACGTGAGGAAAGTTCTCAGGGGATTGTGCAGATTAGACAAGTCAAAAGTTGATAAGACAACTGGAGAGCTCCAGACTGGACCTTGCCTCATGAGCCGATGCCTCAACTTACACTTCAAATCTTACCCTGCACTAGCAACAAGAAAATAGCATGTAGCCGACTGGAGGACTCAGGAGGGATCATCGGCCAACTTTCACTTGTCAATACTTGAAACACATTGTCTAGGGCAAATAGGGACTTTCTGAGGCCCATCTTGATAACCAAGCTGGACGAATACTTGGAACACTTCCTCAAGCAGTCTAACATTAAGTTTTGTCATGCACTGGTGTAATAAAGACCTGCTTGTGAATTCTTTCAATGAGCAGTGCCTGCTCACCCTCCCTTTCTGGAACAGTTTCAACCCCTCTTCCACACATTCTTTTGCAGACGGTGGACCTTCCGTCGGTCTGCTTGCTGTCGTGGTCTCCGCATCCCCCCCTGCTTCTGCGACCACTGACGCTCTCTTGCTAATCTTTTGCAACCGCCAGAGAGCTTGATTTTTTAGCACACAGCTTTCTCTCACTGCATTCCGTCTCCGTAGGATGCTGAGAGACAAGGTAGGAGAGTTCTTCGCTGACGGTTGCACAATGCTGAGAGAACAATTGCAGCGCAAGTGAGAGGACGCTCCTTTTTGTGAGGCCGCTGGCCGGGGATTAACCTGGTCTAGTGAGAAAAAGATGCCCTGCGTACCACTTACAGCGTATGCTTGCGCCATGGCTGTCTCACAAGAGCGCTTGCAACTCACTGCTCAGCTCTCCTGATGTATTTGAGATTGCAGCAATTGCC